CCCCCCCCCGCCCCAGTTTACACGCGGGAACCGACGAAGAACAAACGAAAACGTCAGTTGCGATGTTGCTCATCTTTTTTCTTTTCTTTTGTTGCGTCGCGCGACTACACGCATTTACAAGCACATTGGATCCTAGAGTGACTATCCTCTGTTGTGAGTTGCCCCTACCGAGTTGCACATCTACCATTTTTGCTCTTGCTATACAATTATAATCCACAAAGAAGAAAAACAGGATCAACAAAATCACGGCTTTATCGAGGTGAACTGCTTTGTGAAACGCTCTCTTTCTACCAGCCTAGCTGGTGTGTGTGCGTGTGCGTGCGGTGTGTATATTGAGAACCCAATTCTTGATCTCCTCAACGTGAAGTGGGAATCCTTCATCTGTGCATACACCGTCTCGCACCTTTTTTAATTTTGTTCTATTCTATTTTGTGTTTTCAGGGCGAGCACAGCGTTTGGCGCTGGCGCCTTTCTGGGGCCGCTCGTAAAAGCGCCTTCTGACACCTCGCTGCGTGGAAGTACTCTTCCTCTCTTTCTGTAATTCCCCCGCTTGTGTTGGCCACACCTCTCTTTCTCTCACACCCTGTGTTGCCGGGTTGCCGCGCAAATACCTGCTTATGCACATTTGTAGAATCCGCCCCTAAAGGAACCCCCTAAAAAAAAAAGAGTTGAACTCTCGAGCAAGACACAAATTATTGGTTTTCTGAGGAGTTTTTCTTTTTCCTTGTTGGAAGCTTGTGTCGCACTTTCGCAATGACCGCTGCGTCTTCTTCCCGCTCCGCAGCAGCGGTGTGGCTGCGTTTTGCGCTTGTGGCGCTGCTTGTCTGCCTCGCCGCCGCCGTCGTCACCTCGGCTTCAGAGGAGACCGTCACTTACTTTGGCCAGCTGCGGCTGCCCGAGGCCTACCTGCGCCACCCGGATAGCCAAAACCCCCTCAACAACATCCAGCAAGGTAGCGTGCTGCTGACGAACGGGCACGGCACGATTATGGTGCCCACCGCCCGCGACGGCTCCTTCATCGCCTACAAGCTGCCTTACGGCACCTACCTCATGCAGGCCGACTACCACGACTTCGAGTTTCCAACGATGCGCGTGGACGTGATGTACCGCGAGACCAGCTCCGGCGCGCACGAGCCGCTGATCCGCACCTCCACGAACGACTTCCCAGTGAAGCAGGTGGAAGGGACAGGGTTGGAAGAGGAGAGCCCTGCGCTGATTCCAGTCTCTGGCATGCATCAATACTACGTGCCGCGTCAGGAGATGCGCCTGACGGACCTCGTCAAGAATCCAATGATAATGATGCTGCTCATCTCGTGTGGTTTGATGGGGCTCATGAAGTTGTTCCCGGAGGAGGAGGTGAAGGAGTCGCAGAAGATGTCGCGGGAGTGGCAAAAGAAACTCGCGGCGAAGGTGGCCGCTGCAGCAGAGAAGCCTGGCGCTGCTAAGAAGTGAGCGTGGTTTCGCGTGGAGAAAAGGGGAGGAGAGGGAGAGGAGGAACGAAGTTGCACAAGGGGAGGGGCTGGGGCATATAAATATTTTTGCGGTTTTGTTTTTAAATGTTTTCCGCTCTGAAGCTATTATGATGATATTGGGCGCTCTACCGCATGCCTCACCTTGGCATCCCCTTTCCTTCCCTTTTTTCTGGGAGTACATCTCACGTTGTCGTCCACCCGAGAGGAGCAGAGTATGGACCCCAGCTCCGTTGTGCATTGCTTAATGTTGCGTCCTGATACAGCAGGGTTTTCTTTTGCGTGTTGTTGCCGATTTCGTGTTGTGTCGAGTGTCGTATTTGTGTTGCGTGTGCCCTTTTAAATCTGCGTTATTGTCTCTCTTTTCTTAAAAAAACCAATATCTATGTGCTATTCGATAGAGCGACCACGAAGAGGGAAGGAAACGAGGGGGATCCGTCGTATGCCCCCGATGGCGACTGCGGTGAGGCAGCCGCTTCCGTTTGAGGCAGGTGACAAGGCGGAACGCACGACTCTCTCTCTCTGTCTCTGTGTGTTCCTGTGTGTGCCGTTTCGGTTTGCCATGAGTTTCCAGATCAAACTACCGGTCGCACGAGCCTGTCTCTATGTTTTGTTTGCTCTTCCTTTGCACGGAGGAAACCCTCACGCAATGTGACATCGCAATTTAGTCTTTTTTTCTTTTTAGGTATGTTCCTCTCCAAAGCTATTCCAAAAGCCCGTCCTGAGAGCAAACATGAAGGTGTAGACCCACCCGGAAGACCGTTGTAGTGGTGGCCAATCCTATCAGTATCTTTTTTGTTCCTCTTCTCTCTTTCTCAAATGCGTCTTTCTCGTACCACAGCTCTTCGCTTGGCTTAACGCCCTTCCCCGAATGCCGCGACGAGCAGCAACAGAGAAGAATTATCTCGCACAGATGCGGGAGCTGAAGGCTTAAAAACAACGAAGAACATTTTTTACGTTATCTCAGCCATCGTATCAAAACCGAACAGCAGCAGCAATAACGGCACAACGCGGCGCTTTCCCCACCGGTTGTCGCGGGCGCGCTCGCTGATGCGCCTGGTGCTCATCTTTCTCGTCACATTCGTCGTTGTCTTCTTTATTGCGGTGCACTTTTTGAAGACGAAGAAGGTCAGTAATACAGTGCTGCTCCCGTCGCGCAAAATGGAAGGCGTCGAGGATGTGAACTCGGAGAACTACGACGATGTGGTGGGGCACGACCGCTACGTGCTGATCGAGTTCTACGCGGACTGGTGTGGCCACTGCAGGGTCTTCTCCCCGACGTACGCCAAATTCGCCAAGTACGTGCAGCATCGCCCCGACTTAGTCTCCCGCCTCATCGTGGCGAAGGTGAACTCTCCCGAGAACGTGCGCATAGAGCAGCGCTACAAGATTGAGGGCTACCCGACGGTGCTGCTGGTGCCGCCGCACTCGCACACCTGGGTGGAGTTTCAGCACTCGCGCGACGTCAACGGGCTTACGCAGTTTGTAGAGGAGCAACTCGCGTAAGGAGCGAAAAGGTGTACAACATAGAAGGGTACGCCCCTGTCTCACCTTTCTGACGTGCGGAGTTTATATTGTTATTATTGTCTACCTTCACCTTTTTGTTTACCAGCTTCTTCTCACGGATGAGGAAAAGTTTCAACCTTTATGAGAGAAAAAAGAAGAAAAGGCCAGCGGAGTCGACCCCCGCGTGTTGTACCAGCGGTGCGGTGCGTTTTCAGTAGTTCTCCAGCTGAAGGTGGACGCGAGTATTGCGGAATTGTTGCGATAAAAATTGACAGGCGCGTTTCTATTTTTTTTTTTCTAAAAGTTGTGTCGTCGTGTCGGCGTTACGTGACAAGTGGCAAACAACAACACCTCTGTTTCTTCTTCTGTCTTCTGTCTTCTTTTCATTTTTCCTTTCTCCGTGTTCTTCTCTCCACTCGTGTGCTGATCGCTGGGGTTGCATCCTTCTTCTCACATCTTGTGTAGGAGGTTTTTTGCATCTTGCACATTTACCATTTCGACACTCTAGCTTTTGCGCTGTCTCATATTCCGTACGGCATTCGTTGACACTATTAACTGCGTTTCACGTATTGCCGGCTCAACCGAAAAAACGGCTTTTACTATCTACTTTAATTATTGATATTTTTTTATTATCTCCCTCTCATTGACGTAATGAAGCGCTTCGTTGTGTTGCTGCTGCTGGCAACGGCCATCTTGGCTGTGCTGGCTTCCGCCCAGGCCGAAGACCCTGGAGTGGAGATGCCCGGCATCGTGCAGATGACCAAGTCTAGCTTTAACGAGCTCGTCGGCAAGAAGAAAGCGGCGCTCGTCGAGTTCTACGCGCCGTGGTGCGGTCATTGCAAGCACATGGCCCCTGCATACACCGAACTCGGCGCCGCCTTCCTACGCAGCAGCCGGGCAAAAGACCTACTGGTGATCGGCAAGGTCGACTCCACCCAGGAGCAGGAATTGGGCAAGAGGTTCGACGTCAAGGGCTTTCCGACAATTCTGTACTTCCCCGCCGGGTCCACCACTCCGGTCAAGTATGAGGGCCTGCGCACGGCGGACGACTTCGTCAAGTTCTTGTCCAGCAAGATCCCCGGCCTGCTGATGAGCCTTCCGCAGGAGCCGCAGTTTGCGGTGGATCTCACGCCGGACAACTTCGACGCCGTCGCGCTGGACCCGACCAAGTCGGCGCTCGTCATGTTCTACGCGCCGTGGTGCGGGCACTGCAAGGCGCTGAAGCCCAAGTACAGCCAGCTTGCGAAGATTTACGAGAACGACGCGGATGTGGTCATTGCGCGCATCGACGCCGACGACAAGGCGAACAAGGCCGTTGCGGAGCGGTACGATGTCCACGGCTTCCCGACCATCTACTTCTTCCCCAAGGGCGAAAACGCGAAGCCGGAAGAGTACAAGAGTGGCCGCGAGATCGAGGACTTCTTGACGTTTGTGAATGAGCGGGCCGGCACGCACCGGCTTGCCAACGGCGACCTTTCGTGGGACTTCGGCGTGATTGAGGAGTTGTCGAAGGCCGTCGCGTCGGTCGCGGTCAGCGAAGGCACCGAGGCGACCGCCAGCGCCGTGGAGCAGGTGAAGGAGATGGCGGCTAAGCTGGGAGACTCCCCGAGCACCGGCTACTACGTGAAGACGGCAGAGCGCATTGCGGAGAAGGGCGGCGAGTCCGTCTCGACGGAGCTGGCACGTCTGCAGCGCACGCTGGACGGTGCCGTGAAGGGTGCGCGCCGGGACAACATGCTGCTCCGCGTGAACATCCTGACCGCCATCTCGAAGCAGTTGTAAGGAGCGGGGGAACAGCAAAGAGAAATCGAAGCAACATGAGAACGCGAGGTGAAGAGCCACAAGGTGTGATTGAGGCCCCACCATTGTTTTTCTTCCCTTGCTCCTCTACAACGGCCGCGGCTATTTCACTTTTTTTCTTTCTGTGGGTGCTTCGTGTGTGTTGCTCTGCGCGCTGATCGGTCGTGGGCTTCACCAGACTGCGTCGTAGGCAACCGTCTTCTTCTTTTTTTCGTTTTTTGCTATTCCTACTTTCACCTATCTCTCTCTTCCACTCGCTTGTGCGCGGTGCACATGGGAAAGACGTATGGACCTGCGTAGGAAATCGCTTCGCTGAGCAAACGACCGTCGATGTATAACGAAGCAAAAAATCTATCATTTATGAGTGCAATAAGATGCAAAGTGACAGACAAGAACACCTCCGCAACGCTGGTGCGTCTCCTTCTCCCCCCGCCCCCTTCCGTCCCTTGTAGCGGGAGAAACTGTGTGCACCTACAACAAACCGGAAAAGGAATAAATCTAACTTCTGATACGGACAGAGAGAGAGAGGAAACGATGCTATCAAAAATGAAAAGGAGGTGGTTTCTATGAAGGCAAACCAACACACACACACACACACAGTGTGCTTTTTTGGTCCCTAATTATTGGTTTTTATGGAACGTGAAGCGTATATATGTAAACGGTTTCTGATCTCGTTCAATGTGTCTGTGTGTGTGTCTGTGTCTGTGCAAAGTGGTACGTGTGCTCCATCGAATCAACGTAGCAATAATAAAGAATACGGTTCACTCTTCTTCCCGTTGGATTTCTTTTTCTTATTTTTGACGCACGCATTCGTCCGATTTGCCGTTATGATGATACAAGCAACCGGGAAAAACAGCATCTTGTTTTTTGTATTTCTTCGGCTCACGTTGTGCTGTCCTTCATCTCCTCTCATCGCTGCCACCGTTTCCCGTCTTCTCTCGCTTTGCTTTATCCGCTTCCTGCCTTCAAAAAAAAAGTCCCATCTTGCTCTTCTCTCAAGGCTACCGGCGCTCAAAAGCTCCTTTACCCAAATCGGTAAAAGGAAAGAGGCAGCTGAAGAGATCAATAAAACAGTTGAACGTTAAAGAAACACAACTACACAGTTAGGTGCGTCTTATCCTCATCGTCCACTCTCTCCCTCTCATTCCCGCACAAACACACTGGCAGATTTTGGATAGGATGACGTTAGAGGGCACCATCGCTGGCCTGCGATACCGTCGCAGTCGCCGCAGCGATGCCGCTCCACTGGCGCGCATGATGGAACTGGGCGACGCGATTGGAGGCGGTCTGCCTACCCCGGGCGTCTTCCGCGTTTTCACCGAGCGCGACTTTGCGCTACTGATCGAGACGGCGATGATTTGTGTGACGGCGGTGCGCGATGTGCCGTCGAGTGAGGCCGCGGCGACGGCGACTGACAAAACCGAAGAGGTGGTGGCCGGCTTCATCTCACTGGACGACGTACCACCGAATCACAGCATCAGCGGAGGCGCCGGGCAGAACAGTGGCGACAGCAACACACAGGAGAGCGTGCGTGCGCAAATGGCAGCGTACATCCCGATCAAGAAGCAGGAGGGTCCAGTAACGCAGGCGAATAGCCTGTGGCTGCGCATGCTGCTGTCTCCCGAGAGCGCCTTCTTGAACAGCAGCACCAACTGTGCGCCTACCGGGTTGAGCGCTACTGGGTCGAAGACACTGTCGGGGAAAACCGCGTTGAGCTACAGCACGCCGGAGATCACAATGGATCTGCTGCGCGTCACCTTGGGCAGTCTTAGCGGCGTCGAGCACGTATTTCTGTCCCTTGGTGGACCCTTTGCCTGCCTGAGCGAAATCCCCGGTCTGTCCAAGCTACCGAGCACTGTCGCTTCTTCCTCCACTTCTTCTACGACGGCGTCCGTTTTTCACCTCGGACGTGCGGCCGTGCTTCCGCCCCTCACGATGCGCCAAGGCCGCGTGGAGGACTACGACGACGCCGTGACGCTACTCGTGGCCGGCGGGCCAGGAATCATCACCCGCCTGCCACCCCAGTTTTATCTTGAGGAGCTGCTGCAGGCGCAGGATGCTCAGCACAAAGTCATCGTCGCCGAGGACTCCGTCACGCACGAGGTGGTCGGCCTGGCGTGTGTCCGTCAGCTCAACTTGGAGGAGCAGCAGTACCTTGCTCGCTTCTACAACACGGACATGCTCGAGCGACTGAAGCCGATGAACGTCGACGGCAGCGAGACGGCGGCGGCACCCGCGGCGCCGTACCACGACAGTCGCGCCCCCTCCTGCACCGCCAGCATCTTTTTCCTCTACTTCAACCCCCACTTCGAGCACAGCGCCTACCAGCTCCTGCCGTACATCTTTCTCCAGTTCCCCTTGTGCGATTACGCCGCGCTGCAGTGCACGCACGCGCAGCGGCTGCCGGAACCGATGGTGCTGCAGCGCTTCCAGTACATGCCGCTGCGCCGGTATCAGCCGCACAACGTCAGGGGCGAGGTGACACCGCCGCCGGATGCGCTGTGGGTGTGTCCGCGCGTGTCGCTCGAGGCGGAGGCCGGCATGCAGGCACAGGTGGCGCCGCTCTTTGGCCCGGCCGGCGCGGAACTGTGGGCGGCGGTGATGGCACAGTTCGGTGCCCCTCACGCCGCCCCGGCTGCCGGGTCTGGCGTCCACGCCGTGCTCCATCAGCAGCAACAGAAGCAGCAACTCCGCCGAAACAGCACGAGCACGACGGCAGGTGGGGCTGGATCTATCCTCCCGGGCTGCTCCATGGAGCTCCTCAGCGCTCTCCGCGAGGACCTCGGCATCGAAGCGTCGCATGAGAAGACGCGGCAGGCTGCCGGCCCGGTGCCGATCGGCGCCGTCTTCGCCCTCTCCTGGGGACTTCCCGCCGCTTCATCGTCACCGTCGTCCACGGCAGGGCGGACGGTGGTCGGCGTGCTGTCGGTGCAGCCGCTCTCGGTGGGTGAGATGTACGCCCTCCGCGCAAACTACGACCTCGACCGCTTTCTGTCCTTCAACACTGCGGGCAGCTACGACTACACGGCGACGGACATCTTTATATCTGCCGGTGAGGGCCCTCTACGATACCGCTCTGCTGAGCTGCCGGGCCTTGCCGTGCGCTTCGCCTACATCCGACCCGCCTTCCGCCATCACTTGAAGTTTTTCTTGCGGGAGGTGCTGCGTCAGACGAGGACAGAGGTGCTGCTGAACCTGACGAGCGTCGATGCCTCGCTCTGCCAAACCGCGCTGCTGGCCTTCACGTACGCCCCGCCGCGACGCGTGGTGGAGGTGGAGGGGACGACAACAGCGTCGAAGACAATTACAAACAACTACGCCGGCGGCATCGACGAGGACGGGGATAGCGAGAAGTCAACGATCCGCATTCCCGAGGTGAACGACGTGACGCCGGCGTTGGCGCGCGACAAGACCGCTTCCAACGCCGCCGCTGCTGCGGCGGGGAAGGAAAAGGAGAAGGACGATGAAAGGGGAAACGCCGCAAACCTAGCCCTCAGCTCGCTCTTCTTCACAACGCGCCGGCTGCTTAGTGACGAGCGAGTTCGTGTGCATCCGCGGCTGGTCGTCGTTGGCGCCAGTGCCACGGCGCTCTCGATGCTCTACGAACTCTTCCGCGTCCCCTACGTGGAGCTGCTGAACGTGACGCTCATCGCGACGGACGGCATCCCGCCGCACCCAAACCAAACGATCGGCGACAGCGTCATCGCGCGCTCGCGTCAGCAGCAGATTTGGCAGGCAGACACGATGGGGCTGTTAGAGCGGGAGTACATGCGGCTGCGCCTGGGCGACGGCATCAACACCACCGCCTCCCTCAGCATTGGCGCGAACGTGGTGCGTGTGGTGCAGGGTACGCTGATCGACATCGACACGAACTTGAAGTACGTGCAGCTGGAGAACGGCGTGTACGAACCCTACGACCACCTCATCCTCGCCACGGGCCGGCAGTACATCGTGCCCCCTGCGATCCGCGCTTTACAGCAGCAGGAGGCTCGCAGCACCCTCGACGGCGTCATGGCGCTGTCGGGCGTGTTGGCGGAGGACAAGCTGCGGCACGCGCTGTCGGAGCTCAACCAATCGAACGCCACTTCTATTGCGAACGTCGTCGTGTACGGCTCTGGCCTCGACGCGATCGCGACGCTGTCCACTATGATCTCCGTCGGCTTCCCGGCGCAGCGGCTGGTGCTGTGCCGACCGCAGCCCGACGGCTCTTCGGGTGTCTCAAGCGGCGGCGTCTTCCGCGATGCCGCGTGCGCTGATGCGGCGATGGCGCTGTTCCGTGTGATGGGCGTGACGGTGTTGGACGGTTACGGCGTATCTCGGTTAGAGTTCGACGATGAACTACTCTCCTCGGTGATGCTGGCCTCCTTGTCGTTTGAGCGAAAGGCCGGGGACGCGGTGGAGCTGCCGTGCTCCATGATTGTGTGCCTCGAAGACAAGGACATCGACCACAGCGTGCTCTCCGCGCTGACGAAGCGGTCGATTGTGTTTGACGGCCGCGTCATTGTCGGCACGGCGTATGAGACGAGTCAGCCGGACGTGATGGCGGCGGGGCCCGTCGCGATGTTCTCTCGCCGCTACGGGGCGACCGAGTCCTTTGAGACGTACAGCGCGAGGGACGTCGGGCGCGACGTGGCACACGTGCTGCTCGGCCGGCTGGGTTTGGAGGAGTTCCGCCGTGGCGGGCACGACACGCACCGCAGCACGTTGTCGGAGACGCACCCGAGCACACCGGATGCGAAGGAGGACACGCTAAACGGTGCGACGGCGACCCCAAACACAACTTCTTCGCCCTCCTCCTCTGCCGCTTCGCCGCAGGCTGCTGATGCTGCTGCTGCTGCTGCTGCACACGCGCCGCTGCCGTTTTATCCATCACCGGTGACGCGCCGTGTCCGGATGCCGTGCAACTACCACTACTTCAGTGCTGTGCGCGGCGCAGCGCAGTTCGAACCGAAGGACTGCATTCGATTGGAGTACGCCTCTACCGATATGCCGGCTATTTCCCTCGACGACGTGCCGAACACCGTCACCGTAAGTCACGGGTGCGGCGACGACGGCGAAGAACGCGCGTTGCGAGAGATGCTGATCATCTTCATTCATCGTCGTCATCGCACGGTGGACGGCGTCGTCTACTTCGGTAACGGTACGCCGCCGGTGCACAACTACCGCGCTCTCATTGGACTGCCCGAGTCGCTCTTTCATTTAGAATTTCGGTTCAACGAGGCCCTCGCGAAGGGCGGAAGCAGCAGCAGCGCCGGGGACAGTGAAGAAAAAAGCAGCGCCTCGCTGGACGCCACGACGCAGCGCGCAGGTGGCGGCTGCGGTGTGCTAACCGCACCAATCCGCAACCACCGACTGGACCTCGTTGCTTACCTGCGACTGCCCCTCTTTCACCCTCTCCTCTGCGAGCACTTTACCACGTTCTTTGCGCAGCTGAGACGAGAGGTGGAGACCGTCGAGGAGGTCAACGCGGAGCGCGAGCGCGTGTTGCGTGAGGCGCAGGCATCTGGCAAGCTGACGCCCGAGGATGCCGCGGCGCAGGTGGCCGCGTTGACGGACACCAAGACAGCGTTTCGGTACAAGGTGCAGCTGGCGTTACTAAAGTACCTGCACGAAGGGAAGGACAGGCGCCCGCAGAGCATGTATCTACCGGGCATCGAGAGGCAAGTGGCGATGCAACGGAATGCCGGCTGAGAAGCGCAGCACACAACACAACCGGTTTCCTCTCCTCATTGTGCCGTCTTCTGTGTGCGGCGGTCACAGAGTTCTGTTGTTTTCTCTTTCGTTTGCTTTCCCCCTTTCAATGAATAAACCATCGAGGTCTTCATGTACAAAAGAATGTATGATAGCACTTTTTCTCAAGGTCAATCTGACAAGATTTTTTCCCCCAGGTTTGTATGCTTCGTAGCTGACGTGTATCCCGACGTATGTGCGGTGCGTTTTGATCCGTCTGACGTACCCCTACCCCCTCCTCTTCTTCTTGTGTTTCACTTCACTGCGTCCTTCAACCAAGCAATTTGAGAAAACGAAACGGCCAACGCCTCTTTCCCTTCCTTGTTTTTCTCTAAGTGTGCGTTTTTGGGAAGGTCAATTCTGTTGTGGCGTGTGCGCGTTGCAGTGTCACGGCGCAGCGTTCATCGCCGTTCCAAGCATTGCGCGTTGAGAGCGCGTGAGCAGAGGGGCTGAAAGCGGGAACTTTTAAAACGGTTTTCGTTTTAAACCTTCCTCCCCTCTCCCACGGTTTTGACCAGCGCAGTTCTTTCCGGTCCCCTTCGCGGCCGGAAGTAATGCGTTCTGCTTCAACGCTTCTCCCTCCCCCCGTTGTCGCAAATGAACTCTTCGCTTCCTTCTCCATTCCACTTCCACTTCCTCATCTCACCGGCCTCGATTTTGTGGGGCTTCCTTCTCACACAAAACGCGTTCTTTTCGTGTTGACTTCGCAGCTCTACACCGCTCCCTCTCTCGCTCGCCATTCTTCTTCTTCAAGCGTGCCCGTTCACAGTGCATTTGATTTCTTCTTTGTACTTGTTTTACCGCAACTCCTTAACTGTGCAACAGCATGTTCCGCTTCACCTGCCCCGCCCTGAAGAAGCTGCAGCCGCTGGGCCAGCGTGTGCTGGTGAAGCGCACCCAGGCTGCAAAGCAGACGAAGGCCGGCATTCTCATCCCGGAGCAGGTGGCCGGCAAGGTGAACGAGGGCACCGTGATTGCTGTGGCCGCGGGGTCGAAGGACTGGACGCCGACGGTGAAGGTGAACGACACGGTGCTGCTGCCGGAGTACGGCGGCTCCGCGGTGAAGGTGGAGGGCGAGGAGTTCTTCCTGTACGACGAGAGCATGCTGCTCGGCGTGCTGACCGCGTAAAGTAGAACGTGACTAATAATAATAATAAAAGGTTGAAGCCGCAAGCAACGCGTGGCTTGCTGTGTTTGTGCGTGTTGTGCTTTCGTTGTGCACCACAACGATGGAGCCTCTATTTTTTTTTTTTGGCTAATCTGAACTACTTCCTGTTGTTGCCTTTGTTTTGTTGTTGTTGTGGGGGGGGGGGCGCAGACGGTGTTGGAGGTGACGTTTTTGGATTGGCTTCGCCGGTCCTATGCCCAACCCGAGCACAGATCTGTCTTTGCTTCTTTTCGCCTGTTGTGACGTATACGAACGTGTTACGAATGGTGATCACATTTATTTCCTCAGCGACTTCTGTTATTCTCTCTCTCTCTCTGTGTGAGCTCTTTTGGCGTTTTTCGCTCACCTCTTTTTCCCTTCTTACTTGTTGACTTTGCGCAGCTCACGAACACGTCCGCCAAAAAAAGAAAAAACGAACGTCTCTCTCTCTCTCTCTTCCTCTCTCTCTCCCTGTCCTCATCGAAATCGATGCGGCGAAAACGTATTAATATGTGAAGGAGACGGGCTTTGAGGGAGGTCCAGAAGCGTTTCCTGGACGGAGGCATGTACGGGTTTGCCAGGTGATTGACTCCTGCGGGCGCGTTGTAGCTTGCGTAAAAAAAGTGAAGGAGAAAGCAAATAATAGACAAGAATGAGAAAGCGGGAGTGTGTAAGGGTCGAGAGGCGAAGCGGGGGAGTTTGGCGTTTTGTGCTTACGGTGGATAATCGGGTCGCTGAACGAATCCGCGAAGAACCGCGAAGAGAGAAAAACGAATTAAACCACGTCTCACCATTTCTATGCGTTTAACCGCAGTAGAACATGCTGCCTCAAGACATCAGGCTGGGCGTTGTTTACGTAAGAGAGGTCAACGCAATACCGGACTCTGCCGCATGCACGATGACCGACTCGGTGAGTCTTATTATCCAGCCTTTGCGCACATAGTGCGATACGTGTGTGTGCGACAGATGGGCATCGCTGGTGCAGGCTGGAGAAGAGCTTTTGTCATGCTTGTGCAGCGTCCAAACAGCCGTTTTAATCACGTTCATGGAACACTGCTAGCGTATGGATGAGAAGAGAACGAAAGCAAAAAATATAAAAGTAAATATATATATGTGATAGCGTTGCCTAAGTCTCCTCATCCGCGTCGACTCTCCCACTTCGTGCATATTTGTTCCATTGTGTCTCGCTCTCATGGCGGAGGGGTGGTTGTGGTTGTGGCTGTCCTCCACCGGGTGCAACTTAGCGTCGCGTACCTGCACCCTTCACTTTTGCTGTTTCTCTTTCGCTGGTCTGCGAAAGGGTTTGAGATTTTTGGTGGTTGTTGTGGTTCGCATTCACCATCGCATCATTGGGGCCAATACTAGTATTTTATAGAAGCGCCAAACGAGCCATGTACCGTGAGGAGGACGATGGGTCGGTCATCGTGGACGGCGTCGCTGTTGCGCCGTTTGTGCCGATCCAACACGGGCAGGTAAACATCGCTACGATGAACCTCTTGGGGTACTACTGCTTCCGCTTCGCCCGTGAGCGAGGGTGGCTGCAGACGAGCGAGGAGCTCGCACAGGCCACGCCGTACGCCGAGAGCAACGACGCCCGCCCCTTAATCGAGGACGAAGGGCACGCGTACCGCGGGACCGAGAACACGTTCTTCGCCGCCGGCGTGGAGGAAGCCCTGGCGAACCCGCACCCCCACTTTCACTACCCACCCACGCCGTCTACGCTGCTCGTGTGTGCACACTTTTGGCTGGTGCACGTCGGCAACAGCTCTTATGGGGTCTATGGCAAGCTGTTCACCTATCTTGATGGCCAGAAGGACGTGATGCGGCACCCGCTCGGTACCTTTAAGGTGACCTCGGTGCTGGTCTCGAAGGTAAAGCGGACGCCCGCGCTGTTGGAGCCGAGCAAGCTCACTCTTTTTCGATCGATTCTCGCCCGGGGTGTGGCGAAGGGGGCGCCGGTGCGAGGCGACGAGGACCGCGTGCAGCGTCTCTCGGTGCGGGAGCTGCTGCAGAGCAGTGGCTGGTTTGCCGACGCCGCTGCGGTGGCTGCCATGCAGTTGAATGCCTTCGACGAGACCCCGCCGCCTGCGTTTGAGGTAGTCCTTCCTGGCGTCGCGGCGCCGCTTCGCCTGCTCGCCCGCCGTTCCTTCACCTTGCGCGAGACGGACATCGACTTTAACCTGCACGTGAACCAGCTCGTGTCGAAGCATTTTGTGATCAACGCTTTCCGTGGCGCGGTGGCCGACGCGTCCTGCGCGTATTCGCGCCTGCTGCGGCCCGGCGAGCTGCCGCTGCTCTCCGATTTGCTGCTGCGCAAATTCCGCATCGACTACGTGCGGGAGATTCCAATGCGGTACGTCGCGGTGGAGGTGTTTTTGTTTCCGTTGGACGCGGACCGCGTGCGGGCGCAGTTTCGCGCCGCCTGCGACGCGTCTGCGCGTGTGGCGGGTGTGGAGGACGACAAACGCGATGCGTCGAGCTGCGCTGGGCGGTCCGCGCCAGAGAAAACGGGTGAGGTTACCGATGTGATGGAAATCGGCTTCTTCACGGTCGGCGTGGCCGCTGATGACGCGCCGGTGACGTCTCGCAAATTCATCGCAACCGTTGGTGTGATGTCGGCAGCGACGTGCTTCCTGCCGCAGACGCTGCGCCCGACTGCTGCCGCCCCCTCCTCTTCAATGTAGAGGTTACAATGATTAAACGTGCTGTGGATCTTGTTGTTGTAGTGACTGCTTCTTTTTTCTCCTTAGCCTCACAGAGCACAACCGCACACATACCAGCACTGTTGAGGAGGAAGTCCAAGCAGATGCCGTGCGAGGTGCGTGTGAGCACACGATGGTCGTTCAAAGAAATAATGAACAAAAATGCTTTTACATATTTTTTTTTGCCTCCTCTGTTTTTAAAAAAGTCGGTGACGACTTCGTTGTACGCGATACGTCAGGGGATCTTCCTGCTCCCGCTATAAGTACAATTTTTAGCGCAGTTGCACTCATTCGTTCTACACTGATTCATCCAGTGTTTCTGTACAACAGGAACCAGTGAAAAACACAAAAGGCATACCAAAATAGAGCACGTAAACGACGTAGTCAGAGGCACTTCCCAAAGAACGGGGGAACGACGAGACGAGGATACGCATGTCTCGTGCTTTTTTTTTTTTAGTTCAGGCAGCAATGGAGCGTCTTCTCCGCGGTAATTGGCTGTAACGATGGAAAGTACAAGTACAGCAATTTCATTAAACTGCGTGGGCTTTCGAGATGATGAAGAAAGTCAACGTGATCTGTGTTGCCACTCAAAGGCACGTCAGTAGTAAAGCTGGATGTTTCGCTAATGGCGGGCGTCAGGGGGAGGGGAGGAGTAGCCTGTGTCGTGCAACGTCGTGTTGAAAAGTAATAAACAATCACCCCCTGCAGCGGTGCACAAGTGGCACGTCATACGTCAAAGGACGAAACTCCTCCACATCCCATAAGCACCGCCCTCACCACGTTTCGCACGATCTTTCTTCATTCTTTTCTGTGTCTGCTTGTGCTCGACACCGAACGTTCCGTCTTCCAACCACTACAACACGCATTCCCGCACGCACGCACGCGCGCGCACACACACACACATGTGCGAACTTAAGATTCTTCACACACGCTTCTTTCCGCCACAAACGCTTTGAACGTTAAACGTTTTCCTCTTCTGTTTTTGTTTTATTCACACACACAGACGCAGATAGTTTGCCCTTTGTCTTTTTCTGACTTTTATATCACTAACTAATGTTCCGCTTCACCTGCCCCGCCCTGAAGAAGCTGCAGCCGCTGGGCCAGCGTGTGCTGGTGAAGCGCACCCAGGCTGCGAAGCAGACGAAGGCCGGCATTCTCATCCCGGAGCAGGTGGCCGGCAAGGTGAACGAGGGCACCGTGATTGCTGTGGCCGCGGGGTCGAAGGACTGGACGCCGACGGTGAAGGTGAACGACACGGTGCTGCTGCCGGAGTACGGCGGCTCCGCGGTGAAGGTGGAGGGCGAGGAGTTCTTCCTGTACGACGAGAGCATGCTGCTCGGCGTGCTGACCGCGTAAAGCAGATTACGTAAAGTCCAGTCGTTGCCAACGAAGAAGTTTTCGAGAAGTGAACGGTGTTCAGTTTATTTCAAAAGAACACGTTTTTCTCTCCAGTTACCTCTTCTTTTCCCTTTTCTTTTGTAGCGCCCAGTCGGGTTTACCGCTCCCCCTCCCTCCCTCTCCCCCTCTTTCGCTTTCGTTCTCGCTCGCGTCTCTCGCCCGAGGCTTCTCAACCAGATGAAATAGCGAAAAGAAAGAAGCGCGTGGGGAGGGCGGTGGTACATACACACACACGCAAAAAAAAAAGCGGCGGATGGCGTTGTGAACTGACGCACCGCACACCCTCCTCCCCTCAAAAGAAGGATAGTAAAAAGGTAACGGTAGGAAAACGTGCTTTCTTCGAATTCTTATTAAAAAAAGTGTTCTTCTCTTTTCAAGTATTTTTGTTTTCGATATCTATTTTGTTTTACTTTCGTATGAGTCTCTTCGTATCCGCTGTTCCCGTAAGGACAGCTTAAGGCAGAAAAAAAGCGACTTGCGTAATAGATAGTGGAATGACAGAGGGCAACCCCCGCTCTAACTGTACCGGCGGGGGCGGTTTCGCCCCTGTCTTTTCTTGAATTACACAGCCTAAGTTTTCTCGTGGCTGTTTGCCGTTGGCTCCCACGCAGCAGAAATCGTAATTCGCGTAGGATAAAGCGGTCTGTGTACTACTGGAAGTTGTAATCTTTTTTTTCCCTTTTGCGGTCTATGGGCGCTCTGTTGCAAGCACCGGGGTTCAGAAGAAAAAAGTATTCTCACCCTCCCTAATTTATCCTCCACCTGCGTTTCCAACCTCCACGTGATTCTGCGCATTACCGTTTCTCTCCCTCACACCACTCCCTTTTTTTTTCAAATGTTCCTGCGGGTTTTTTTTTCTTCGTATGAAGCGAAGCGTCAACGAAAGCTCTGGTTTCACTTTCAGGATGCAGTGTCTACTCTCACGCCGCTGCGGCGCTGCTTCCGGACGATTTTCTCCACTTTCAAGAGGCGCTTCCCATGCTGTTTCTTTCGTACATCGTGGTCCCTGTTGCGCACGATGCTCAGCACATCGCTCGGGGGACGCATCCGCCATCGCCGTCGCGAGGCGAGGAGCCGCCACGTTCCACCCCCCGGCCGCGGCGGACGCAACGCCACAGAGGAGACCCGTGTCGACGTCACCGTCGTCCTCCTCGTCCGCGGACACGCCTCTCTTCTCCGCTGATGCGATGAACGGGACGACGGTGCCACTGAGCACCCCGGCCGAGGTCGAACACGCCTTTGCCTGCTCTGTGAAGGCCCGCACCGTCAGCAATGCGCAGCTGCGGCGCTACCTGGAGCATCTCGCGCCAAAGGACTACGCCCTCGCCTCGGCGGCGGTGAAAGGAGCCAAGTCAGGCGGTCTGCGCATCAACGCGAACAGCTACGAAGCTCTGCTGCACTGCCTGATGGGCGCCGGTCAGCTACGCGCCAGCATGGAACTCTACCAGCAAATGATTCAGCAACATATGACACCCACACCGGACATGTACGCCGCGCTGATGGAGTTGTGCCTCCAACGCGATATGCCAAAGCAGTGCCAGACGCTTTTCAACGACTTACAGAAGCGTGGCGTGCGTCCCTCTGCGCGCAACTACGAGTTGATGATTACAAGCCTCGCCGACGAGGTGCCGCCGCAGTGGGAGCGGGCTATCGAGGTGTTCGACAAGGTCGCCGGCGAGCGGCACAGCCGGGTCACCGCACAAACCTACAATGCGCTCATGCGTGTGTACATGAACATGGATCCGTTTGACTGGCGTGTGGTTTACAACTGTTACTCCGAGATGCGCAAGCGTCGCCCACGGATTCGGCTGAAGTGGGAGAGTTACTTGATTCTGAGCGAGGCGTTACGGAAAGGGCGTGCAGGGTACGTGCGGCGCGGTGCTGCCTACGTGGACGCCTGGATCGCCGTGACGCCCCTGCGTTCGTTGGACTTCCTGCTTGGTGCGGCGGTGTACTTTGCGATTGTGATGGCGCTCAAATCTGTCTTGAGCTACGCGATGGTGAGCTACTACGAGTCGAGCGCAACCTCGACGGCGGACTCCGTGTTGCCTGCATAGTACAGGCATATGTAGAAGAGTGTGCGTCTCCGCTTGTCTTCTAGTTGCCCTATTTGTATTCCTTTTAGGCTTCTGTTGACATCGAAGGTGCTGCGGTGGGGTGAAAAACTAGCCTTTTTTTTTGGGAGCCATTACTGCATTAAAGCAAAACGGTGACTTTCATGGGGGAGTTGTTTAGTATTCACAGACGACGATCGACAGGAACAAGGAGATGCAAGACGGAAGATGATGCGGAACGCGAGACGGCCACGACGACGTTCGTTCTCAAATAACTGGGAAAAGGCGGTGCACAAAGAAGCCAAAGTACAGAAGTTTGCTTCTCTGCTTTTTATATAGAAACATTTTTGACGCTTCGGATGTTCCGCGGCAGCGCTCAGTGGAAATGAAAGGAAGAAGAGGAATTGGTTTTTATCGGAGCAGAGGCGCTAAGAATGAAACAGAAATAATGTCCGTTTGATGTGCCTTTCTTTACTCCGTTGGACTCTCATCCTTTTTCTTCTTCTGCATCTGGGCTATTTCACCAACGAAAGCATCAACGAAGCAAATCAACGTGGTTGTCACAGACGACGGTTGCGATACGTTGCTGTATGCTAGCGTATGTATGCATGTATAGAGGATTTCCTGCGTGTCTTTTTTTCCTTTGATTACGCGTTGGGTACCTTGCGGCTTGAAAGGTGCATGCGGTGTATTGGACTAGAGACCCACACGTAATAAAGTCTACTTTGTTTTCCTTCCATTTAATAATCGTACAGAGGCACCTTTCAGCTTAATACACACACACACACACACATACCATTTTACTGTGATGTCGTCAACGGAGCCGAGCGTTGATCCTGCCTCCGCAACTTCCACCGAGGTAGTGGCCACCACCTCCCTCGACGCCTTCTCCCCCGATGAACTGAACATGGCAGAGGTCGCCCTGCGCACCGTAATGGAGGCGAAGGTGCAGGCGCTTGCAAAAGAGCAGGGCGAGGCGGCCATCCAAAACCTCATCCAACACGAGATTGCGAAAACGCGTAAGTTGGAGTCTGATCTGGCTGCCGTGAAGAAGAAGTTAGGCGCACAAGAGCGCGTAGTAGACGACCTGCGCGCCGAGATGCGCAAGGCGAGCGCACAGGAGGAGAAGGCGAAGTACATGTGTCACGCCTTGCAGGACACGGCCAAGAAGCGCGAGCAGTTGACGGAGAAGATCAGCGCGGAGATGGAGTCGTACCGGCAGGGCGTCCGCGAACGTGTGGAGCAGAACGTGGAGAGCATCCTCAGCGAGTGCGCTGCGAAGCGCGAGCGTGTGGAAGCGGCAGAGGCGGAGGTGGCGGAGCTGGAAAAGATGGTCACCGAGAAGAAGGAGGTCTTCGAGAACAGCTTCGCTGAATTTCAAGACGGCCTGAAGGATCGCACGAGCCAGTATCAAGAATTAATTGCGGCGTACCAAAAGGCGGCAAATGAGGTGCAGCTGCTGGAGGCGCGGCTGTCGTTGATGCGCCGGGAGCGCAACTCGGTCGAGATGAACCGCGCTGGTCTGCAGCAGCAGCTGGAGGTGTACGATAGGCAGTTTGAGGGCTTTGCGAAGTCGGTCATGACGCCGGCGGATGTGGAAGCCCTCGCACAACGGCAGCTCGAGCAGACGCAGCTCCGCCTGGGCGAACTGGAGAAGGAGAAGGTGAACCTACATCAGCAGCGCCTTGATATGGATGGGGAACTGACGGAGCTGCGTGCGAAGCACGCCGGATTAAAGCGGGAGGTGAAGCAGCTGGAGAAGACCCGAGCGGCGGCGGAGAAGCGCTGTCGTCAGGCACAACAGAACCGCGCAATGAAGAAGTGAAAAAAAAAAGATAATAAGAGGGAAGGAGATAGGAGTAATTCTTTTTGATGCCCACCTGAGCTTGCGCGCTCATTCGTTTACCTACGCACCCGTGTTACCCCGTTTGAGTCCTTGTGCCCTTTTGCCGTTGCCGTTGAATGGCAGGAGAGAGGACGTATAGTGTTCGAGTACACTACGGTAAAGCACCTGAAAAAGTAGAGAAGTTTAAGAGAAGAAAAAACGTTTCTTTTTGAAAACAGAAGAGTGAAGCTGATGACGTCCTTCGCCGCGACGTGCGTTCGAAGAACCAACTGTTTCTTGTCTGCGGGTGTCTTACCTTTTTTTTCTACTCCGCGTGTTAAATTCTGTTCTCTGACTCCTGACGTTCATTTCATCTTTTTCTTCTTTGATTGGTAGCTTCTGGAGGCTCCATCGAGTGCTCGTTGACACGCCTCACACGCACGCACCACCTCAAAACGGGGTCACAGACAGTCGCTGTTCTTCGTCGCCTATTTCCCAGTTCTCACACCTCCGAACCACCTCTCTCTCCCTCCATCTCGCCGGTTTTGTGAATTTTGCGTGTTTGCCGGACGAGCAGAAACAATCGCAGGCGGTTGGACCTGTGTGTTCTCCACAACGGCAGTGAAGCAGACGCGGTGTCACACGCGTGTAGTGGCTTCTATTTTCTTCCTCTTCTTCTCCCGTATTTTCCTTTCATGAAATCTGCTCGTTGTGGACACGATTTCCTCCTCCTTCGCAGAAAGAATGCGCTGTTCTTTTCGTTGCCTGTGCAGTAAGATCGACCTCGATGGCGTCTCGTCCAGGTACTACCCGCGGTTTCGTCCCCGCCGGCTCGTGATGCCGGTCGATCCGAGCGACGTGCACAGCGCCAAGCGCCAGCCGAGCCCGTTGTACGAGGTGCTAAAGGCGCAGACGCGGCGGCGCCGACAAGCGGAGCGGCGGGGCGTCGTGCAGCTCGGCACCGTGCCCGCGGAGCGCAGCGTCGGCGACGCGTTCCGTCTAATGTTGGAGGCGTGTGCGTTCCAGCAGTTGTTTTCTGACACCGCGCTCACACCCGTCGCCGTGCGCGAGTTGGAGGCACTGGTGGACGCGCATAGGAAGTCAAAACAGGAGCGGAAGGCGAAGGGTGCAGCAGCAGGAGCAGACAGCCACCTTCATTGCGGTGCGGCGGAGGATAACCCAAAGAAGACAACGGAAGCAAGCATCAAAGCGCACCACACATCCGTGATCGCCTCTCCCTTGTACTCCGTCGCCTTTCACGACAGCGTCGTCCCTGTCGCCGCTCAGCATCTTTCCTCCACCGCACCCAATGACACCAACAGCAACCATACGCTTTCTGTGCGTATGGTGGACACGCTGTGGGACATGCTGGATCACACCCCGCTCAACTCCCCCGTACACGGCGAGCTGGCCCTGCGTGGCGACGCTGTTGTCCGCACCACACTGCTCGAGCTCGCCTACGAAGCCTACCCGCGTCTCCGCTCGAGGCACGTCCAGCAGCTGCTGCACGAAACAACCGGATTGCTGCCGTGCGGGCGAGTTGCCATTCGCATCGGTTTTGCGGAGCAGTGCGGGGTAGAGGGCGACATTGCGATGTGGCGGGAGTTAAATACGCTGTCAGAGCGACTGCGACTCGCGCGAAAGCAGGCGACGGTGCACCTTCAGCGAATGGAGAAGGGCGTGGCGGCGCAGCGGCGATGGTACTGGCGGGCGGTGCTGCGTTCTGCGGCGGGGCGGCTGAAGCTGTTCCCGGTGCACAAGGAGGATCTGCTGCCGCGATTGGAGTGGATACGCAGCTCGCTGTTTGCCTTCATTGCGTTTGTCGAAATGGCAGAGCAGTCGGGCGACACGCAGGCACGGGTGAAGCCGCTGATTTCACATCTCTTTGCCAGTCAGTTGGCGCGGCACGTGCGGCGCCGACGCGTGCTGGACGCTGCGGCAGCCGCCGTTGAATCTCTCACGGCGAACGCCAATGCTCCCACGGAAGCTTTTTCGTCAGATTCTCCATCGAGAACGGCTGAGGAATCAGCTGGAAAAGAAGGAGGGAACGACAATTCAGACCTTTTGCTTGCCGCGGAGCGTGTGGCAGCAGAGCTGGCGCGAGTAACAGCACGAACATCAGATGAGGAGGAAGTGCTTGAGGAGCGTACGCATCCCATGAACCGCCGTGCCGATCGCACACGAGACCAGTACGAGTCCAGCGGTGGCGCCCACGGCACTCAGATGCTGCACGATGAGTCCTTAGAGCGCCACGCAGAGGCACATGCGCGGCTGGCGCCGCCGTTGCTGCTGCACGCACTCTCCTCGACGACTATCAACGCTTTTAAAGAGGCGCAGCTCGTGCTCCGCTACGCGCCGGAGACGTCCGAAACGCTGCGGCACGCGCCGATCGATGTGGAGCAGGCCGTGCGGCGTGTGGTGGATGTGCAGGAAACGAACAGCTACGCCGCGTTGCACCACGCACAGCAGTACCGGCAGGTAGAGTACACGGTGTGTCGTCTGTACGCTGGCAAACACTGCCTCGGCGAGGGCAAAGGGGAGACGCTGATGTCGGCGATGCAGGACGCGTCACTCGAGATGCTTTTTCGCTACTACTTCGCCTCCCCATCATCTCCGACACCGTCGGCAGCAACCTCGACGGAGAGCCAAGGAGGAAAGAAGAGGCGAAATGAAGTGGGCGTAATCTCGTTGAAAGACGGCGTTCAGGAGGATGGGGATGATGGCGGTAGTGTTCCCGCTGCTCGCATACACCCTCCGCATACGGAGGAAGAGATTCTGCTCTGACCCCCGTGCGGTATGCACTCCCTCTTGGCCTATTAGTTTTCTTTTTGCCGGTTCTTTTCGTTTTTCACAGTCCTCTACTAATATATTTAAGAAAAACACGGTGAAGTAACTGGTGAAGGGCGAGGTGGCTTTTTTAAAAGCTGTGCCTCCAAAGTGTGTTTGAATGGATGCTGTGGTACCTCCTTCGCGTGCTGGAGAAAACAAAGGAAAAAAGAAGCGGAATGCTGACCGTTTTCTCTGTTTTTTTTTTTCTTCTTCTATTGAAGACGACAGGAGGGGAGGCAGCTCGCGTTGAGCACAGAAAAGCCGGAGGTGGTCGTTCGATTCGTCAGCGGTCTTGCTTGTTGATTCTCTCCTTTTTTTTTGGGGGGGGGGGAGGGGGTTACTGAGCACCTCTGTGGTGTACGTGTGTTGTCACTCATGAGTCCATGTCCATTCGCACTGACAAGCGGCTCATCTCCCTCCTTGGTGTTTCTATTTCTCTCTTCCTTGACTGATGAACGACGACGACGAAGGCTTGGCCAGCGCATCCACGTTTATCGCTTTCATAGAAATCGCTGTCTTACACCGCATAGATTTGTCGCTCTACCTCTTCACGTTGTAGAAGCCGGATTGAACGAAACGGATTGAGATTGAAAAAGGAATCAATTGGGCTTCAAATATCAAAAAAGCTTAGTGACCGAGAAACACACACCCACACACTCAGAGAGAAACAAGTAACACAACTAAACAAAAGGAGGGGGAGCTAAAGAATGTCTGTTGCGCGCTCTGCCTATCGTCAACTCCTGCGGGTGGGGACGAAGGTGTCGGACAAGTACACCGATCCCAACGACATGTGCTTTGCGCTCTTTGGCCTCCTTGTCACGCGGCAGGACTTCGTGAATGCGGGGTACAGCGGGCACTTCCCTACTATCCTGCGCACCTGCTTTTTGCGCCCCTCCGTCCGCGGCGATGCGCACGACACGGTGAGCGCACGCATCAGTGCCGCCTTTGACGCTCTGCGCCGTCTGAACGAAATCAACGCCTCCAATGCGGCCTTTCGCATTCGCGACCTGCGTCGGCAGATGGCTGATACGGCGGAGGCAAAGGATGGCGCGGTGACTGCGGAACCTTCGCCAGAAGCAACCAAGTCGAAGGGAGGAGAGACAGGCGCAACAGCCTCTGCCAGCACCAGTAGTGGTACTGCCGCTGCCACTGGCACTACTTCATCAACGGGATCCACTACGCTAGCAGGTAATGAGACGCCAGCGTCGACTTCTGCACCTCCGGCAGACGCAGCAGCGTTCTCTTCGCCTTCTTCGCCTCCCTCCACCGCATCTGCGCTGAGCGGGGCAGAGGCGTTGGCCGCGGCAACCTCCAGCGCCGCTCGCGCCGCATCACACTCCAAAACGGGCAGCACCACGTACAGATTAGACGAGGGGGTCGACCTGATCCGGGGGTCCGTGCTGATCGAGCGCTCCTCGCGTCGTCGGATACAGAACTTTCCGCGGCACTGCGTCGTGTGCGAGCCGATCAGCATGCTCTTCCCGCCGTACCGCTTCTGCCTGCCACCCGAGCCGGCGTACCTACTCGCCGTGCGCAACGAGTTCGTGCTGTACGGCATTACGGACGTGCTGTTGGCCCTGTCGGCGACGAGCATCCTCAACACACCCCGACCGGCGTGCCATCGCGGCGCGGAAGGCGTGAAGGACAGCCCCGCCGTGTTGGAGGGGGGCGACGATGAGGCGGCGGCACCGCGCGGTTTCCCGACGACGCGTGCGGAGCTGCAGCAGCTCGTGCGTAAAATACCGACCCGCACCGTCATCCAGACGGACGTCCTGGAGGTGGAAATAACGACGGAGTACGTGTGCTCCAACCCCGCCACGGCGTCGAATGGGTCCACTTCAACCTCCCATTCCACGGCAGCGGCAGCACCAAAGAAGAAAAGCAGCATGGACGGCGCCTTCACTTCCACCACACCGTTAAAGGGCGGGCCAACGCCGTCGCCGTTTGCCGGAGGAGACAGCAGCAGCAGCGGCGGTGCCCGACACACGAGCGCGTCTTCCACGAACAGCGCCACATCCGGCCCCGGCTCCGCCCTCTCAGAGGACGATGACACGAAGGCGCATCTCTTCTTGTATTACGTATACGTGCGGAATCGCGGCCCGCAGAAGAACCCGCACCGCTGGCACGCGCAAGTCCTCTCGCACCACTTCGTCGTCGTCGATGTGGCGCAGGCGCAGGTGCTGGAGATGGGCCGCCCGGGTGTGATGGGCAACTTCCCGCTGCTCCCGCCCGGCGCGTCGCACTGCTTTGAGAGCGGTACCACCCTCTCCGGCCCCGAGGGCTTCCTTCGCGGCTCGATTCAGGTGAACCTGTTCAACGACGCGGGTGAGATGATGATGCTCGACGCGGCGGTGGCGCCGACGCGGCTGACGGTGGAGGTGACGAGTGCGAAGGGCTTTACAAGTGGGAAGAACGCGCGGGACGAGCTGGTGCAGCGCAGCAGCGAAGGTGCGTCGAGTGAGGAAGGCAACGAGGAATAGAATAGATGTGCATGTGTGCCTAGGGGTGCGTTGCGCAGCGGCCCATTAGCGTATCTCTGTTTCTCTCCTTCATCGTCCGTTGCTCAACGCCAAGAGCGGTGCCACGGCACTTCTTTACACTGGTATGTATTTCGATACTTCCATAATTATTATCCCTTTCCGTTTTTGTTTTATTTTGCTTTGCGTGCGTTTGTTTGTTGAACGCATCAACGTGGTGCCATCCCAGCGCGCCGCATATCGAGTTGTCGATAGTATTCTTATTGTTGTTTGTTGCTGCTTCTCACCGCGAATCGACGCACTCTTCAGATCGTTTTCTGAGCGCTTTTGTGTCGCAGTCCCCATTTTTTTTTTTGTTTCCAACGATGAACGCAGAAACAGATTTCTCCATGTCCCCTTTTTTTAGTTTCGTTATGAGGTGGCAGCTTGTGAGTGAGTGGGTGAGTGAGTGTGCGTGGTGGGTATATCGATGTGTGCGGGGGCAGCGGTGCGGCCACCGTTTATCTACAGATCCATACAACAACACCAACTGTCCGATAAAGGTGCAGCGCGTATCCGATGCAGCAATGGTGTGTATACTGAAAGATAATCAGGCACCTTGAACGAGTCGGCGCTTTCTTTTGCGATGCATCACTTCTCTGTGCGCAGCTTCGCACCAGCACAGTGTTTCCAATCGTCCGAAGAGCACGAACGCTTTTAAACTTTTTTTTTGCAGCGTTTCGCGCTTTTGTTTCTCTTGTGTTGCGCACTTAACCTTCACAGAAACACGAAACGAAGAATTTTTTTCTTCGCTCTCAACCAAATGGACGCCTCACTGGAGGAATCTGCTTTTACTACCATCGTGGGCGACATCTCTCTTTCCTCTTTCTCTTTTTCTGCCTCTTTCCGACATACAGAATTCTTCTATAATAATAATAATTATTATTATTGCGGCCGTTTGTCCGTCAGCAGCCGTGTTTTGTGTAAGCTCACAACAAGGTTCGACTTCACTTTCTCTCTCTCTACATATATATTTCACAGCATACGTGGAGAAAAGCGAGTTCAAGTCTTTTTTCCCCCTTTTGCCTCTCTTTTGCGATTTCGCCTGAGGCGACTGCGCAGATGGACGCACCCGGCACGGCGTTGGAGCAGTACTTCAATCAGCTCATTCACATGCGTCTCCTCGCACAGGTCGTTGTTTCGGATAAGCAGGGCAACACAATTCTCGCCTGCTTCGGGTCGCCCGACTCCACGATGAACGACGGCGCCGGCGCCGGGGACGGCAACAACCACAACGGCGGCGGCGAGGGACAGGACGAGGAGGAGTGGCAAACGGAGAGCAACGTGACGGTGAGCGGCGCGCGTTATTTTCAGAACTTAGAACAGCTGCAACTCGGGACGCCAACATACATCACGGCGCAGTACCACGACGCGGTGGTGGTGCAGCTGATGGAGCCTGGAGGCTGCATTCTGACCTTGATCGGCAGCCGTGCGAAGGGACAGTTCACAGGAGGACTCTTGTCACTGGTTCCGCAGATTCGTCGCACGACGGTGTATACGGAGCTGCTCCGGAAGGTGGAGGACTGTATGCAGTAACACGGGGACGTTAACGTTATATATTTATGATGTACTTCGTAGCTTTCCGCTGACCGCTTTGCCGTCACAATTGTCTTATGCAGCCTGTGAGGTGGCTGAACGTCTCGCCAACGATGGAGGTGGGAGACGTGAGGATGCAGTGTTCTTTCTATTTGCTCTGCTTTACATTATGTTGAAATATAATTTGTGTGTGCGTGTGTGCTTGGTGTTGTTGATGCCGTCGTTGCCTACGGAACCGCGCTGCGAAGGACTCTAGTCCTCTTTGTTGTGTGCGCTTTTTTTTTTTTGTTTTGTCTGTTCTCCTTCTGATGTTTTGCTTACACACACACACACACACACACACACACACACGCTAACGTTTGCAGAAGTCAAACATACACGCCTTTTCTTTTCTTCAGGTTGGCACTCCACAGCTTCTCTCTGCTCGACAGGGTGCGGATACAACACCGATGACAGCATTCGAGAGCTTCATGAATACTTTTTTTTAGGGGGCTGATGGATGCGACGACAAGTGTTCCAAGTTGCCGTATGGCGCGTGTGCGTCGATGTTTCACACGTACAATCGAATAAACCGGAATTTTTTCGGGCAAGAACCGTTCGCGCCGTCCCGTGGGGCTTTTCTTTCTCCTTCACTTTACTCGTTCACCCGCTCACTGCTCTTGCTCCTTCTCTTTCATACTATTGCTATTATTGGTTTTTAAATATGCCTTCTCCTGCACCAGAGGGCGTCGTAGTTGGATGCACACACCACACGAACCACTTCATAGAGTTTACCAAAAATTAAAATACTTGCAGGAATCCAGCGCGGTGTTTTCACACTTTCTTGCACTCTCTCCTCTTCTCTTCTTACTCTTATTATTATTATTTTTATTTGGTAGTGGGGCTGGGCAGTCACTCACAAGCACCCCGACATACGACCACCTTCGTACACGCACCCACGCACCCATTGCACGCACCGTTCGATTGTTGTATGGAAAAGGTCAAACCAATCGAACTTCACATACATCCAGTTTGAACACCAACAGCAGCGAACAGGAGGAGATATATATATATATTGTTGTTGCGTTTTGTGTGGAAGGTAGAAGACAAGGAAAATGAGCAGCCTCAACGACGGCTCCGGGCCGACGAAGTCGCAAAACGACTCTATCCCCCTCGACGACGAGGAGAGTTCCATGTCCATCTACTCCGACGAGGAGGAAGGCGAGTACGACCCGTCCAACGAGCCGTCCGAGGTGGGCCACTCCTCGCTCGATTACAGCTCCGTCAGCCGCACCTACCTGTCCCAGTCGCAGTCCCGCGGGCCCGCGCCGCAGTCGGAGGACTACACCGCCACCGCTAGCTACTACTCCAACGGCGCGGGCGGGTCAAACTCGTACGGCTACGACGACGAGGACTACGAGTACTCCAGCGGGTACGACTCAATGACCTACGGCGACGCGTCACTTCGCTCCCCCAACTCGGAACTGAGCTCCACCTTTGCCTCGTTTTACTACGAAAACGAGTTTATGATCAAGGCTCGCTCGACGCTTCGCTTTCTGCGCCGTCCGCTATATTACTTCGCGTTTGCCGCTGCCGGCAGCGGTGCGGTGGGCAGCGTCTTTCGACTGGCGACCACAGTGGTGAAGAGGCATTTAGACAGCGGCGTCGACCTAGTCGATGCGTCGCTCAGCGCGCTGCCGGGAGGTGCGGGGAGTGCTCTGCAGAGTGCTGGTCTCGGCGCTGGTGCGCAGCTGCCTTCCGGGTATCCGAACGTGCCGGCGTGGTTGCAGGAGGTGCGGGCGTCCTTGCCGAGTGTGGTGGAGGCCCCCGCGGCGTGGCTGCTGCAGCGCAACAACATTCCTGTGCTGTCTGACCTCGTCAGCCAGCAACAGCAAAAACAGCTTCCGATTAGTGCCACCGCCTCCGCGAGGTTTGGCTCCCAGGTCAGCTCCGGAGTGCAGGAGGCGTGGTGCTCGTGGCAAAAGACGGGTCCTGCCATCCCTGTCGCCCTTTTCCTGCCGCTCTTCTCCGTCGTCGCCGTGAAGGTCGCACAGCACGTCCGACCAAATCCGCACAGCCTCTCCGTGCTGCTGCGCGCACAGCAGGACGCCGAGGATGCGGAGGTGGCCTCCGCCTACTTATCCACAACCTCCCCGGCCCGACCGGTCAGCCTGAGCGCCAGCCCTATCGTTGCTGCTGCTGCGGGGACTGCTGCAGGGGATGGTGCGGCTGCCTCGGCGTTGTCGTCCGCACGCAGCACGAGCTCGATGGACGTGCCACCGACCTCGCGCGCCGCAGCCCCTTCTCCGCCGCAGGTCCCACCGGTCGACATCGCCAGTGCCACACGCGCCGCTGCGTTGGATGACCCAACCGCGACGCCGGAGGCACGGCAGCCGGCCGCAGGTACGTTGAGCAGAAACAACGTGTCTCCCACCACTACCGGCATCACGCCAAGCTCGACGGATGACTTTGCCAGCGAGCCACGTGAGCGGTCACGGTCGACGACGCAGGCTCCGCTGACGCACCGACACGTAGCGGGGGATGGGGTAGAAGAGGAGGATATTGATGTCGACACCGGCGCGCGGGTGCAGATGCCGTCCGCCTCCGCCGCAGCGAAGGGGGATGCCTACGACCCGGCAGCGAAGCCAAAGTCACCTGCACCACAGCCGCCGCAGCCCGCGGCGGCGCTTTCTGTTGCCGGTAGCACCGTCACGACCGGCTCCACCACTGCACAGGGGCGGCTCGGGCAGCAGCGGGGCTCCACCCTGCGTGGCGACGTGGTGGCCGCCGTGGCGGGGACGCCGGATGTGCGCGAGGCAAACGTGGCTCTTGTGGCGGCGGCCCGTTACGGGTGCAGCGCGGTGTTGCTGCCGGCGTCGCTGGAGCACGCCGCGGGCCTGCTGGAGGCGCCGCCGTCGCTGGCGGTAGAGTTCGTGCACGACGTCGTGGTATCCGCGGTGGGGGTGGCGGGGCGGCGTGGGCTGGCGCTGTTGGGCGTGACGGCGCAGCGCTGGGACGCGCGGTCGCTGCCGCTCGACACCTTTGCGCATCCGGTGAACGCGCTCTACCTCTTTGTGTCGCACGAGTCTGACAGCCCGGCCGCGGTGGCGGCGATGTCGGAGGTGGTGCAGCAGAGCGTTTTTCTGGGTACGTCGCGTGGGGAGCTCCCGGCGAACCAAGTCTTCTACGATCGCTTGCGGAAGGAGAAGGCAGCGAGTTAGACGGCGCCGCGGATAGCCGGACTCGTCGAAACCAAAAGAAAAGAGGGTTAGGGAACAGCTGCGAAGAGGAGCACCTAAACGCGCACGTTCTTCTTCACTTCCCCCCCCCCCTTCCCTCCTCCATTTCAAACCCCCTCTTTTTCTAGCGAAGCTGCAGCGCTGTTTGTCGGTCTTCGGCTTCCCCTTCTTTCCATGCTGCGAAGAACACCGCGGTATTTTGGACAACAAAGACGACGACAACTTCCACGACCCACCACGAAGGTTTTTTTTGGCCCATTTCCTGGAAACCGTGTCGCCTGTTTTGTGCGTTGCCTTGGCTCCCTCTCATTTAGGCCTCGTATACATCTGTACTAATTACTCCTCGATGCTGTTTTTTCTCTTCCCGTTGATTCTCCATGATTCACCATAGAGTTGTTTTCTGTTCTATCTTTCTTCTTCTGCCTCCCTTCTCCTCTCGCCCTTCTTTATCGGTGTTTGTGTCTTCGTCGATCGTCTTCCTTGAAGAGTAGGAATTGTGATGACAGTGCGAAAGGGACGACGTCCACGACCAAGCGAAGGATGGGCGTGGCGTGAGCAGAAGAAAAGAGAGAAAATGGAATGCGAGTAATGGAACGCGTCTTCAACACATCTTCGCGGCCTTTTGCTCTTTTTTTTCTGTGCTTTTTTTTTCTTTCGCTGTACCTTTTGATTTGAGCGTGTATTTATTGCTATTATTCTTACTCTTGTTATTACCTATGCTGAAGGGAAGGTTACCGGTAGACGACGCACACACGTACATATATGTACCTACATGCCTACATGCACGCCAACCAAGACAATGCGAGGGAGGTGACTCTGCAGAGGTCTGTTTGATTGAAATTGAGAGGAAATGCACATCCCCTGGTGGTTTCGTTCTTCTTTGTATTTTCTCTTTTTTTTTCTGCCCCCGTGGTGTTATTCGCACTTTGTCGCATGAGAACAGCTAGACGTGAAGGATACCGAAACGAAGAAAATAATAGCACTAACAAAGTGAAATTTCTTGTTCAGAATATGTTGTCCTACTTACATGGCGTTGACCTGAAGGTGACCTTGTGCATCAGTGCACGATAGCTGAGGTGAAAGTGTATTCATCCACACACACACACACACACACGCAGAAGGTGAAAGCGAAAGGGTGAACCGCATGAGGAGAAAAAGTCCTTTGTCCCAACTCCATTCCTGCTCCCCCCCCCCTGTCTCTTTCCGTTCTGGCTCGCTCTACAACCTTTTCATTTATTCATTCCAGTTTTTTGGGTGCAATGTGAGACAACACTCGGTGATAAGCTTGGATTTGCAATTCCGCACTCACACACGTAGCAGAAAAATACTGTTCTTATCGATCGTTTGCGCATTCTGGTCCGAATTTTGTTTTGCCCATATTTTCTAGGTTTTCTTTTATTTACCCGCGCACGCGTTTTCAGCGCAGGTAATCGCCAGCATGCACAGCAGTGGTGTCGGTGGTGTCGGTGGTGGTAGGCGTTTGCTGCGTCGTTTAATGCGTCCTCAACAACGGCGTCGTCGCGTGCTCACCGTCGCGGCAGCTGGCGTTCTTATTTGCTTCATCGTGTTCATTCTTCCTCTGCTCTTCTCCGCCCCTAAGAAAATCGAGACCCAGGCGAATGGACAACGGCTGCCCACGCTGAAGTCACCGACGGTCCTACCAGACCAAACACAGGCGACACACGCCCCAGCACTCGGCGATGATGGAACACGACAGCGTCTGCCGGAACCCACGGAGGGCAAGCAGGGCGGAGGCGGCGCCGATCCGCAGAACCGATCGACACATGCTGCGGCCCGTGCAGGGGGCTTTCAGGAGCTCTACGCGCTGGAGTTGAAGGAGCTAGAGGCGTTGGACCTCTTTGCGCTGCGTCCAGGCGAGCAGAAGGTGTCCTTTGAGCGCTTTGCCGGCTGCCTCGGCACATTGCTCGCGGTAGACCCGGTCGATCAGACCGAGGTGCCAAGGCCAAGCCCGGCCAACATGCAAGAACTGCCCCTTATGATCTCCGTCACCGCCGGCAACACACAGGACCTCAAGGCGATGATATGCAACCTGAGCGTGTCCTACAAGTACATCGTGCTGGCGCAGACGGGCGACACCCCAGAAATGACGCCGTTCTTTGACCTCCTCACTCGCGCGTTTCGTTTCACGAATCGTTTGGTAGTGCTGCAGTTTAAGAACAGCATCGGCTTCGCTGGCGCCGTGAACGCAGGCTTACGCGAGGCACTGCGTCACCCTTTTGAGGAGGTACCCTTTGTGCACATCATTCACAACGACGTGCGTTACGTGGGCACCGCACTGGCAGACTCCATTCGGGACGCGTATTGGGACGTGCGAGACGACAAGGCGGTGATCGCGAGGTTAGAGGCAGAGGTGAAGACGGAGCCGAACAACTACACACCTCTTATCCGGCAGCCGCACGGGCTACGTGCGCCAATCTCACCTGACGGTCCCTTGCCTCAGCTGAGCAACAATCCGAATGTCCTTGTGACGTCCGCGCTGCTGCCAGACCGCGTGCGTTATATGAATAGTGTCGATCGCAAGAGCGAATTTCATGACCGCGTCGGGATCGCCTTCCACGGCAGCAAAGGCGAGTATACGGCCGTCTATTTATCCCGTCTGGCTGTGCTGACCGTCGGCTTCTTTGACGAGAACTTCTACCCCGCCCTGCTCGACGACACCGACTTTCGCTGGAGGGCTGCCATGCTGGGGTTTACTGAAATGCGGCTTCCCGACTTTGACAAATCTCTCGTGGCCTTCGACGGTGATTGCACCAGCGTGCGGGTGGATGGGGAAGAGGAGGGCAGACCCGCCCTACTGATCCCCGTCGCGCGCAGGCAGGCGGCGGCGGGCGGGCCGAACAATGGCAAGGCGCAGCTCTCCCCCGCCACAAAGGCGCTGCTGCGGGAGTGTGCAACAGCATTTTACCGATCGGTGCAGTTCAGCTACATGACCACCAAGTGGAACGTGGCCGACTTTATGGCTCTGGCGGGGCCGATGACGTCTCACCAACCCTACACGCTGGACGCCTTCAGCGGCAAAGCGCACCTTCCGCTGGATGCGTGGGTCGTGGACACGCATCGGATTTCAGTGGTGAAGAGGTCGCTGCGGGATACGGGGGCTGGCGGTCTCAAGACCGAGCCGTACAACCCGCAGGTCATCCTGGAGGCACTGAGGTAGTCCGGCAACGGCAAGAGTGGGCAACGCTTTTTTTCTCTCTCCCTCTTTCGATCTTGTTGGCTTTATGGGTGTATTCGACAATGCCACACACACACACGGGCGAACGTAAACGCCTGCCGATAGAGCCACTCCCGAGTGTACTTTTCAGAACAAAACAAAAAGGAAACGATAAACGGTTTATTCAATCTTCTTTTCATAGCGACCGTATTCAGCAACTATAAAAAACCGATTTTTTGTGTCGAGCGTGTTCGCTGATTTCATTCACATACGAAAAAGGTGGGAATGCGGTCTTCACTACCCTTCTTGGCTGCCTTTCTGTTTTTGTTTACTTTGCCTTCTTTCAATCTTTCGCTTTCTAAGCATCTTTGATCACGTGCCCTCCTTCATCAGTCTGATACGTGTGAGCAGATTATTTCAATGCTCTAGGAGTATAAGCATTGCGACACGCAATCAAACGCAAAAAGAAATGAAAAAGCGAAAATCATTAACTGCACCACGAACGGCATGCTGTGCCGGATGATGGGGAAGGGGGGCGGGGGGCCGATTAGTGCCCGTGTAGGGAGACATTTTTGTTGTTGTCGAAGCATGGCAGTGATAAGGACACGGAAGTGCTGTGTTTAAAAAAAAGAGAGAAGACAACTACCGTTTGTGGATTTTCAAAGAAAAGTTCTGCCTTTTTGCGGCATCATGTGTGGATACGAAGAGTGATGAGCTCCAACCAGCACTGAGCACGCGCAACTATCTTCGTTTCCTCGTAAAGGTGTCAACGCCAACAGCGCATTGATGCTGCACTGTTTGCTTTTCTTTTCCTTCTCAGCTCTGTCGTGGTCGACCTCATTCCTCTCTCTCTTTTCGTTCTTTGCCTTTATGCTTTAACATCGAGCGTGTGTATCAACATTTTTTCTCCTGAGTGCAAGGAAAGGTGCGCAACTGGTCACGGGAAACAACAAGTTTTGTATTTCTTTCTAAAGGTAGTAGATTCCGTTGCTTGGTACCGGCCTACAGGGTAGGCTTCACGTTCCATCAGCGAAAGAGGAAATCTACACACACACATATACACACGCACACATACGCAAAAGAAGTTCACTTATCTGTGGCAGTTGTTGTCTCACTTTCCATTTTATTTCTTTTGTTTCTTTCATAGACCGACAGCCTTTTGCACACCTATACATAGACGTATTATTCGAGTTTCTGAATCCTGCGAAAGCGGACGCGTAGATTTTTCTGATTACATTACTGGATAAATTAGGTTTAAACCTGATAGAAGCGCGTAGGCGGAATTGCGCGCGACAGCTTATAATACTGCTACAGCTTTCTTGCGTTTTCCCCCTCTCTTATTGTTCTTATGAACGTCATTGGGTTGGAAGAGAGTCCGTGCGATCAGCACTGCACACCTTCAGCGTCGGCCGACTCGCATGGCGAATCGCGGAAGGACCACACGCTCGTCAACGTTTCTTCTAGTTCCTGCACAGATGCACACGGGCCTACCCGTGCGGTGACGGCGTCGTGGCTGTCCGTAGCGGTGACCTGCGAGCTAAGCGTGATTGTGCAAACAAGAGCGGCCCCCGATAAATCGAGTAAAGATGACCTTTCACCGCGCCTCGCCGCGTGCCACGGTGTCACTGGAAGCAAGTCAGCGCCACATTTCACACGTGTGTCGTGCGTGAACATGCAAGAGCTCTGCGAGCGGCACCACGGCGTGCTGTCACCGCCTTTCACGGCCGAACGCGTCTTGGCAAAAGATGTCAGCACTCGCAGCAACATCGCTTACTCCCTCCCGGAGAGGAGCGGGTGGGCCCGTGATCGTGCGAGTTCGCCTGGTGGAACGCAATCGTGGGCATCGGTGAGAACGACACGGTGCTGCAGTGCTGCTCCGATCGCGTCGAAGCGCGAGCACGGTGCGAGTGTCAAAGGGAACACGCAGTCGAACCAGGGAAATGCCAATCCTTCCTCCCCCCCATCTTCACCTTTGCCTCGACAAGTCATGGAAAGCGTCGCCCAGGTGGTGGCCGCCGCGCGCGAGCTGCCCACCATCGCTTTGCTTTTACGCACTCCTCTTAACAGCGGACGTGTGCTGCTTGTCCTGCGGCCGGCCGTGCAGTGTTTGCATCATAAGGGTGTTCTGGAGTACAGGGTATCGCTCTGGCCGGTCAGCGAGAGCGTGCAGTGCGTGGCGGTGCGTCCCAATGGCGACGGCATCTTTGCGCTGTGCGATCGGTTTGCGCAGATGCCTCTATCCCGCGCAGGTACGACAAGCACAACGGACGAAGAGGTGCAGGGCGGAACGCACTTGGTGCTCCGTGGCAGCTACGTGCACACGGCAGAGGGTCAAGCAACAAGCCCGATGCTACAGCCCGTCCTCTTGCATGTGAGTCTGCGTGGGTCGTCGCCAGTGGAGCGAGCAACCCCCCGATCGCTACTGCGCGCTGTTGTATCAGGTGTGTTGTGTCGGTGTGCGCTGCGCCAAGATCCACACACGACCGCGCACATCAAAGCTCACGCTAGTGTGACGGAGTTGTCGCTGTACACCACAGCGGGGCACGTGTTGGTGTTTCAGCCGGTGCTGCTCCGCGGCGCCGCACAGAAAGTAAATGCTCCTGACGATGAAAGTAGAGCACTGCTGATTCCCGGGACAGGTGTTCGTGCCCCCGCGGATCAGCAACGGCAAGAAGTCATGTTTTACACGTGCTGCTATGGCACACGTTTGTCCTACTCCCTCCTGACCGGGCTCACCTCCCACATGGCGAGTGCAATGCGGACAACGTGTCCGACTCCGTCGAGTACGGGGCTGTGCGTCGCGTCTCCCTGGCGATTTGTCGACCAGTGGCGCCACTCTGTTTGGTTCCGGAGGGCGCTGGAGGGCGGAGACAATTACGCTGCTGCAGACGCGGCCGACGCGGGACGTCTGCATCGTCGACGTCGTCGTCATCATCCGCCGTCAACGGTGCTCGCGACGAGCACCAACCGTCGCGTGTGGCTCATCCGCGCTGGGGCGCATCTCTCCCTCGTGACGGTGCCATCTACCATGCTAAAAGAAGATGCGGTCACGGACGCTGCACCTCAAAGCTGCTCCGCTGCTGTGGTGAAGTTGGACCGTCGATATATCTTACACGACGCGCAGTTTGTGCAGTCCGGCAGTCACGGTGGCTTTCTGTTGCTGTGCCGGAGTCGCGGCAGCACTGCAAGCGGCGATGGTGACGATGAAGATGCTGGTGGCGACATGATTTTTTCGGGGGCGTCTACCCACGCAGCCACGCGAGAGCGGTACGTTCATTGCACCTCCGCTGGTCAGCTGTGTGTGTTTTTCCTCTCCCTGTTGGCGATGAACGCAAGCGGTGCTGATGACGCCCGTGCACCGGGCTCGTTGTTTCCGCTGCCGCTGCAGCTACCACCTCGACTAACATCGAAGTGTTCATCTCTTGTCAGTCCTTCACACCGTCTTCGATTCGTCTGCGCTGCCACTGCCGTAGCTGGTGATGACGCGCCCGCCGGGGCGTTGTCTGCACCTTCGCTCGGGCTTTACGTTGCCTTCGCCAGCAGCGCACGTCCGAGGGAGGTGTGGACGGCGGTGGCCCACGTGCCTTCGCTATCAGCGTGGTGTCCCGCACACGTTGAACACAATCTCCGTGCGGTGTCCGATGACGATGGCTGTGTGGAAGGTCTCGCACGGCGTGTACAGCAATGTATGACACACGCCGTCAGCGCTGCCCTTCCTTTTACCGTCTTGACCCAGGGTGCACAAAGCGTTGATGCAGCGATGGCGGTGTCCCACGCACTTTTCTCCCCTCCTACCACTGCCTCGTCTGCCGCTGCCGCTGCTACCTCAGGGTTCTTCCCATCACCGGCAACGAACTCGCTTGAAGCGTCCGTGGAGGTGGCCCTGCTTCACCTTGACGGTCCTCAATGTAGCAGCATCTGCCATTTAAGTGATGCCTTGAGTTCCATGAAGGACGTTTTGTATTTCACACTCCAATCCTTTTTGGGTGTTGCTCTCGCGGAGCACGATGACGCAGATGTTGCGATCGCTGGGGAGGGGGTGGCGTGTGTGACGGCCGTCTTCGCCGGTTTTTGCGCTGCGGTGCGCATGAGCGGACTCCTGGCCCGCGCCGATCACGTAGAAACCGAAGCGCGGGATGGGACAGACGGGACGGGGCCGCTGCCGCCGCTTCGTGCCACCACGAGTGTGCTGTTGCTGTCTCTGCACTGCAGTGCCCAGCAGCTGCAGCACGCGCTAGAGGACTTGTGCGCGATGGGGCACGTCTCTGCCCTTATCGCCTGTGCGTCGCACCTCATGCAAACCGTGCAGTTCCCTTCATCTTCCGGCATGCACGATAGTGGCGTGTCCAGTGAAATATTCAAGTGCACCCCCGATGCGGTGTGGGCGTTGCTGATGCGGCCTTTGTTTGATTTAGTGTGGGGCGTCGTGCAGGACTACGGATTACCGGCTGATGTGACCAGCGATGTTCTCCTCTACTGCAGTCCAGCGGTACGCGCGATGGCCAAGTCGGGCCCCTCGTGGTGGAAGGTCAACGACAAGCAGCCAGTGAATCCGCTGACCGTCACGCCGGGCTCCGTGGCACTTCGCGCCGGGGAAGAAAAGGCAGAGGTGGATGCAAACCATCGAGGTGCTGCAGCAGCGTTGACGGTGACACCGCCCCCTCCTGCCGCGGAAGCTGTGCGGTCACGTTCTCCGGCGGCTGCGCCAACCGCCGCCTCTCCTGCGGCCACAACCTACACAAGCGCGGAGCTGTACGAAGTGGTGCGTCGCGTTTTCCTTTTGCACGGTGCCACCGCTGCGCTGCAACTCGTGCACCAGTTGCGCCAACAGGACAGCACTCGTGAGGCCATGGCGGAGATGGCTCAGATGTACGAAGCAATGCAGCAGCGGTTAGATCAAATTCGCGCCTAAGCCAAAGAAAAGAAAATATCCAAAGCATCGTATTCATTGGACGGCAGAACTGAAAGGACGAAGAATTACCTTCCTCACGTGTATCTATAAACACCAACGACAAAAAAGTGCGTTGCCAAGTGAACTAGGAAGCGTGACGTGCGTCAACGCGACCAAATACGGGTGGAAATAAAATGCGTTGGAGAAAACTACGCGTCGCTGTTTCAGGGCGAGTTCTTTTTTTGTCAGAGCGTCGCGCCATCGTCCGTACGTACATGTGCTTATCGAATCAGCTCTGCCCATGGAGGAAGAGAAGAACCTAGATTTAATCGCGGCGATCCACTGTTCTGCGGTGCCGGGTTTTTTTCTTATAATCTGTGTGGCGATTTGAGGCTTCTACGCGCGCCAGGGTAGTCTTTGTGCCTGAGCACATACGGTGGCTTCGAATACGCGGTATTTTGGCTTTCCTACTCTCTGGCCTCCTGTCGCAACTCCCCTCTTCTTCCTACTCCTCCTCGTATTTTGTACTGCCATACGCGTTTTCGCAAGCGATACCTCCCCCCCCCCTCCCTCACACACACACACACAAATAAAAATACGAATATTAATCTTTGTGTGCACTTCCGCTTGGTGGTGTCTCGTGTGTGAATCAACCGAGGGAGCACGTGATGGGAGAGCACACACGCTTTGGTGGCTCTTGTCGTGGTTGTTGAAAGAAAACGACAAAAATAATACTGTTCTTTACGCTTGATTTGCAACTTCAGATTTTTTATTTCCTCGTCCAATATATATCTCTATTTCTGCGTAATGGAACCCGCACACCGCCCCTCCAATGCATCGAGAGCGGTGAAGGCCGCACCCTTTACCTGGGGCAGACGCCGCCTGTCCATCTTCGGCACGGTCGACAACGTGGCGGATGCCCTGCGCGCCACCCGCCAGGAACGGCGTCTCTCCAGCGCCGCCCAGGAGCCACCGTCGTGTTTATCTCCTGCGCATCGCCTACACGGTCGCTGCTCCGGCAGGCTGGGAGGACCTGCGCTGGACATGGCGGCAGCGGTGCGCGAGCGAGCGCGGCAGGGCAGCGTGCTTGACGCGGATAGCTTGCCATTTGCACCGACTGAGGGTGCAACGCCCCCCTCTGTCTCCTTCTCCTTGACGCCGGGCACGCTGTCGACGAGCCTTCCGCCGTTGAGTGTCGAGCCGGTGCCGGAGTGCCTCGCAGTGCTGCGCTATACCCGATCCGCGCGTGCGTGGGACACCCTTGCCGCCGGCTGCCTGGCGGAGGCGACACGACTAAGCGAGAAGGACAACGACTTTGTGTCCTGGGCGGCGTGTCTAATCCTAAGCGGGGACGCCCAGCGGGGGCTGATGCTGCTGGAGTCGTACGTCGTGGCGACCTGCGTCGTCGTGCACGAGGTGCTTACGGGCGTGCTGGGAGTGCTGCCGAAAGGCGTTCATCCGCCGTTGAAAGGAAAAGACGGGCGCGATAGGGGCACGGCGAAGGCAGACCTCGCCGCACACCCCTACGCGCAACGTAAGTGTCGCGAGCGGCACAACCAGGTGCTCATGGTATTGATGCGCTGCCGAACCACCTTTTCGGAGCGTTCACCAGCTGAGTTGCTCAGCTACGATGTGAACGTGCACCGCACCCCGCAGGCCCTTGTGCAAGAGGTGGTGCTGCAGGCGATGCAGCTCGTGGATGCCGCGGAGGTGCAGCGGTGGTACATCGTCGCGCTGGTGCTCTTCACGCCAGCCGATGTGAGCGGCAGCAATGAAACGACGGTAGCGGCGGATGGCGACGGGCGGAGTCGCACGCAACGACGCGGCTCGCGCGCGACGGCAGCGGACGGCCACGAGTACGTAAAGAAACACCAAAACAGCAACGACGACAGCGGCAGTGGCCCGAAGAGCAACTGGACGAGAGCACTTCCGGCGGGGGACCGAGGGAAGGACACCGATTCGGTGTGGTCGCAGGCCGGCGGTGCACACCGCCCTTCCAGCGCCACGGCGGACTCGACAAAGCCGAAGACGCGCACGTCGGCCAGCGACGGCTACCGCGCCCCACGCAATTTGTGGTTTCGCTACTTCTTTGCGCTGGACGACTGCTCCTCCCCCGTGACGACGACGACGGCCACCAGCACTACTGCAACCGACACGCAGCACCGCCGTAGCCCAACGACGGCCAGGAAGAGCACAAACAAGAAGCAGCACGACTCCGACGGCGGACCTGCGACGCCACACGAAGCGGTGCCGACGTCCTCGCCCGCGCACTCACAAGGGAAGAAGGACGTTTCCCCGTCGTACTCCTCTCCTCTCACCACGGGCCGTGGCGAAGCGCAGCCGACCGTCATGGACGAACGCCTTCCCAGCCCACCCGCCTGCGCTTTACAGTCGTCGGAGTGTGCGGCAGTGGCCGAATTGAAGGACAGCGGGAGAAAGGGCTCCTTTGCGTTTCAGTCGGGCAGCAAGCTGGCGCGGACGCTGTCGTGGTTTCGAGATCGCAGCAAGGGTGCCGCTCCGTTGTCTGCCCGCTCCGCCGCCTTGCATCTGCACCGAAATGCGCCGCTGAACATCACGGCTCCGACGTGGCACCTGCCGGCGACTGCCTCGCTGGATCAGGAGCAGACGTGCTCGCTGCTGCTCTCCCACAGAGAGGAGTGGGACGTGTACTTCATCACCGCCATGACCGCCTTCTACACCCAACACTACCGCACTTGCATGATGGCGGCGTCGCGGTTTCTGCAATGGGCAGAGGTGGGTGGAGGCGTGCAGAGTAGCAGCGACGCCGCGAGTGGCGGGTCACCGAGTCGCGCAACGCAGAACTGGAAGAGCGGACGCACTTTCCATCACACGCAGAATGGCGAGCCCACTCGCCCCGCACAGTCCTCCACGTCGCAGCCGTTCTCGACCGTGCCAGGTCTGCGCCGCTACCAACACCGGTTTGCGCTCTTTTTGCGTGCCTGGTCGGCGCTGCAGATCGGCGAGCGACTGCAGGCGGGCAAGGACATCATCGCCCTGATGGAGGACAAGGAGGACTCCTTGTGCTACCACGTCGGCTGTGCCCTCGCCCTCTACGGACTGCCGCTACCGCAGGCGAAGGACGCCCTTCTCACCGCCACCCACACTTTCACCAACGCAGCCGCAAAAACAACTGGTCCTGACGCGCCATCCGGCACGTCGTTTTCCACCGTGGTGCAGGGCTACCTGTACGTGCTGACCGAAGCCATCCACGCCACAACGCTGCTGCAGCTAGGTCTGGTGCAGCAAACCATCGCGGTGGCTACGGCGGCGCTGCAGCGGGCGGAGAGGAGTGAGCTGAGGGAGGAGGACACGATGCCGCTCGGTGCGCTGCGGGACGTCGTCGTTCTCGCCGCGACCGCCATGGAGGACTCGCGCGTCGTGTTAGACGTCTCCCTCTCCCCCGATCGTCTCGTGTACGTTGCCGTCTGCCCTGCCTTCTTCGGTGGGCTGTGCGCGAGCGGCATCCGCGTTAAGGCGCACTCGGCGACGCACCGCATTCTGTACCCACAAAACGTCCCTCTTTATGCCTCAACACGGCGGGTTATTCCGTTTCACATGAATCGTGCGATGTTTCTCTTCCACGCTGGTCAAGTGGACGGCGCGTGGGACGACGTGTGCTGCGCTGTGGCTGCGGTCGACGAGATTGTCGGCTCTGTCGAGTTCGCCTTCTCCGACTGCTTCCCGCTGCGTGTGTATTACTTCGCCATCCACGTCGGGCTGACGCGGCTGGAGGACCTCCTCGCGGCCGATCTCGAGGCGGCGAAGGCGTGTCTGGCGAACCCGACCGACCAGCAGACGATGGAGAGAAAGGACGCACAGCTGCAGGAGAACGAGCTGCTCAGCAAAGAAATCATGCACATCTGCCAGGGGGTGGTGCTGCGAATGCAGCAGTTTTTCCCGCATGCCCGCGTCACGGCTCTGTGCCGGGCGCATGTCGCAATTGTCTGCGGCGGACAAGACTACATCGCTGAGGCTGTCGCCATCTCACGCCGCTACCCCCACAGTCCCTCCGCGCAGAACATCCTGACGCTCGCCCTCTACTTTGGGCACCACATCCCCGAGGCGGTCGACAACGCACGCAAAAACTTGCAGACCTTCCCGCACTCGAGCGCGGTGATCCAGATGCATCGCTTGGTACAGAAGAAGCACATCACCTACAACTTCAACTACCGCAAGCTGGTTCCTCTCCAGTACAAACCAGGCTCGCACGATCGCGTCTTTACGAAGCGCATGATCATCGTCCTCATCCTTCTTGCGGCAAACCTCGTTGTCTTATGCCTGACCGCGTACGTGAATACCCCGTCCATCCGAGACATGCCAGATGGGCTGCGGTACCTGGCGGTGCGCATGCAGCTCCCGACCGTCGTCCCCCTCTTCTTCGCCGCCGTCTTCGTCATGCACGCCATCGTGGCTGCCATAACAACGAAGAATTTAATTTCCACTCTGCTGACGGACCTCTTCTTCGTGAACACGTCGTTCAATCGGGCCCTTTTCTGCCTCCGCTGCCTTCCGCTGGTGAATTTGGTAAACGCGCTGCTCATCAGCGTGCTCGGCAACAATTTCCTCTTCGAGAGCGGCTCGGCGACGTTCGTGTTGTACTTTATCCTCGCCATCTTGTTTGTGCCGTTTACGACTCGTATTTGGTTTCTCCCTTCCGTCGATGAGCCGGACGCGGGTTTCATGACGTGGCTCGCCATCCTCAGCGTGGACTCCGTCATCACCGTCTTCATTGTGATTCCGCACATCATCGCGGCCTTCTTGGAGCCCTACATGCTTGTTCTCTTCTACTTCTTTGCCCCAACGCAGCGTCCGGGCAACGACAGAGGCTTTCAGCCGCCGAGCAGCAGCATTCGCCGACGGCTGTTGCTCCACGCACACGAAAGCAAGTTCCTACCGCCGCGCTTCACCACGGGCAGCGGGTCCCGCTTTGTGCACATCGTCGCGTTGCGGTGGCTCTACGTCTGGTCCCACTGCACGCTCGAGACGCGTTTTTTGGCGGAGTCGCAGCTGGAGGAGGAGTGCTACCGCGTCTTTCCTCTTGTGGAGGGCGCGGAGGCGGCGGTGCTCTACGCGCACGTCTCGCAGGCCCCGTTGTGTGCTGCGATGGCAGCGGTGGAGGAGAAGGTCCCGAACGGCGTCGATCATCGGCGATCGCAGTCACGTCGGACGCGTCATTCCCCAGCGGCAACGTCGGGCGCACAGGTGCGACGCAAGAATCGTGGACACTCCGGGCCGGCCTCTCCGTCATCCACTACGTCCACGTCGTGCTCCTCTCTTTCGGCATCTTCGTCATCTCCGTCTTCTTCTGAGGACGACGTCGCCTCCGGTTCTGCGTCGTCCAACGACTCCCGTTTCTCCAGCTTCTTCACCAGCAGCGACGCCTCCGACGACAGTTTCAGTGACGAGAGGGAAGGGAGCGACGGTGACAGCAACCGCGGCGGTGCCGACGGGACACCGCTGGCTGGCGTGCGCACGGTGGACGCCATGCGGAAGCTGCTCCACCGCTCCACCCGCAAGCGCACCGCAACGATGCGGCCCATTCCCTCCTTCGTCCGGCCCAACCCAGCGCACTCTCTCACCTCTCTCTTCACGGGACGCAGCGACGTCAGCGGCAGCCAAGCCGAGGGCGAAGAGGAGCGACGCAGTTCCGGGAATGGCCGGACGCGCCGTGCGGGTTCGACGGGGGGTGAGGTCGTGAACGGCTGCAATGATGCTACGCAACATTACCGTGGGGGCGGTTCGGCTGCCTCCGCTCGCCCACTGTCTCAGGGCAGCCCCTCGCACAACGCAGCGACTCTCAAGAAGCAACACAACGATGAGGCAGGTCGGCGACATCACCGCAATGACAGCAGCACCAGCAGTAGTAGTGGGCATAGCTCAGAGGTGGCGTCCTACCACGCAGACGAAGAACTCGGCCTGCGCTATCAGCGGCATTGCGCACGCGTGGACGAAACCGGCGGGGAGGCTGCTGCGTTTTCCCCCAGCGACGCACACACTGATCCCTGCGGTCCCCGTGCACAGGCACCTCGACCGTTCGACGCAAATTATCTGTACACTGATGCGTACGCTGCCCAAAACAGGTTTGGGTGGTACACGAACGACGGTGCGGGCAGCAACGCGAATCAGCACACGCGCCGCGACGCTGACGCATTAGACTTCTAACCGAAAGAGGAAGGAAGGAAGCGCCCTCCACCACACGAAGGGTTCGTGGACGAGCAGCGAAAACGGGCTTACCCCTGCGTAGATTTCGTCTGCCTCTACTATTTGGGCTCTTTTTTTTTCTTACTGCCTGTGGCTACCTGACTTGGTGCTCGCAATGATGTTCATCTTCTCTTCATTCGCTTGACTTTATGTGTGTTTCTTTTCTTCTTGTTCTTTATTGTTCGTATCATCATGGCTTACTTCTCCGGCTGGGAAACAAAAACTTTATTCTTATCTGCACGCTGTGTTTGCTTTCTCCGACGATTCGTTTCATAGAGAGTAATACGCACTCTCCCGCTCTTTTCTTCGCTTTGTTTGTTATGTTTTGACGTGTATGCCCCCCCCCCTCCTCTCTTTTCTTTCTTTCAACTTTTTGCAACGAGTACTCCTGCATGTTTCGAATACCTGTGTGTGAGACTTTGGCTTTGTGGTTAAAAAGCTACGGAGACTGAGTGTAGTTTTTTTTTCTCTGGCTATTTTGCTTTCTTCGCACAGCTTTCCTATCACCTCTGTTTGTCATTTCAAAGATTTGTTAAATTGAACTCCACACAACTCCGGTGTTGCATCGCCTGTGAGTTAAAGTGAAAGAGAAGGTTGCGTCGCCGCTGAGCCCCTTTTTCCTTTCTTTGGTTTCTTTTTAGACTTTCTCGTGGCATTCCTCCCCTCGATGTTTTACCTTTTTTCTTCATTTTGATCCATTGGAGTTTTACTTGGACAGACTATTATCATTATCATTATTATTGTTATGTATATATTTCTTGTAGCTCCCGTTTATCATTCTTGTTGTTACCGCTGTGACACATGTGCATTCATTCTCTCTTTCTCCTACACACAGAGTCCGTAGCGCCCCCTCCCCTCCCCCTCCTTCGATGTTTTTTTTTTCTTCTCTTCCTCCTTCTACATTCCTTTTCTTCTCCTGGGCGTGCCGCGCCGTACCGCGACGATCCGCCATGTCATGTCGGAACGAAGAAGACAGCAAAGAAGATGTCCGATTGCACGTCTCGTTGGAAGCGCTGTAACTCTATCTGTGTGTTGTGCATTGATTATTTCTTTATTTGTTTTTTTGAATTACTTTTTGATGTTGTTGTGCTCGTTTTCAGCTCGCTGTTTCTTTTTTTTTTTTGCCTTTTTTTCTTTAAAGGCTTTGTACCGCTCGCGCGAACGCAGGCGAATCGGCGCACACAAGAAGAACCACACACACACAAGAAAGGGAGAAACGGGGAGGAAAGCCTTTCCTTGCTGTGTGTGTTCCCCCCCCCCTCCGATGTGTGCGTATGAGTGTGGTGTGTCCCGACTATCGCCGGCCAACAAGAACGTCAACAGGAAAAACAGTGAGGAAAGAAGGAGCATCCCGCTTAAAACGAAACGGAAGTACACGGCGTCACAGAGCAGCTTGAAGGGTAAAACATGTTGCCAGCGGAAAAGAGGAAGGCGACCCCCTTGGCACAAAACAAAACACCCTAGATGCGTGAAAACGGAAAGAAACGTCGATACTCACGGGTACACCATCTATCATGATGAAGTATGTTGCCCGGTAAACGCCTTGCAACTTTGTGGATCGTGCCCTCTTCCTTGTCCATTTCTCATACCTCTTCTGAACTCCGCTAATTATGCCTCCTTAACGCGTATTTGCAGAAACACTTTGTCTTGGGAATCTGTTCGCTTCTGCTTGAGGTGCATCTAGCCCCTACGTAAACGTTCGCTTGTTCCTTTCCACAGAACAACAAAAAAAGGCACTCATAAGCAGACATGACTTCACATCCCCCTGGCACCTCGCCTGCAACGGCGTCTCCCTCCATCGTCACGGCTGCTGCGAAGGCCTCCCGTCCTCTCCTCACGGTCGTGGGCGACGGCGCTGGCGACAACCGCCGCCGGATGGAGATCCCGTGGCGGCAGATCAGCGAGCAGACGCTGGACAGCATCTGCCGTGCCCTCCTCGACCGCGACACCGACGCCCCAATTCGTGCGATCGACCTCACGGACAACCAGCTCGGTCCCGCCGCCACACAGAAGATCACGGTGTGCCTCGAGTCGTCGCCCGTGACGGAGGTGTTTATCCGATTCAACGACATCGGCAAGGACGGCTGCGACGGTTTGGCGGCAGTGGTGAACCTGTCGCACACGCTGCAGGTGATGGACATCCGCGGTAACCACCTCACCGCGAGTGACGTCCGCCGGCTGCTGAAGTCGGTCGCCGTGTCCACCGTGCTGACCCGGCTAGGCCTCGGTGCGAACAAGCTGGGACCGGAAGGAGCCGCCCTCATCTCCAAGGCGCTGGAGCGCAACACCTACCTCACCTCGTTGGATCTCTCAGTGAATGAGTTGGGTCAAGGTGGGGCGCAGTGTCTTGCGGATCTTCTCCGCACTCCGGCCGCCACGTTGCAGGTCCTGCAGCTCCACGGCAACTACTTTAGCGCGAGCGGCGTGGCTGCGATCTGCGATGCGGTCAAGACGAACAAAGAGCTGCGGCGACTCACCTTGGGCAACAACAACGCCACGGACGAGGCGGCACCTGCAATTGCGGCGATGCTGGAGGGAAACTACACGCTGGAGGAGCTCGATCTGCGGCTGAACTCGCTGACCGCCGTCGGCGTCAAGACGATTGCGCAGCAAGGACTGGCCAAGAACACTTCCTTGCGGTCGCTCACCTTGTCTGGCAACCAGGTCGGCCCTGTAGGCGCAAATGAGCTCACCCACGTCCTCAGCGCCCATCAGCGCAGCGTGATTGAGCAGCTGGATTTGAGCTCGTGTGGACTGATGTCCACCGGTGGGGTGCGGATTTCCAGTCTGCTCAGCACGTCCATTTCTTTGAAGGACGTGAACCTGAGCGACAACTCGCTGGATGACGAGGCGGCGGTGTGTCTGGCGCAGAACATCTCGGACGGCTTTGCGATCTCGCTCGTCGACGTGTCGTGCAACGACATTGGCGAAGAGGGCGCCTCGCAGCTGATTGACGCGGCGCTGCGGAATACGCAGCTGTCGGCGCTCGTCATGCACGGCAATAACATCTCCCGCGTAGCTCAGAAGAAGATGGACAACTTGCTGGAGGAGCGCCTGTCGAAGAACCGCGTACTGAGCCGGCACACCGCCCTGTATCAACAGCAGAAGCTCACGCAGCAGCAGCAGGCCGCCCGCACGAACACCACCGTTGTCGCTTCGGCTACCGCGTAAAAAAAAGGAGGGAGGGAGTCGGAAAGGTGTGGTGAAGGCCAAGGATGGAATATGAGAGGTGCAGCGGAGTGGGAGAGAAAGATATGGCACCGTGTCGTTGCATTACTTCGTGGGTTCTCACTCTCCTCTTCGGCTTTTTTTCCCCCTTTTCGGGTGTGTGCGGTGGGGTCGATGCCGCACACCTTCCCCCTTTTTGAAGAAGAAAAAAGTCGGATATTTATGTGACCGCCATTTTATGTCTCAACTTTCGTTTTTGTTCTTGTAAATGAGTTGCTCTCCGTTCTCACTTGATGTACAGTAGAAAACGGCACGAAAGGAAACGGCCTCGTGCGCTATGCGTCGCTTTATTTGAAAAAACATCAGCTTGAAAAGAACATTCATAAAATGTCAAAGTGCGAAAAATGAAGGAAAGAAGGCGAAGGCGCCCCCCTCCTTCCCCCCCCTCCTCCAGCAAACGTCTTGCCGTTCTCTGAGTGTGTGCGTGTGAGGTACTTTCCTGGCTTTGAACGCCGACTCGTCTTCTACTCTGTTTTTTATATTTCCCACATGTTGGGTGCTGTGCCTTGTATGCCCGCCAGCGAGTGCCGCGGAGGCGCTTCTGCGAATGCGATGATGAGCTCCAATGCCGTAAATGAGGTGCCTGTTTGAAAAGAGTTCTGTCTGGGTGGGAATTCTGTGGCATTGCTCTTTAACATGCCGGACGACAACCTTTTTATTATTATTTCCCTCCGCCTTTTCTGCCTTTTCGTCTTTTGTTTTTGCTCTGCCATGAGTGCGTGCAGCTTCCGTCTTGTGCACCGTAGTGTATATATATATAAGATCTTAGCGGTGTGCCGTGTTGTGTGTGTGTGCGTGTGGTCGGGCTGTGTAGTGCCTTCTCTTTATCTTCATCTCGGAAAAAGAAACTGCGGCGGAAGCAGCAACGGACCAAGAAAGAAGGAAATCACGGCGTATAGACCGCAATCGTTGGGCGCTGTTGTTGTCGACGCCGTTTGATGGACCCCGCAAAACTGGAATCCCTTCAGTGCGCCATAGAAGGTTTCATCACCCACCGGCCGAGCAGCAGCTTTCACACCGCTCCTTACGTGGGCGGACACTTTCACACCGCTGAATCGAAGGAAGTCGGCTCTCTGCAGGGTGAAATCTCTTGCCATTTAGAGCGGAGCCGTCGCCGGTGTCGGAGAGATCAACACGAGGGAGGAATGACTCAAACGTCTAGCGTTGAGGGGACGTCGACGTATCCCTCGCGGCGTCGCATCAGCTCTCAGTCGAAGGATCACCGTCAGCATCGTCATGTGAATCTATCAGAATCGAGTAGGCACGCGCACGGCTCGCACCGGGCATCCTCGTCGCCAGCGCCACACAAGGATCACAGCAAACACAACCACGATAATAACAATCACCATAGTACGAGCGAGCGGCACCGTCGCCGTGATAGAGATGAAGAGGACAGCGACAGCAGCGGCAACCGCGCGCACCAGCGTGTGTCGCGTCGCACACGCACGGAAGACACCAACGCGAAAGGATTCCCTAGCACTGTCGTGGCTTCGGCGTCTTCGTCGCCGTCTTCAACGTTTCTCTCTACAACAGACACGGTGCAGGGTTGGCTACCTGCCACGTCGGTCGCCACGTGCATTCTTCCCCTCGATGCAAAGCTCGTTGAGCTGCTCTACGCTCTCTCCCCCACCGCCGACGACCGCGACGGCAAACTTCGCGTGATTGACGAGGTGCGGCGGACGCTCTGGCGCACCGGCCTGGACATCCAAATCTACGGCAGCCTCTGCACCGGTCTTGTCATCCCCGCCAGCGACGTGGACTGCGTGATGATGCGCAGCAGTGATGCGCAGATTGCGGCGGCGATGTCCGCGAGTCTGAACAACGCGCTGTTAAACGTTGCCTCTGCGGCGACGAGCTCGTTGCCGCAGCGTGCCGTGCGGGCAGCCCTCACCACTGGCATCCGCACCGCGGCAGATCGCATGCGTCGCCACTCCTCTTTCACCAGTGTGACGTGCATCGCACACGCGAAGGTGCCCATCGTCAAGTGCCGACATCGGGCTGAAAACGTCAAGGTGGACCTCTCCTTCGAGAAGGATGGCTGCGTGTCGTCCAACTACCTGTGTGAGCTCTTCTGCGAGCCGGGCAACGAGCTGGCGCGACCGCTCATCGTGTTAATAAAAGCCATGGTGAATCACTACGGCCTAGACGACCCCAGCGTTGGTGGCCTCGGCTCGTTTCCCGTTTCCATGCTGGTCCTGTGGTACCTGAAGCACCGAGTCCCTGCCCACTACGCACCGGAGCTGCATCACAGCATCGCCGTCCTGCTCGTGGGCTTTCTGCAGTACTACGGGAAGGAGTTCGACTTTAAGCGGCAGGGCATCGACTACGTCCAGCAAAAGACGTTTGCGAAGGCGCCGGCGAATGATCTGTTTATCGTTAACCCGATCCGCCCCGGCACGAACTGCGCACGAGCCGCCACACTTTTCGCCACCCGCGTCGTGCCGCAGTTTCAGAAGGCGGCAGAGGCGCTGAGTCCGCTGCTCGACCCGAAGGCGTCGCAGGATGTGATGGAGCAGCGACTGCTGCAGTTTTTTGCGAAGTCCCTCCCTGGTGTGCGGAGCTGGCGGGACGTCGCGCGGCAGGCGGCACGCAGCTCGCATCGCCCGCAGAACATGTGGGACCAGGCCACCAACCTCTACCTGGGCGGCGTTCTTTAGATCACGTTGGTCAGCGTGTAAGTCCTTCGCTCATCTATCACCATCACCTTTTTTATTTTCTACTTTCTCTTGCGACTTCAGTGCTTTTGTTTTCTGCCGTTTTCCTTTCTCTTCTTATGCGTATAACAGCAAGTCGGTCGTATGGGAGGTTTGTTTAAGTACGGTGCTTTAACAGGAACAACAGTTAATGACGACATAACATAAATGAAATAATAAAATACATCTTTATTAAAGGTGAAGCGGACACAACCGAGCACCGGGTTTTTCTAGTGGCCGTTTTGAGTTCAGAAGTGCATGTTTTTGGGGAGCAAAATAATTCCATGAAAGGAAAGAAATGAGCGTTCTCATGGCGCACTCTGAACTACGAGGAGGAACCGGTTTCCCACGTAACACACACAACCTTCATTATCACGCTGGCCACTCTCTCATAAATAGTAAAAACATGGAAGTTCAGGAATTCAACACAAGTCTAATGCGCTAACCGCAACGGTCGTCGTGGCTCAAGATTTTTCCCCCTCTTTTCCGGGTTTTGTATCGCGTTGAGGCTGCTCGCGCTGCCCCAATTTCACACAATTAACTCCCTTCTCCCCTCGGGTTCCTCGCTTCGGCTGTTCACTTGTCAAATAAAAAAAGAATCGTAAAGGACAAGATTCATCATCAATAAGAATAAGAAGAAAGCAAAGTCGAAGGCTGTGCGAGAGCTGGCTTTTTGCTTTTGCTCCCATGTTTGGCGAACTCATCTGCGGCCCACCGGGCAGCGGCAAGACCACCTACTGCGAGGGCAAACGCCAATTCCTCAGTGTGTACGACCCCACCCGACCGGTGGTGCTGCTGAACCTCGACCCGGCCAACGAGGACGTTTTCCCGTATCCGTGCGACGTGGACATCCGCGAGCTGGTAGACCACGGGCGTGTCATGCATGAGGAGCATCTGGGCCCCAATGGCACCTATCTCTTCTGTGCCGCCGTCATGCAGGCGAACGTGGACTGGGTGCTCGCGAAGGTAGAGGCGGCGGTGGAGCAACGGGTCCATGAAGTGTTGACCACGGAGGTGAACACAACATCATCAGGGTCGTCGTCTACGGCACATTATCGTTCCGCTGCTGGCGGTGGTGGTGGCGGTCCGACGCTGCGTGCGCCGTACCTTCTCATCGACTGTCCTGGACAGGTGGAGTTTTACCTTGATGCGCAGGTCATGCCCGCCATCACACGGGCGCTGGCGAAGCGGCTGCAGTGTAGTCTGTGCACCGTGCACCTGGTTGACGCGGGGATTGCCACGCGCGACGTGCCGACCTACGTCTCCTCGTGCGTGTTGTCGCTCACCACGATGATTGACCACGAGTTGCCGCACGTGAATGTGCTGAGTAAGTGGGACACCGTGCCAGCTGGCGTTCTCGAGGACACCGACGATGAGGGTGAGACGTTTCTGAACGCTTCCTCGTTGCTCTCTGAGAACTTCGATCGGCTGTGGAAGCGGCAGCTACGGCGGCGGCTCCAGGAGCATCGCATGGCACAGCACTTCGTGACGAGCGCCTACCCGCTGCCACGACTAACACTGGAGGAGCGCGAGGAGGATGCGAAGCTGGCGCAGCTCGACCTGCAAAAAGAGGGTGGGCGCATTTACCGTTACACCCGGCTGCTGATGGACGTGGTGGAAGGCTACGGCATGGTGGGCTTTCTGCCGTTGGATGTGCAGAGTCAAGAGATGATGCTGCGACTGACACAGGAGGTGGACAATGCTGCCGGCAACTTCTTTTAACACGCACCTTTTTTGTTGTTGATGTCTGTCTTTTCTCCCTCGTTGCCGGTGTGTGTTGTCGGAACACCGGCCTTCTCCATTTTCAATCCTCGGCGGTGCTGCTAATAACTTTCGTTTGAACTCGCTCAAAAAAAGAAGAAGGAAGAATATCTATCTCGGCGTTTGCATCACTCGGTGCGGGTCACGGGCGTCCGTCCCTGTTCTTTATGTGCCAAGCTGAAGAGCTGCAACACATGGAAAGCGTAGCGTTGGCCGTTCAAAGCGCACAATATAGGAATCTCGAATACAACAAGCAGGCTGTCAAAGTGTTGTAAGGGGGAAAGGAAGAAATATAAATAAATAAATAAATATATATATATATATATATATATATATATATATATATGAAAGCCACGCTGTCATGATGTTTTTTGCTTTGGCTTTCTGTACGGTTTTTTTTTTTACATCCCATGGCTTCGCTCCCTCTCACCTCGAAGTCCGCACCCATTTTTTTTTCCCTTTTCCTTTCATCCCTCGGAAGCTTCGCCCGTCACACCATGTGCTGTTGCCGATATATTGCAAAAGAGCATGTCTAGAAGCACAGATAATATATTCACTGAAAAAAAAAAGGCATTAGCTGCTCACACAGCAGCGTTACAGCGAACAGAATCCTTTTTTTTTGGCCGCTGATACATCCTCTGTTTTCTTTCTCCTTCGCAGGTGAGCATCAGAAACAAGAAAATGGACTCCCTCTTCGAAGTACTGCGGATCTCCACGGACAGCAGCGCGCGTAAGGCCGCCGCTGCCCAGCTGCGCCAGCTGCAGTCTCAGCAGCCAGATGCGTTCCTCCAGCACACGTACGACGGCATCGCCTCCCCGCAGCTGAAGCCCGAACTGCGCTTCTTCCTCTGCACATTGGTCATCGCCTTTCTTGATGAGTCGTGGCACGGCTGCGTCTCACCTGCGTCACAGGAGCGATTCATTTCTCTCTACGTGGAGCTGGTGGTGGCGCCATCTTGTCCGTCCGTCTTACTCGCACGGAAGGTGAGCGCCATCGTCGCGGTGATGGCCAGACGCGGCTCCCGGAAGGCGCAGGTGGGCGGGATGCCGCAGCTGATTCATCACGTCGTCACGCGCTACGTCGCAGAGATGGAGAGCGCCGCCCGATCGCAGGCCTACGATCGCGTCTGTTCCCTTCTCCTCTCGACTCACGTTTTGTTGAAGGAGATGCAGGGCAGTCGCGTCGGGCATGTATTTGAAGATGTGTGTCAGGCCATGGTGGCGGCCCTCTCCGGTGTCTTTGCGTTGCTGCCGGATGCGGCGGCGATGCTGGCGCACTACGACGTGTGTCTGTACCTACTGAAGTGCAGCCTGCGCGTTTTTGGACGGGCCGTATTCGACGCAGCTTTCTGCCGTTTTTTGTTGAACACCACGTGGCGATTGGCGGAGGGCCTCGGCCAAACGGTGGCGAGTCCGTCGCAAGCCAATCAGCGGCTGCGTTTGCTAGAGTACGCGCTGAAGATCATGGAGGCCACTGTCGTGTACTTCCCAAGTCGCCTGCAGGAACTCGGTGACGCCTTTTTCTTTGCGGAGGCCACCGCTGTGGAAAGGTTGACCGGTGCCGCGTCTTGTGCGTCTCCCGCAGCGGACGCATCAGCGGCGGCGACGGACGCGGCTGTCACACCACCACCACCACCGCCGCCGCTGTCGCTTTTCACACTCCTCGTTGCGGTTGTCCGCAGCCCTGTAGACGAGGTCGTGTCGGAGAAGGCGGTGTGCCGGGCCCTGCGCCTCTTTACCGCCCTCTTGAGTGCCGAAGACGGCGACGCCTTCATCGCGCGCTGCCTGCACAATTTCGCCACGTCCTCGTCCTCGTTCCCCCCGTTTTTGCAGTACGTTGTGTCGACGTACCTGGCGGATGGTACGTCGGCCGACGCGCTCGCGGGGTGGTCCTCGCAGCCGGAGCGGGTCGCGGCGGAGTTGGACGTCGACATGGATGATGAAGCGTCAATGATGAGCTGTGCGGAGCAGCTCTTTCTTGCCTTGACAGGCTCCACGAACGGCGCCGCGCCGGTGCTGACCGTAGCGTGGGCGGTGGTGAACCAACTTCTCCAGGAGGGCGACGAAGGTGCGGTTACGGCGGCCCTGCACGCCATCGGCATCGGCTACTACACCATGAACGCGCAAGACAACGCGTCGTACCTCGGCTTCCTGCGGGACAAGCTACTGCCACTGCTGCGGCCCGACGTCCTTGCGCACGCCTCGCCGTTCATCGCGCGCCGAGTGGTGTGGCTGGTGGGCATGTGGTGTGAGTCGGTGACGGACCTCCGCGACCGCCATGCGGTGTTGGCGGCGCTGGAGGCGGTGCTGCAGCACGCCGTGCGTACCCAGAACGTCGTGCTCGTGCTCGTGTCGCTAAAATCGACGGAGAACTTCATCTCGGACAACCACTTCACGCTGCCCGACATGCCAGCGACGCTCGTGACGACGGTGCTGCAGACGGTGCAGATGCTGCTGACGGCCGTGCAGAGCCCAACGACCATTAAGGAGCTGGCGGGTCTCGTGCACGTGCTGACAGAGAAAAAGGCGTTGCTGGCACACGGGGAGACGCTACTGCAGCTCTTCGTCCCCCCCACGCAGGCCATTATTGAGTCGTACGGGGCCCAGGCAGCGAAGGCAAACGCTGCTGGGTCGACGGGCGCCTACGGGGGCCACTTCGACAGCGACAATGACGCGGATGAGGACGGCGATGACTCCCTTGGATCCTTAGCCATGCTGCTCGACTGCCTGGGCAGCAGCGTGCGTCAGTGCAGCAGCGACGCCGTCATTTGGTCTCTCTTTCCCACCATTGTGCTGCCCTGCACCGCGCCCACCAGCGCCGCCACCGCGTGGGCAGAGGACAACGCGTGGGAGTTGTTCTTGACGATGGCGCAGTCCTCGTCGAGCTTCGATCACGCGGCGGCGGCGCAGGCGCTGCCCATTGCTCTGCAGCACACCCATCGCGACTTTGGCATGCTGCCGCTCGTGTTTCGGGTCGTGTACAGCCTGCTGCTACTTCGGCAGGCTACCGTCGAAGCACTCATCGCTGCAACCGATATCGATGCATGGGTGAGCGTCGTGCGCAACAGCCCCTCGGCAGAGCTCTGTGGTGCGGTGACGGCGGTGCTGACGGCGGTGGCCCGCATGAGCGGGGGCCCATTGCAGGCGGCGCTGTCGCGTCACGCGGTGCAGGCGCTGCTGACTTCGGCTGACGTCCAAGCGGAACAGCACACGATCCCCTTGGCGGTGGCGCTGGCGCTCTGTCTCGCCTCGGCCCACTCCAGCGAAGGGCAGCAGCGGTTGCTGGCGGAGGTGCACGCCGCCGTGCGCATGGTTGGCGGACCGCAGGCGAGCGTCTCCGCCCTGCTGGAACCGCTGGTGCTTCTGCTGGATGTCTCGCCGAGTGTGTTGGTGAGCCGGGTTGTGGTGCACCTTTTGAATACGCTGAGCAAGACCGCACCCCACGCGCTCTCAACGGAGGATCAGGCGATGGTGCAGCGCGCGTTGGAGAGCGTGGCGGTGTCCGTGGGCGGGACAGGAAACGAGCCGAGTTGGTCAGGCGAGGAGTCCGGCGAGACACGCCCACCGCAGGAGATGCTGCTGGAATGGCTCGGAGACGAGGACTTGCCCGCCACCTCGCCGCACGTGGCCCGTGTAATGAGCGTCTTCGCTGTTTTTCTGTCTTGAGCACGCAGGATGCCGCCAAAAGGGTAGGCTTTTCCCTTTTTCTCAAGTTCGATGAGACATGTGTTGTTGCGCGCCTGCCGCGCGTTGCATCTCCCTTTGATTGAGTGCCACGTGAGTCGCTCCACCACGTAAAGCAAAACGTAAGAAAAAATCCCGCGAGTGCCGTGTCTTAAGGCGGTTTAACAACAACAAGCGAACCTAAAGGGATACCATCGCACGGTCTTCAAACGTACATCGTTTTTAGCCCATTTCTTTTTTTATGTGTTTTCTGGTTTGTTCAGCTTTGTTCCCTCATTGGCGAATGTCGGCTTTGTGGCTGAGCGCATGCCGATGGTGGTGGGTACGACAGGTGGAGCCGGGGAGCTGGGACGCGCCCGACGTTGTGGTCACCGCCCGTAGATACACCCAGCCACACACAACGTGCGGTTTTTCTTTTCGTTCTTGTGGCGGTGCCGTCACGGAAGCAACGCGTCAGTAGGTCCGAGTGAGATGACACTAACGCCGCACCACCTCTATGCATTTCTTTTATATCTTTTCTCTCGAAATCACCATCTTTCCGTCGTTTGTTTCTAGTATTGCCGCTGTCACTTCGCGTCCCGTTTCTTCTTCTGTGTCCGTTTTCTCAGAGAAGAGCTTCCCCCCCCTCTCCCCTTCAACACGTATCGATTTCGGTGCTGTGATTGTGCAGCACGTCGCAGAGGTGTTAGTATATTATCTTATAGCTGGAGAACAGAAAAGAAGCGTGAATTATCTTGCGTTCAAGATGATGCGCCGTGTTCTCGCTCAGCCCGCCGCCCGCCGTGTGGCCGCCGCCTCCAGTGCGCTGGTCGTGTGCCCCCGCAAGGCCTCCACCGTGGCCATCTCCGTTCAGGGCCTGCACTACGTCGGCACCGGCCTGGCCGCCATCGCTCTGGCTGGTGTGGGAATGGGTATTGGTACGATCTTTGGCTCCCTGCTGATCGCCTGCGCTCGCCAGCCGAACCTGACGAAGATGCTCTTCAACTACGCCATTCTTGGCTTTGCCCTGACAGAGGCCATCGGGCTGTTCGCCCTGATGCTTGCCTTCTTGATGCTCTTCTCGTAGAGAGGGGACCGCGTGAGAGCCGCATATGCGGATCACCAAAACCCGCACGCGCACACATGCGCACCAGCGTACGTACTGCGACGTCGCTGCGCATCTATGCTGTGTGTGTACAGTGGGAGTTGGGAGTACCGCAGCTGCCTTGAGTGCTTTGTCAGCATTTTTCTCTCTTCATCTTTTCATGTGTGTCGTTGAGAGCTGCAGATGCCCGCGCGTTGCCACCACCGTTTCCGACGGCGGCGCACGCAGAAAAGGAAGGGAAGCGAAGGAGATTCGGCGAGAATGAGTTTTCTGTTGCTGTCGTGGCAAAGGCGATGGAGGGGTAGCAGGGATGTCTCCTCCGTGCTCAATCGCGTATTTCTCTCCCCAGATGCGCACGCTTGGGAATAGGGTCGAATATATTAAAAATCAATATTTACTAAACATCTAACGTTGCACAGCGGCTGGGAGAAAGAGAGGGGAGTACGGGGAGGGAGAGGAGGAGAAGACTTTTCCCCGCTTATATTCGCACGCTAGTGTAGTTCGGCAAAAGGAGAAAGCATCCGCGATCGTTCGCGTGGAAGAGGCGGATGCGAGGGTGCGCCGGGAGTACTGATAACAAGCAGCAATTCGTCTTCCTCCTTCTTCTCTTTTGCCTTTTGTGGGAAGTCGGACACGCCGGGGCTTTACAAAAGAAAGAACAAAGGGTGAAGCGAGTGAGGAGGGAGAAACCAAGAGTTGCATCTCCCACTCTCTTTGCTCTCCAAGCCTGCTCTGAAGTGATTGCGGCGTGTAGAGTGAGGTCCCCCACGAGGCCAATTGGGTCTCTGCTATGCTCTCCCTGGTAATGGCATCCATCCTCCCCTTCCTTCTCTCTCCCTTCTCGTTGCTCACGGGTTGCACAGCAGCTAACCGCGCTGGCTCTCCTTGGCATTCCTTCTCTTTCCCCTCTTTTAGTCGGAATGGGCACCTTGATTCCCTAACGAAAGACGGCGACATCCTTATACTTTTCCCCTTACACCTTGCTTTCTTATTTCTCGGTTTCTCTAAAGGCACAGCCCTTGTTGTGAACGAATGCAATCGTGGTGCTTGTGGCCTGCTCTTACTTATTATGTTCTACTGATTACCTGAGTCTTTGGTTCTGTTCCTGCGCACCAGGTCGGCTTTAATTGGGACCCTGGTGGTAGCGAGTCTTGCCCCTGGAAAGGAAGAACGTAGTTGCGACGGATGTGTTGGAGTCTGGAAGGAGCCAGCGAAGCAGGTGCCGCCAGCACGTAGAACAGATCCCTCTTCTCCCCCCTCTCTCTCCAGCTGAGGTGACAATAGTATTGTAGAGACCCGCTGCTGCTGTGCAGTGGTTTTTTTCGATCTCGGTTTGACAGGGACGAGAAACCTGCGGAGAGCGCCAACGACTAAAAATAGTAATAGTGGGAAAAGATGTCCTCTTCGCCTTCACTCTTCTGCTCTTCCGCTCTCAACCTTCGTGTATTTCCGCACGTCTGCCTTCCACGCCAACACCTGTTCCAGACAACTACTACATAAATATGTAGCTATAGCTCCACAGAAGCAGCGGCTTACTTGCTTTGTTTTCTCCTCTTGTTCTCTGCGCTTTCTAAAAAAGAGAAAGAAAGCAAAAGGACGTTCTCCACGCAAGCAGCAGAAAACCGTAAGCAGACAAGTTGTATTTCTTTTCGTGGCTGTTGGGCATCGTTGACGGCGGAGGGGAACACACAAGCACAAGAGAGGAAGAAGTACAACCGTTGCTCTCCATTCCTTCGCTATTGTGATTGCTGTTTCTTCGTGTATTTCTGTTCCCCGTCCACGTTGACCACATCAAGCAAGGAAAGCCATCGCAACAGCATCAAGAGATGTATACGATGCGTTCGGCAGTGCCACGTCTGACGCAGGCCGTGCTCGTCGTGGCGCTTCTCGCGGCCACCCAAGTCGCGCGCGGCTAGCTGCAAGGTATGCTGGTGCTGCAGATGAAGGACTGACTCATATACACCTACGACAACAGTGACAGTCGGGAGCATATTCTCGACGTCGACGGCTCGGCGAAGCAGTGCTTTGATGGCGGTGGCGTCCCCGCGAGCGACCCTACCACGTCCATTAACAACCAGATGATGACCTCCATTAAGGATACGGATGCCGGCGCGGCCGTGACCTTCTTCACCGGCGCCAGCGCGAAGCCGTCAGCAGAAAACCCAAACAAATGCTGCGACGCACGCAGCTGCACTTCGCCTACGCTGAGCAGCGACAGCTGCACCTACCGCTGGCGCTACGGGTTCTACGATATGTACAGTTACGCAGGCGAGCCGGGCACGGCTTTCTGGCAAGGCCTGTATGCCAACAAGGGACACGTGGTCAACGACTACGAGCAGTTCGTGTGGGATACAACCACCGCGTCCACCTTTCCGCACGGGTACTTCTACACGGTCAACACTTACGGCACCAGATCGATGATGCGCAGGGACAGCACCTGGAGGGTCTCACTCGTCGATCCTACACGCCCCACGTATATCGTGGTGTGCGAGGTGCAGCTCTACCCCCAGCCACCCCCCCCCCCACCACCTCCCGAAAGCCGCAGCCAACCTTTGTGAACGGCTTTAAAACGCTCACGTGGGCGCAGTCACACTGGTGGGTGATCTTTCTCATCATTGCTCTGGTGCTGCTGGTGCTGCTGTTTGCAGTTATTGTTTACTGCTGCATCGCCTCGATCAAGCCGAAGAAGGCACCGCCGCTCCACGCGATGGTGTTGCGCGAACGGATGGGCAAGGCCTACGTGCTCGCCGACTCCCCACTCAAGTCCCGCAACGGCAGCAAGGACCTGAAGCTCGCGAATGGCGCGTACACGCAGCAGCAGATGTCAGTCGACCAACAGCGGCAACAGCAGGAGGCGCAGCGCCGTCTCGGTCGCGGCTTCAACCCACAGGAACGACGGCAAAACCCGGAGGACATGACCATGGGTGCCGCCGGTATCTTCGGCCGTGGCGGGCGTAACCAGTACGGGGACGGCAACATGGTCGACGACGACGGCCGCCAGAAGGGCGATGAATACTACGCGAACGTGAGGGGTGGTGGTCTGCACGAGGATGAGCTGGCGAGGACGGAGCCGCGGCCGGGCGACGATGCCGCGTCAGTGGGGGCCAGTGTAACGGCGTCGAAGCGAAGAAGCAGCCGCCGCTCACGCCGTCGAACAGTCTCGCAAACCTTCGAAGATGTCGATGTGCCGCAGGCAGGTGAGATTTCCGAACTAAACGTGGATCTGTAGTGAAAAGTATCAAATTAAAAAAGAAGGATACTGCTGAAGGGCGTTGCCGCAACAAAATGTTAAAGAGACCGCCCGACATGCTTTGAATGAACGAAAGGTAAAGGACCGGTTTTTGTTTGTTCGTCGACGCACAAGAATCGAACGGGAAAGAGTTTTGAAGGAGACTTCTCTTTCACATATATATGCTTGTATGTGTGTATTCTGTGACCCTAACCTTTTTTCTTTGCTTTCTTTTTTTTTTTACCTACGCGTGCGTCGGTGGTGATCTGTCGCGCGACGTGTGAGATGCGTTTCTCTCTCTTATTGGTTTGTGGCCGTCCGACACACGCGTTAATGCGGCGTCCAAGGTGTATACACATATTTTCCCCCTTCTCTTCTACTTTTTCTCCTGATTAAAAAACGAGTCGTTTTGCTTTTCCTTTTTCCTTCTTTTGTGTTTTTGCTACGGAGTCAACCTGTGGTGGCTCCATCATTGGCGCGTTTCCATTATGCGTGGTGTTGCTTTCATCCTACGCGCAGCACCAAGTCGGCAAACAAAAGAAAATAGACAAATGTACTTAGCGTTGATTTTCCTTTTCGTTGTCTTCTTGCTTTTCTTGTAGCTTCCTCCTCTTCTTTCCATTTCATTTTTGAATGAGCCATAGCGGTTTGGCTTCTCTCGTAATTGTTTTTTAGATTTCTTGATTTGCCACTTTTTTGTGCGTGTGTGCGTGTGATTGTGCTTGTCTTCGTTGGTTAATCAAGTTTGCCAAGTGGCATTCTTTACATCGTGCACCGCCGTACAACCACCCACACCCCCACTCACCCGCACATACGAGACCTCCCTTGTTGTTATTATTATATGTAACTTCGTTATTCTCTTCCCGCGCAATGCTGCAACTGAGGGCTTTTCGAGCATGCTGGATCGCTTCGTTCTTTTTTTTTTCTGGAAGCTTGCGCCAGGAAGAATTCGCCGGGAGATGAATCGAAAGCCACACGTTGTATACTTTCCCTTTCTCTTCTCTCCCCTCCAGTCGACCTCTCTCCAGGAAAGGCTGTTTTCTTTTTTCCCACCGTCCCGCCCCTTTTCCAACCCCACGAGGTGGAAGTGCAGACGATCTGAGTCGGCAAGAAACTCCCTTTCGTAAAGTTCTAATTGGTTCAGTAAAAAACGAAAATAGCGTCGTCACCCCTGAAAGGAGAATGAAAACGATACACGGGATGTAATGACACTGTTTTGCACTGTATTGATCTTTCTTCTTTCTTCTTTCCTTTCTTCCTGATCAGAGAGTAGTCGACTAGAGTTTTCCTTCTCTCTGTTGTGCGTTGCGGGGACGGTGCAGCGCAGGCACCCAACAGCAGAACAGAGGACGCCGCAGCCGGAGAGCCGCGAGCAACGAAGGTGAGGGGCCGCGAGAGCCTTCTCCCCACCTGAACAAGAAAGTTCGAAAAGGCGTAGCTTCTCTTTTCCCATCTAACGTGACAAGCAGCGCTCTTTTTAGTTCCTCCGCCCCCCCCCCCTTCCCTTTCAGTTATGCAAGCCGCAAAGGAGTACACGTACAAAAAAAAACCTGTGTTCTCCTTCAACAAGGAACTGAACTGGTGGGAATGAGTGCATGTAACCGGACGCCTAAAGGAGAATGATCGGTGCACTCCTGCTGGTTTTTGTTTTGCGTTTTTGAGCGCGCCTGCTTCGCTTCGAAGGGTTCTTCTGTGATGGCGACATCACTGCACACGCGAACGTTGACTGCTGTTCCCAAAGGCGAGCGGAGCACGGCACCACCCACGTTCGTTCCATCGTTCGTTGGGCAACAACGCAGACAGTTTTCGCAAATGCACAGAACCCGTCAAACAGCTGCAAGTTAATGTGGTTAAGACGGAGGTCTGTTTTCGATGAGTCTGCTGCTTAGTTGTTGTCCTAATGCAAGATGCTGTGAGCGTGCTCTTGCGTGTTTTCGAGCTGTCGCAACTCGAAGCCCTTCTACGCGCATCAACTCCGGCGTGTGAGAGCCGTAAAAAGAAAAGACCTCTCGTTCTCGTACTCCTTCCTTCCTTCTCTTGTTTTATTACTGTCAACAACGTGAAGAACACGACTTCATATCTGCTTATTTGTATCATTGTTGTGCAACGACGTTCTCTTGTGTCGCTTAAAAAAAGGCCAACTGGTTTTGCTATCAACTGCGTGGCATTCATCTCACAAACAACAACAAAAACGACTTCTGCTTTCTTCTTTGGTAGTGACATACAGGAGAATAGGTAAAAAGAAATCTTTTCGTATTCTACCTCGTCTCTCGCCATTCCGCGCTGCTTTTCTTCTACATCTATGTATTTGAAGACGAAGCAAAACGACGGCTTTTATTCCATCAACGACGGCCACCGTATTTTTTTTTAAATCCCAAGAGTCTAGTTTTGCTGAACTTCTGGGGGGTGCATCTGTTCTTGCGTTTTTTCTTCCTCCCCTCCTTTGTGCTCTGTTTCACCAAGCAGTACCGAGTAGTCGCAGTAGTACCTTTCGTCGTGGCGTTATGCTCCACATCTCTTTGTGTTCCCATTTGCTGCTTACGTTGAAAGGACATTTTTCTGTTGAAAGTATCTTGATTTACATACAAAACCTCCACTGCGCTTTTTGCTCTTGTTTGACACCTTGTCTGGATCTCGCCACCGCGTCGAAGGGTGCTGAGGGCAAACGCGCTTGTACAACACATTTCGTGCGGCGGATGGCTCGGCGCTGCAGACGTGGCACGGCTGTTTTCCCCTCTGTGTTCGAAGATATTTGTTAACCAGCTTCTTGTAAGGAAAGAAAAGAGGAAGGAATTAAGCTGGACAGGACACGTGCGGATAGGTCCAGGTTCATATCTGCGAAGTACAAGAAAGAATAGCGAGGATGAGCGTGAACGAAGCCCCTCGACTGACCATGCGTGTCGTGGTGCTTTTCATGATGGTCGTGTTCTTCTTCTGCCTCCTGGCTGACCAACTGCAGTGCAGCAAGAACGGGCGACAAAGGTTCTGTACCGGGCGCGCCCCGTACCATTGCCGTTACGACCACTGCCGTGAAGAGATCGTTCTGCCTTTCTCGGCATCACGGGATTCCACGTGCATGTTCAAGGGAACGACGGAGATCTTGCTTGCCTTGATCGAGGTGGGGCCGTCGCTTGTCTCTGAGCGCGGCAGCACCATCAGCGCCTACATGGCCGAGGAACTACGCGGGCGTATCAACGCAAGTTCTTTCCCTCGTCCTGTGAAGAACGGAAATGCCGGCCGTAAGGCTCGATCTTATTGGAACTCCATTTACGTCTCTCCGGTGGACGAGTACTACAGACTCTCACGTAAACTCGAGGAGACTTGGAGGACGCCTGGCTACGCGACTCGGTTCACCGTGTCGAACGACGTCATCCCACTTCCGCTCTATCAACACGGCAGCCCGCTGGCGTACACCCTGTGGACGGACGCCGTCGAGGCGGTCCTGCCGACCAGCAGCAGAGACGATCCAACTCAGCTGAAAAGGCACTTTCCGAACTTATACGTCGCCTTCGATGCGGCGGTGGCGCGGCGGAAGAGGAGTACCACGGAAAACGCGGCGTGCGACAGCATCAACATCATCGTCTACATTCTCGTGTCACCGCTGGCCAGCGTGAGGGAGGTGTGGGAACTCCCCGAATCCGCAAAACAGGCTTTCTCAGAGGCGTACCGCTGCGTTGCGGGGGCGGTGACGCGCTACCTCTCCACCAACAAGCGTCTTTTTAAGTACCTCAGCGGGGTAAAATACGTCTACTTTTTTGTGCCACCGCCGTCTCGGCAGTTTATCCAGGGTGTACTACCAAAAGAAACGAAATTTTCCCCCACGGATGCTGTGGGAGTTTCCTCCGAAGCACCAAAACAGCTTCTCACGGCGGACAACGCGCTGGTGATGGCCGTCGCCGATGTACCTGCCTCCCTTGCCTTCTGCAACGCATCAACGAGTGCGGCACACACGACGCAGTGCACGCAGGGGTGCCGAAACTACGACGTGCTGAACTCTCGTGCCGCCGCCGTGTCCGCTAGCTTTTCGGATACGATTCGTGAGACGACGGAGACGTACTCCAGCTTTTATGCTGCGTCGTCGTTGTATCACAACTGTTACTTTGACGTCTTGAGTGGCGGAGAACCGCCAATGGGAAACGGAACTTTTGGCGCTGGTGCCGAGGCAATTATGTTCGACGACTGCTTGCACCTCTCGCCTGATGGCGGGAAGGCGTTTGCGACGTGTCTGTTGAACACGACAGCGATTGTAAGGCAACGATAGTACAGCGTAACATAGTGAAGAACTTTTGTGTGTGTGTGTGTGTGTGTCTTTGACTGATCTCACGGGCTTCCACAGAATTACCAGCCACATCCCTCAAAAGTGTTGTCGGTTGTGGTGAACGTGCCTTTTACCATGGCCAGAAAAGCTAAAGAAACGGAGAACAGCACGAACGCAACTTTTAGAAGAAATGAGCACGTTCGTCTCTGCGTAAAGAGGGGAGCTACGCGTGGTGGTCGTCCCTTCCGCCGACGCATCTTCTCGGTCGACGACGTTGCACCACCGGCTTCACCGGCACACAAGGGGTCCTCCTTTTTTCCCCTTGATTCTTGTCGCGTGTGTTGCGGTTTTAAGAAAAGAAAACCTTAATGCTTTTTTTTTGGGAGGGTGTCGTCCTTCTTTCGCGTCCTTTGTCGGCGTTGACTTCCCTGTGCCCCCCCTCCTTCTCCTACTCTTTGATAGATGCAGAGCGACAGGAGCCGTTGCGTGGACCTTCACACGTGTCCTCTTCGCCTTTCTTCACCCAATTGCCATAATCGTGGGAATACAAATTAAAAAAGGCGACAGGAACGAAACGGGGAGCAGCCGCTCTCGAATGAACGTAAGAATCTTCACAAACGGCTTGGTTTTGACAGTTTTTAAGGTACCTGTTTTCTTGCTGGCCACTGGACGATTCCACGGGGGTGCTTTCGGTTTGCGTCGTTTTTCTCCGCTTTACACGTTTTCATATTTAGGCTGAATATGTACGCCGCCCACGCGGCCGTGCTGCGCGGTGGAGTGCGTAGTGGCGCTTCAGCGTGCACCAGCAAACGGGGCCGTTGGCAACCTTTAGTGCTGACCGTCGGCCGCCGGCAAGCGTCCACCAAGGCAGGGCCTCCCACGTCGTCCCACATGCCGTTCCGCAGTACCACAAAATTTAAACTCACCCCTGCGCAGGTGAATGAGACGAACGTGCCGAGTGCGAGGGAGGTGGCGCAGATGATCCCGACGCTGCGCGAGCTGCAGGCACAACTGCCAGACGCGCTTGCGTTAGAGCAGCGCTACATACGTCCAGAAAACGTCGTGGCGCCGGCGCCGGAGTCGGCTAGCACCGCAGACGCGGCAGACGATAATGACTTTGACGGCGCAGGCGGCAAGCCGTCGACCACACCCTTTTTTGTGAAAACAACGGACCCGCTCGAGGATCTGCTGTTTGGGCCTCCAAAAGAGGAAGGAACTTCTGCGGAGACGACCACTGAGGAGGACAAGCGTCCGCGGCGGCAGCATTTACTGTTGGCCTACCGTGCGCTGCTGTGGGGCACCGCGTACGCGTTGCTGGGGGTTGGCGCTACCGTCGCGGGCGCCATGTATCTGTGCGGTTACCACAACCTGGGCGAGTTGCTAGACGGCGTGCGAGGAAAGGCTCGTCGCGACGAAGATCGTCTGCGCGGCTGCGTCGCCGTCGACGACGCAGCTTCTTCGGTGGAGCACTTCGTCATCGACCTCACCCACCCGGCCGAGGCGTGGAGACAACTTCAGGAGGTGTGGTCGGCGGTGCAGCGCCTTGCCGAGGAGGAAGATGCGAAGACGCAGAAGTCTGTGCCGCTCTGAGGGTACACCCTCTTTCCTTTTTATGTCCTTCTTATTTTTTTTAAATGAAAATACTGCAGAGGAGAGGATGGCGATGAGACGCCGGTGCGCTCCTTCTGTGCAGGTCTGTACAGTTCCTCAAAGTAAAGGAAGGGACAATTGTGGCCATGTCGCATCTACGAGGGCTAATCGTCTCGAAGTGCCTTTCTGCGCTCTTAGGCTCTCTGTCTGTTCTGCTGCGCCGTCTATTTTTTTTCTTTCGTTTCTCCTGAGTACGGTGGTGGTGGTGGCGCACGAAGTGTGCGTCTGTGTGTGTGTGTGTGTGTACGGCAGGCTGGTGCGTTCGATCCCGCATTACTCCACGCTGATCCTCCGACATTGCCGCCCTCGAAAGGAGCAACAACAGCGTTGCGAAACACCTCCTGTATTTACTCGCAACGATGCTCACATCACTTGTCTCTTTTCCCTCTTTCATTGCGTCTTATTTGTGCCGCCAACTCCATTCGCTTTCGCGTTTTTTTTTTGTTCCTCACTTCTTTCTTACATCATTCAGGTTTGACTGCCGAAGTCATCCGCAATGTCTACCGCATCTCCAACTGCAGTGACGGGCTTGGCGCAGGTGCATCACATTGTTCTGGTGCTGAGCGGCAAAGGCGGCGTCGGCAAGTCTACTGTGGCCTGCCAACTCGCCCTCGCGTTAACGCACGTGCACCACAAGCGGGTCGGTCTTCTTGATGTGGATATCTGCGGTCCGAGTGTACCGAAGATCTGTGGGCTCGAAGGGTGTGATGTCTACCGTGGGGAGCGAGGCTGGATCCCGGTTTCACTGACCGCGGCGACCAACGGCAGGAATGCCAACGGTGGTGTCAACGAGACGACGGCGGCCACCACCACGGAACATGCCACCGCTGCTGCAGCGCCGGCTGACCTGAAGGTGATGTCCATTGCCTACCTATTGCCTAGCGACAAAGACGCGGTTGTCTGGCGTGGTCCGAAGAAGGATGCGATGATTAAGCAGTTCGCCACGGACGTGGACTGGGGCCCGCTGGACTACCTCATCGTCGACACCCCACCCGGCACGAGCGATGAGCATCTCACCCTCTGCGAGGTGCTGCGCGAGTTCCATCCTGCCGGGGCGGTTGTCGTCACCACGCCGCAAGATGTATCGACCGACGATGTGAAGAAGGAGCTGTCCTTCTGCCACAAGCTGGACCTGCGCTGTCTGGGCGTTGTGGAGAACATGTCCGGTTTCGTCTGCCCCTACTGCGCGCACTGCACGGACATCTTCGCCAAGGGTGGCGGGCGGAAGCTGGCGGAGATGTACGACGTGGCGTTCTTGGGTGCCATTCCGATTGACCCGAATCTGTCCCTCGCAGAGGACCAGGGCCACGCGTTTGTGACGGCGGAGCCCTCGCAGACGGTGGAGGCGGTCACCGCCGTGATCGACGCCATCGTGCAGCAGGTGGACCGTGCAGCCGAGCAGCAGGAATGAAGTCGAAATATTCAAATGACGTCTGCGCAACAAGACGAGAAAAGAGATGATGACATGTGATGACAGAAGGGGGGAGAGACACACACTGGGAGTTGCAGCTGTGTTGGTTCACTTTTGCAGGAGTTATAAGGCTGCCTTTCCTTGTTTTTTTTTTTTGAACTTCGCACGACGCCTGGTCTCAACGGTCTCTGCGGTCGTCCCCTCTCCCTCTCTCTTTCCTCAGTCTCGCCTGCTCCCCTGCGCGTGCTGCAGGCACGTGAATGCACGATAAAGATGGCACTACCACACAAACTTTAATATATATATATATATATATATATATATAAGTACATATTTGCACATTTTATTGCTATTATTATTATTGTTATGATTTCCACTATGCAGTTGTCTTCCTTCTGCGAGTTCACACGTCGCTCTTGTATTACTTTATGGCGTCTTCCTTTGTGTGTGCGTCTGGGTGTTCCTGTCGTGGAGCATCGAAGGGAGACACGCATTCAAGCACATCCGATGAAGGCGATGGTGCGAGAGCAAACTTAGAAAGAAAAGGAAACAAAAGAGACCGAAGGAAACGTGATGAGAGCACTTAAAGTGCGAAACGAGGCATATTTTTAATTTTCTATTGTTTGCTTGCCTCCTCTCGTATGTGATGCTGGTGTCTACGGCCTTTTTTTTTCTCTCCTGGCTCTCTACCTACGCCAGCTTAATACTATTGTGGAGCGCAACCACCTCATTTTTCCTGTTGACAAAGTGCGAATTAGCTGAACCAAGTAAATGAGTCAAGTCATTCAGCACTGGGAGGTCATCTCATCTTTCCCCCTCCCCCCGCCTCTCCTGCAGGACGTAATGGACTTCTGCAGCACGATGAAGGCTGAAAACAACGGGAGTCTTGTTGCTCGAGTTTCATCGCCGTTACCGCGTTCTCGTTTCCTTTTATTGGCTCTACATGGTTCTGCGTGAAGTGTCGCTGATGATTTCACGGCTGTGTTCTTTCCTTACACCCTCGAGGTCTTTTGTTCTCCGTCATCTCCCTCACTCCATTTTTTTTCGCTTTGCACGGCTCAAATCAATTTTTCCCTTTTCAAAATTATTTCTTAGGGGCAAGACGGCATTTCCGAGTCTGTTAACTGAAAGACGTGAAGACGCGCAGCAGTAAACTAGCTCTGAGTCACCGCCCACCGCGTTTTGCTGACCTCTGAAACCGCAAAGTGCGGCTGAAAAAAGAAATAAACAGTGATCCCACACAAAGTAATGAAAGGAAGCGACAGAAAACGACGGCCGGATCACCGACGGGTGTCGCTCGCTAAGGCCCCGCGAGATCACGCCCACCTCGGCCTGTGCCTCGTCTACAGCGGGGCTGGATTTCGCGGACTGCAACTGCAAGTGCACGGCCCCACCTGTCACACCATCGAAGGGGTTCTTCTCCAGGCTTTGAAAGACGCAGGCGTCATCGCCGACATCGTGCGGGGCCGACCGGAGGGTGAACAGCATCACTTTGCCCGCTCCTGCCGCACCGACCGCGGTGTTCATGCCATCCGCAACATGATCTCGCTCTTTATTCCAAATGAGGTCGTCGAGCGTGCGGGTGGGCTCGAAGGCGTGCGGGAGAAGGTCAACGTGCACCTCCCAGTGACGGTGAGGGTGGCGCACGTGATGCTGCTCGCTGGCAACTTTATCCCTCGCCACTGTTGCAATCGACGGGTTTACCGCTATATGCTGCCGTTGTACGCGCTGCTGCCCCCGTGTGATACGTGGGCCGCGCTGGAGAAGTACTACCCCGGCTGCTTCGCGCAGCTGCAGGCACTGGCGGAGTTCAGCAAGGCGGCGCAGCACACCCTACACGGTGTTCCCTACATGAATGTTAAAAGGCTTACCGCAGCGTCCACATCGTTGACGCGGCCAGACAGCGCTGCGGCGGAGGCGGCCCCCCCGGCGCGTTCGTGGGTGCATGACACCGAGGAGAAAATAAAGCTGTGCAATCGAATTCTCTCCTCCCGCTTCACCCTGTCCCGCCGCTACCATAACTTCTCCGTTGATATCGACGCCAACCGGTCCAGCGTGAGTGCGAAGGTGGTCCAGCCGGACACGGATGAGGCCCTTCGCGTCATCTACCGCTGCGAAATTCTTCCGCGTGTCTTCTTCTTCCCTTGTGCGACGCGTGTCGACAGCGAGACGACGCAGCCGCTGCACGGCGCCAGCCTCTCCGAGTACACCGCCAACCTCCACACTACTGCAGCCGACGGAGAACATGACGGCAGTGCGAACAGCGCGAAGGCTGCCGCGACGTCCGCTGTGCAGCTCCCTGCTGGCCCGACGACAGTGCTGCCTTTCGTGTTCTTTCAAATTGAGGGCGGTTCCTTCTTGCTGAACATGATTCGCAAGGTGGTTGGGTCGCTGCTGGCGGTGTGCCGCGGGGCGCGGGAGTCGATGCTCGACGACGCCCTCAACCCGGAGCGGCGCGTCACGACCCCGCTGGCACCCGGGCCGTACCTCTACCTGGCCCAGTCCACCTACCACGGCTACAATCGCTCCTTGTGTGGACTACAGGGAACGCGGCTGTTGACGGTGCAGAAGGCGTGGGCCGGCGCGGTGGACGACGCCGCTGAGGCGTTCGCTTTTCGCACCATTGCGGCCGACGTCGTCGATGCCGATCTGAATGCGTTGCCGCCGTTGGATGATACGTTGGCCGCGCGTGATCGGGCGCTGGCGGTGCGTCGTCCGCAGACGGCAGCTGAGGACGCGCATTTGAGTGAGATGAAAGAGTACCGGCCGGTGCTGCCGAGTCGGACACAGTGGCCGACCTGCAGTGAAATGACTGTTTTCCTGCGGCTGCTTCGCGTGCACAACTGGAACGTGCGACCGATCCGGCTCGATCCATCCTGCAAGGCGCTGAAGGAGTTGCGCAATCGCGACGGCCGCGCAGCTGCCCCCGAGACGAAGCAGGCAATGTGCACGCCCCCCACCTCCTCCGCGGAAGGGGCAACATCGGCGCAGCCGGATGCAGCCGCACCGGTTCTCCCGTCCGCCACAGAGGACGAGCATGGCGAGGCGGAGGTGCCGGATGGCGGTGCGGATGGGTGGCTCTACCTGGCCGACTCCGCCGAAGAGGCGGTGGCGCAGCGTCAGGCCTACTTTGCGAGCCGCTGGAAGCGCGCGCGTCGGTGGGAGTTTGCTGACGCGGACACCGAGGCCGGCGGCGAGGACGACGTGGATGACGACGCCCCGGTTGCCGCACGTTGTCAGCGGCAGAGACGCGGTTGAAAACCCATAAAAGGAAGGAGATCTGTAGTGGTTTCGCGCGTGCAAGTGGTGGCTTCCAAGTTTTTTTGTGGATGTCTTCATGGGTGGATTAACTCGTATTGTTGTTGTTTTCTGCGTTGAAGGTTCTTTTATTTGCATCAGACAACGATCGACAGTGGTGATAACCGTGATTTCTCGTTCGATTAACGTGCGCACGCGCGATGCGCTGATAAACACCCCCCATTACAGTACCAAAGAGAAGTGGACGGAAACGACCTGAAATGTGAAACAGGAAACACCAAAGTAGGGCTATTTCAGGTCTTTTTACCCCCTCTTTTTTGTTGTTGGTCGGAAGTCTCTGTCTTGTTCTTCTGCAACCTCGTTGTTGTCTGACTGCGGGAGTTGACGAAAGCACAAGAGGCACCGAGGAAGCGTCACGCTGCTGCTGAGACGTGCAATGGAATCTGCCGCGTGGTGTCCGTCATGTTTTCCTACTGCTGCGTGCGAGGATCGCACCTACTCTACACAACTTGCGTGTGTTTATATCATCCCTCACTTTCGTGGTGTATCTCCGTTTTTCCGAAGAAAAGAAAACGAATGTGTACCGGCAAAGCAGCTAAAGAATGCAACACGTAAAGCGACAACCACAACACCAGAAGAGCGTTACACACAGAAGCTATAACGTTAACACACCCGGCAGTCCTACGACCCATGGGAGATTTTCTTAGTCAGCATCAGGTCCAGCGGGACTACTATCGCGAGTCGAGGCAGGGTGCGGTGGTGGCCATGGACTGCCCGTACTGCAAACGGCGCGGTCGGTTTGCCGCTAACGCTTACGAGCTGGCGAAGCGGATCCCGACGATAATGACGCAGGGCATCGCGCTTTGCCACGGCTGTCAGGACGTCGTATTGAGCACGGCAGAATTGGTTACTCAGAAACGGGCATGGTACTGCGAATACTGCGAGATCTGCCTGTGCCCTACCTGCCAGAAGGCTCGCCGTAAGTCTTCGTAACGGACAGCGAGGAGCGCGAGCACACGCGTAGAACATGTCTTCGCGGTGCTTGAAGCGCGTGTGCGTGTACGCATGATCTTGACGTATTCATGGGCATTATTATCATTCTTTTTTGTTTTTGTCCTGGTGGCAGGAAACAACAAACACGAGCACTGTTATCTTCACCGCTATTACACTAGCCACATAAGAAAATGAATTAAAAGGAGCGCACCATCAGGTCGGCTCTGCTGCTGGTGTGGCGAACTCTGAGGGGCACATCTTAAAAAAAAATAAGTTGGTTCAATTTTCTGGGCCTCTCTTTCCCCATTCGATCAACAGGGTGCACCTCTCTTTGTTTGCACCGCCCCAAAGCAATTTGTATTTTCTTTTCCTTACGCCGAGGGAGAGAGATAGAGAGGGGGAGAGTCGGTGCAGCGTCCGTGCACTGTCTGAGAGTGTCCGGGCAGGAAAGGAAAGCGCCATCCCGACGGACTGCTTTCATTCGTCACAGTGGAGAGACACCATTCATCACTTTCGCCTTTGTTCTTCAAGCCCGTTTTTTTTCCCTGGTTGAGGTGCTTTGTTTGTTCGTTGTTGTGCTCTGCGGAATGAAACGATATCGGACCACCTGACATGATACTCGTCGCGTTGCACCGCATCCTTTGAGGGGCGAAAAGCGAGTGCTTTACATTAACACACACAGAGGGTATTCATGAAGAGAAGTGATAACACCGCATTTTAGTTATGGCGGCATTATCCACTACGTCGTCGGCGACCGATGCAGCGGAGACACACCTGCCCCTTCCTCCCCCTGTCTTACCGCCGCGACAGCTAAAAAAAATTGAGATTTCGTGCCGGAAGTGGCTCGTGCGGTTTTTACTCGCCGTTTCTTCGGTTGCACGAGCGCAGCAAACCGGTGCGGCCGTGGCCACGACCTCCTCTTTCGGCTCAGCGGACGTCGAGGGGAGCGGTGAGAGCAGGTACGATGTGGGTGGCGTCGCCACACCTGTGTGTCCTGCGTGGAAACAGGCAAACGGGTTTGTGGCCTTAAACGGTGGAATTCTTGCCGGGTGCAGCCCGCACGACCTCCGTGCCACGTTGGTGGCACATCACTTGCTCCAGCCGCCGATTCCATCTTCGAACGAGACCATTCTCGCGTACAGCTCCACGCTCCCCTTCGTGCTGTGCGCACGACCACTCGCATTGCAGGCGGAGGCTGACACCCGCACCGGCCTTTTTGCGTTGTATGTGTCGGCAGAAGACATCACTCGCTGCACGGCGACCACACGCGCGTCCAGCGAGGCCGAAGGGCACTCCACCTCTGCACCGGATTCACTTGCTTCCGGCAGATGCGTCGAGAGCGGCAAGCCGGCAGTGGCAGACCGCAGCGGCGAGAAGAACCGCAGCGACAGCACGTTTCCCCCTTCGGTGATCGGAGTTGTGGTGCTGCAGCTGCCGCCCGCCGCGTCGCTGTGGAAAGGCGGCTCATCAACGTCATCTGCGCAGCGAGGGTGTGGCTTTTTGTATCTGCTACCGTGCGACGTATCGCTCATGCGCACGATGCTGAGGTGCGTGCTCCAGAAGCCGGTGGTGGGCATTGAGCGTTTGCTGGGGCACGGTGAACGCGCTGAGCGTGCACATGACGATGAAGATAAACGTCCACGGGTTTGTGTGTCACAGGCGGTACCTGGCATCCCTGGTCTCTACCTGGTCGAGGACTTTCTCACGCGGGGAGAAGAGGCCGCCATCTGGGCGGAGCTGCACGAAGGTCGACAGCGGCTGCAGTTGGAGTACCTCTCGCGACGTCGGGTTGCCCACTTTAATCGCCGCTTCATCTACGGTGCGAACCAACTCACAACGGAGGGCGAGGAAGTCAACGCACGACCGTCGTTTTACGACTGGATGCGTGCACGCCTGCAAAACAACGACCCCGCCCACTCGATGCGCATTGTGGGCGACTACCCCTTTCACCCGGGCGACTACGAGTGCGATCAGCTCACCGTGAACTACTACGACTACAGTGAGATGGGTGCGTGTGGGATTGCGTCGCATGTCGACGCGCACGCCGCCTTCGAGGACGCCATTCTCATCGTCTCGCTCGGCTCTTACACGGTGATGGACTACACCCGGTGGGACACGCCAGCGGCAGAGGCAGCGGCACCGATTGGCGTGTACCTGCCCCGCCGCTCCCTCGCCGTGATGCACGGGGAGTCGCGCTACGGTTGGACGCACTGCATTGCGGAGAAGCGCACGGACACCGTGTCGGAACTGCTGCCGACGTTGACGCGTGGCGACCGCCTGAGCCTGACGTGGAGACGCGGCCGCACCCAGCGCCACCTCAAAGCGGAGTGCCCTTTCCCCGCCTTGTGCGATGGGGAGTGAGTGATTAGTACAAACGCATATAAACACACACACGGCCCACTCTGTCGGTTGCTGGTGGGAATAGTGTGGCAGCGCGGCGCCTTTCATCACTCACTATCGGAAGAGTGTGGATGAACTTGAACATCAAAAAATTAGTAATAAAAATAACCGTATTTACCCCTATTCCTCCTTGCTCATTGGAATGGCTGTTCTAAAATCATTTGCTGGTGTGTACGACGACTCACGCCCACACCCCTCCCCTTCTGCAGCATCGTGTTTACACGAGGTTTCATGCCGGTAAAGGAAAGAACAAGAACAAGAGCCGTGCGTGTGCGCGCGCCACCGCTGACACCATTGATGTCGCGAAGAGCGCAGCGTCTGCGTGCCCATGGAGGGCAAGCGGTTTTGTGCCTGCGTGCGTGTTGCAATTCGAAAGAAAAAGAATCCTCGCTCCTCTCTGGTTTCTCATTGTTGGGTTTGCATATATATATTTATCTGTTTTGGTTGTTTCCCGCTCACTTCTCTGTGGCCAGCCTTTTTATGTGTCTTGCTTTGTTCCCTGCGTGCGAAACGCGTTTAGCTTCAGTGCGGCTGCCCACACGAGAGATCTGAATTGAAGGTCGCACTCTCCAGCGATCTCACAGACGGCAACAGCAAGAGCAACAGTAGGGATGCTTTCGCAGTCGCCGCTTTGCTGTTTTGTGGCCATCACGCGCGCACTCTACGCAACTCCTGCCACGTCATCGACGGCCACACACAATGGCATGGCTTCGTCCTCCACGCCGGCCGCCTCTCCCGCGGTCGCTGTCGCTGCGTTGAACCCCTCCAACGACCACTACGCCCAGTGGGGACGTGCGCTGCTGGAGGAGAACAACAAGCGCATCGGACCAGAGCACATGTTCCGCACCGCCATCCGAGCCCAACAGCAGCTTCAGGGTCTGGCCGACAAGTGGACGCCAGACGCGAAGATTTACTGCTGCGGTTCCATGGTGACTCACGGACAGATGGAGTGGGGCAGCGATCTCGACCTCGCCTGCGTCTTCGACGACCCTTACCCAAATCACCAAATCCAGGCGAAGCGGGTGGAGCGTCTGTGGAGTGTGATTAAGCGCTACATGCCCTATTACTTGAGACCGAACCTGTTGAATCTGACCGATGCCCGCACACCCGTCGTGAAGCTGCGTTACGTGAACGAGGATAAGGTGGCACGGTCCCGCTACACGGTGTTCACCGAAGAGGAAGACCGCCGCTCCCGCACCGCTCTGTGGGACATCCGCAATCGCTGCCTCGACGACAGCGACTTGGAGTACATCGCGTTGAAGATGGGCCGCGAGAACGTCGAGGGGATTTGGGTGCAGCGGACGACGTATGGGTGCAAGGTGGCGGTGCAGTGCACCTCCCGCGAGCAGGCGATCGAGGCGGTCGGCTTCTTTCCGGATGGCAAGATCATGACGCGTGGGCAGCGCGAGGACTACACCCGCGACATGCTCGACCCCCGCTTCGGGCCGGAGATGTACATGTACAAGTGGGACATCTCATTTGTGGCCTACGGCGTGAAGAACAGCTACCTGATTCGGCACTACTTGCACCACGGCCCAGCCCCCGCGCGACACGCCGCAATGGCGGCGAAGGCGTGGGGGAAGGCGACGGGCGTCGGTCTTGGCACGGCTGCCATGCTGACCTCGTACGCCGTGACGATCCTGTTGCTGCACTACATGCTCGCGACGCGGCAGCTGGAGTGGGTCGATCCATGGTCCATTGCCCACCCGGCGCACATGCCGCGCTACCCCGACTACTCCCCGCTCGTGGACTGCGATCCGGTGGAGCTGGCGAAGCTGCTGCACGGATTTTTTATTTACTACGGCAACCACTTCGACTACGAGAAGAACGTTGTCAGCATCAGCCGGCCGCGGCTGTCGACGCGGGCGGACGTCGGCTGGAACTTCCCGCAGCACCGCAAGGGCACCTACTCCTACTTCATGGGCATCGAGGACCCGTACGAGGACGTTGGGATTGGAGGGCTGAATCTGGGTCGTCACCTGCACCCGGCCAAGTTCCAGCAGGTGAAACAGGAGTTTTTGCGCGCGGCGCAGAACATGGAGCGCTACGTCCCCTTAAACTCACCCGATAAGACCATCATTGGTGTGCGTCGGGCCGATTTGTCGAGCCAACACAGCCGCTACCGCCATGACCATTAGTGTGTGCTTGAAGGTTGCGTGCTTGTGAGGGGTGCGCAAGGTGTTCTTTGTGTTCTTTTGAGGATTGTTTGCGGTGGAAGAATTTATTTTTGTCGGTGTTTTTTTGTCGGAGGGCGTGCAATGAGTGGCAACATTGAGTACCAGAATAAACGGAACGGGAACGCAAACGACTGTTTGGTGAAACCGTTTCTCCATGTCCGTCCTATTATTACTCGTATTACCGTTTATTATTATTATTATTGTTTGCACACACAGATGCTAACGTGTGCGGCGCTTTTCGTCAGTGAGCGCCTCATAGCCTCATGAGCGAAGTAAAGAAACGCCGTGAAACGAGACTCCCAGAGAAGAAATGCAGACAGCTTTCGCAATCGTCAGCAATTCAGAGGTGCCGGCAGGCAGTGCGGTCAACACACTTCGAACTTTTGGGGTTGATGCCGTGTTTTCTGTTCCTCTCTTTTTTTATTCCGAAGGGCCCACAATTAAGGTGTCAGCGAGCATATTCCCTCTCAAGACCGCTCCTCGCTTTCGTTTTCCCTCTCAACTCACCTACCCCCTTCCCCCCCCCCCTTCGTCCACCGTTTACGTTGTTGACGCTCTCAAACAACTTTAATGGAACCACCGTTGTGCTGCCTTGCCGCCGTTAGTTTCCTTTTCTTTTGTGCAGTTCTTAGGGTTTTCCTATTGTCTCATTCTTTGCCTCATTATCTCGTATTTCACACCACTCTTTTTTCTCCCCTTTCGCTTTCTGATCCAACCCGCACCCCAGTTCACCCTTTGCTGAGAGGACAGCGCACCTGTATTTAGATCAGTTCATCTATATCTAAACATACCTGCCCCTTCTCGCTCCTTTTGCACCTTCTTGTACTCACCTATGAGGAGCTTTATCAACTCGAAGACGTCCGGCGGGTTCGACCCCCCGAAGGTGCGTGCGAACATACGCATGGCCACCACCCGCCTGGGCATGCAGAAGAACAAGCTGCTGAACAGCGTCAAGACCCAGCGGCGCGGCATTGCGGAGCTGCTCGCGCTGGAGAAGTATGATTCGGCCCGCATCCGCGTCGAGAATTGCATCCGTGAGGACGTCAACATCGAGGGCTTCGAGGTACTCTCCCTCTTTCTGGACTTACTGGCGAACCGCGTGCAGCTCATCGCGGAGAGCAAGCCGATGCGGACGGACAAGAACAAAAAAGACCCGAGTTCCGCCTGCCCGCCGGAGCTGAAGGAGGCGATCACCTCCGTGCTGTGGGCGAGCGCGCGGGTTGGAGACGCCGTGCCGGAGTTGGCGGTGCTGCGCAAAAACTTCGAGGCAAAATTTGGCCACGAGTTTGTGGAGATGGCAATGTCGAACGCGGAGTTCTCGGTGAATCAGCGCATGATGGAGCGTCTTGGCATGTACACCCCGCCCAACGACAAGTGCATCGCCTACCTCACCAACATCGCGAGTGAGTATCAGCTGAGCGGCTACGACGAGGACCGCCTGCGCGACCCGAATGGGCTAGTCGCCTCAGCTGCTGCAGCGAGCGGGTCTGGCATGGAAGTCACCGGTGCCGGAGCGGAGTTGAATCAGCAGGTGCGGGGATCGATTCGCACGCCGTCTGGCCTGTTCATTCCGCCACCGAAGCCGCCGTACGACGCGCTTGATCAGCGTCTCATGCAGCTGATGTGCGTGTAACCGGCGTGCCGAGGTGGTAGTAGGGAACAACGAACGACAACGACAAGCAACTGAACAGTTTACGAAGGGTCGCAGAAGAAGAGTATTATTGTGTTCTGGCGACGCAGGCATGCAGATTTCGTTGGAGCAGAATGCTAAAAACTCGCTTGGATCTTTTTTCGTTTGTTTTGAGAGGAACCTCAACGGAAGCCGTGTCGAATTGTATCGTTGTGCGTCGGCATTGTCTCGGTGTTGTTTACTGTCTTTAATTGCTTTCATTTGTGTCTTTTTCTTTTATACGTTTTCCGAATCTTGTATATATTTAGTACTGGTTTCGTTGCTTGGCGTTTGTTATACGGCGATGTTCGCACCCAACTTCTTGTTTTTTTTTTGTTTCTTTCCCTGTCCTGGCCTCATCGAATCATTCAAGACACGATGACGTCGATCATGATAAAAATCCTTTTGATCTCGATGCTTCTCCAAGACGCTTTAATTTGTCTTTCCGCTGGGCAGACGAGGATCAGCGGTTATCACGCAACGATTAGACCAATAATTAACAAAATCCGTGTTGAGGCCTCTTCGCTTTCCTCAACGCCTGCGATGCACTCCATGTGAAGAGTGTGTCTGCCATCACTAAAAATGATCCTCCGCTCTTCTTTCCCTCCTTCGCTGTCCGCACAACCGTCGCATTCCGAATCTTCTCATCTGTATTTGCTTTCTTTAATCCTGTTGCGCATCACAACGTTTTTTTTTTTGGCTCTTTCTCCTCCTTTCCGTACGCAACCGGTGATCAGAGGAACGCTTCTGAGACAAGGGGGAAGAAACGAACGAATTTATTTTCTTTTCTTTCTCTCCTCTGTGCGCTGCTCGACAAGCACGCACACACACACACAAAGACTCACCCGCACCTATACGTGCGAAGCGCATCTTCATGTCTGTGAAGAATGCCCGGTCGAGCAAGGAGCTCGTCGAGGCGGCCCGCACGCACCTCGCCGACAGCAACTTTTCTCCCACAAAAGCAGGAGACCTGCTTACGAGGGCAATCCAGCAAGATCCAACTTTTGTGAACGCGTTGGTGCTGCGCTCGAACCTGGCGAGTCGTCTCGGGCAGATCAGCGCTGCCGTGGCGGATTTATCGCTGGCCATTGAGGTGGACCGCGGCAGCAGCGATGGCCGACGCGTCGCCTCGCTCTATGGCAGTCGATCGAGCCTCCTCGTACGTGCGGGGCGACCCGCCGACGCCATTGCCGACCTCCACGCTGCGCTGAAGAGCGAGCCGGACAACGGCATGTGGGCTTACGAGCTGGGACGCGTGTACTTAAAGGAGGGCCATGTGAGTCTGGCGCAGCTCAACTTTCAGCGTGCCCTGCAGGAGTCGATGTGGTCGCACGTCAATGAAAGCACCCGCCCCAAAGTCTACGCCCTGTACGGCCGCAGCTGTTTGATGAGTCACGACTACAAAAAGGCGAAGGGACTTTTGCGCAAGTCGTTGGACCTGGGTGGGGAGGGAGCCGCGGTGCTCCACGACGTCGGACTCGCCCACTACCACGAAGGCACCTCACCGACGTCCGCAATCGACTTCTTTGTCCGCGCAATGGAGATGGACTCGCAGGCGGTGGTGTACCCGATGCACCTTGGATTAGCGCACACGCGCTGCGGGAACTTCAACGACGCGCTGTCCAGCATGAACGAGGCGGTGCTGCGCGGGCAGGAGGAGGCGCTGCTACGCTTTTATCGCGGCTGCATTGAGCTGCAGCTCGGATTGGGTCCACAAGCACTCGTCGATCTGCAGGCCGCCGCAGAGCTGCAGGGAGCCAGCGAGAGCGAAGGCAGTGTAGCAACCAGCGCGAAGAAGCGCGACAATACCTTTCGCACGGCGGTGACCTCCTCGGCACCGGCGTGGATCGCGATAGCCCTTGTGCATCTCTTTTGCGGACACGCCCTGGACATGGCCGCGACGAGCTTAGCAACAGCGCTTCAAAAGAACGTGGACCGGCAGCAACGCATCTTGGCGGGTGTTCTGCTCGGCATCGTGCGGCATCAACAAGACGAGGCCCTCGGCGCCGTGCGGGCCTTCTCCGACGTTGTCTCGACAATGCAGCAGGCCTCCAAAGATGCCAAAGACAGCAACGAAAATGTGCTAACGTCTTCCACATTTGACTGTCGATTTTCGTCTGACATGGAGCTGCTCACGCTGACGCACGTGGGACTTGCGTACGGTGCGTGCGGGTACGCGGACTTGGCGCTGCGCTTCTTTACCCAGGCGCGCCAACGCGCGCAGCAGCGTGGCGACGCGGTGCAGGTGGCTTCCTGCCTTTTTCGCGAGGCCGTCGCGCAGGTGGAGCTGAAGGACAACTGGGGCGCACTGGAAAACGTGCAGCTCTGCACCGCGGCGGCTGGCGGCGCCTCTGCAGATGGCAAGGGCTCGCCGTCGCCGGTCCCCACCGACAGTGACATCTCCAGCGCAGCCCTCCCCTCCTTGCGTGCGGCAGCTGCTGCTGCTGCCGCCGTTACTTCGATGACAAAGGCCCATCGGAAGTCGCGGACCTCTTCCCTTCAAACGTCAACGGAGCGGCTCTCAGCGGAACACGCGTCTCCTTGCCCGTCGTTGCTGACGGTTCATCGGCTCGCCCCCGGGGAGACGGCACACTTGTACGCCGTCACGCTGCGTCGACTCGGCCGTCTTTCTGAGGCCCTCCCCTTCGCCACAGCCGCGGTGGAGGCAGTGCTGCTTGGGACGGCCTCGTCTGCGACTCGTGCGGGTGGCCGCAACACCCGCGTGGGGGCAGCCGGCGTGCCGGCCTACCTCTATCATCGCGCCTTTATTCACTTTTCACTGCGCAACTACGCTGAGGCGATGAGCGACGTGCAGGCGTGCATCAAGGCGTGTGGGACTCCCGCGGACACAGCCGGTGCCGCGACCACGTCCGCCGATCCGTACTACCTGCGGGGCTGCGTTGCACACGCGATGGGGGACTTCGCCGATGCGCTGGCCAGCCTCACGTCGGCGCTGGAGGTGGACACGACGCTGCGGGAGTCGCCTGTCTTCTCCTACAGCCATGGGGTGCTGCTCGCCATAGCCGGTAAGCACGAGGCCGCAATTGTGGCCTTCACCGCCGCTATCTTGCACAGCGGAGGCACGAAGGAGGCTCCACGGTGCCCCGCCGTGTACCACCACGAGCGAGCGAAGGTGTTTCAGCAGATGGGGCGCTACGCGGAGGCGCTGGCGGACTACAACTGCGTCCTGCCCACGAAATGCGTGGTGTCTGCGAAAGACTGCGATCTGCAGCTGTCAAACGTGAACTGGAATGCGCTGGTAAATCGTGCGTTGACGCTGAAGGAGCTGCAGCGGTACGAGGAGGCCGCCACTGACTGGGACGCCGCTCTGCGACTCGACAGGAGTGGTTGCCTGGAGGACCTGACCACGCAGGACGTGTTTGAGATGCCCTACATGGACCTGTGCCTGCCCGGGTGTGAACTCCACGATGTCGAGAGCGATGTAATCTAACGAGGTGCGAATACGCGCATGTAACTATATTTGTTCCGCGAAGGTGGCGGATGGGGTTTGACGCCTCTTCCTCCTTCGCTTCTGCTAACGTTGGAAGGCCTCTTTCCATCCGCGTGTATGCTTCTTTGTTCGGCCTGTCATCATCAACAGAAAAAAAAACATGTAAAATACGCCTTTTCTTTTCTACTTACTGTGCTCTCCACCAACAGCGAAAAGAGAATACCCGAAGCGAAGAACTCGCAGATGATCGTACATGATCACAAGACACTCCCTCTTTCTTCTTGTACGGTTGTGCGCCAACGCAACATCAACGGTGCGTTTTCATGGTGTTCTTCCGCTGCCGAAATCGCTCACGCATTAGGCTTGGCACAGATTTTGCTGACATGCGAGGCGGTCGACGTGGCGAAGTTGTCCGTAAAAAAAAAAGCGAAGGAAGAGAAATGCGACGACGTAGTCGAAGCTCTCCATAGCTGGAAAATGCCGCTCTGCTATGCATCACCGAAAGCAGCTGCCTGTCTTATTTCTCCTCTCCTTTTTTTTCACCTTTTCACTGTGTTGTCGTTTCAACATCGTGTTTTTCTGTTGTTGTTGTTGCCTAATAGCAGAAAGCGACTCCGATAAAGCTGAACAGAAGCGCGCGTGTGCACACCCCAGTCTCTTTCTCTCTGTCTTGGAAGTGCAACGTTGCTGTGCCGCCGATTGCACGTGTGTGTGTGTGGGTATGTGTGTGTGTAAAGACGGTGCGTGTCCCACATAAGGTGCTTCTCCTCCCACCACTATGCAGAGGCTGCAGTGTTTTCGTCGCTCATTGTCACATTACAAATGTCCTGTGGCTCAAACCTGCCCGCTCCGCTTCTCGCTGCGTCGCCGCAGCAGCTGCAGCAACAGTAGTGATGCTGGCGAGACGGTCTTGGCCGCAGAAACGCGTGCTCCATCCGCATCGTCGTTCAGTGCACCACCACAGACACCACCTGCATCGATGTTGTCGTCGTCGCTCATCGAAAATGGACGCTCGAGGACATCGGCGTTTGCACATCTCTTCAACGACGTTTTCACCACCATCGACATCGCCCCCGTGAAGCGTCCGCAGCTCTCCGGCAGCCTCGTGTGCTCCGTCGACAACTATCCCTTCACCGTTATGTTCGTGGAAGATTGCACCGGCATCTCGAGTGACGCCGTCACGCAGCTCGTTCAGCAGCATGCGGTGCGGTTGGCAGAGCAAATTCGGACGTGTACGAGGAAGTCGGTGCGAGTGTTTCTTCTCGACCACGTGTGCGAGAGCTGGCCCGGGGTGATGGGTCATCTGAGCAGCTTAGACCTCGCACTGCAACTGAGACTGGTGCTTGCTGGCGCGGTTGCTGTCGATGCTGTTGGCGCGACACCGCATGACAGAAAGGACTTTAAATCTCCTGAGATTGTCTCAGCCGCGTCCGACACGGTAGGCGGCGCCAGCGCAATAGCTACCGCGTCAGCGCAGTGGAAGTGCTCTGCGTCTCTGTACGATCCGTGGCAAACGCAGCCACGCTTTACCCCACTGCGTAACTCGACCGACAGCAAGGGAGACGCCGGTGCAGAGGACACGTTGGTGCTCACGGGAGAGCTTCTTGCTGTCGTAAAGCGCGTTATGGCTCGAGTCGAGGTGCTGCTCACTGCCCGCTGTGCTGCGCAGGTGGAGGAGAGCGCTGGAGAGGCGGCCCGCTACACGCATGAAGCCGGCCAAGAGCTGTCGCAGCTGTGGCTCACATCGCAGCTGCAATCGGCTGCCATGAAGGCACAGGCAGCGTCTTCTCCGCCGCGGTGGTGGTTTGAGGCAGTCTCGTCCTTGTCGTGTCCAACGTGGGTGTTATCGTGTAAGTGCTGGGCGGACGTGTCCCGCAACGAGGCGGTGGGTGTGCAGCTGCGCCTCGAGCACGTAGTCGTGGATGCACGCAGTGCTTCCGCTGGTCACTCACCCACCGTCCTCGCACACGCACTCGTCAACCGCGTGCAGGTGCCGCTCATTCTCCGCAGCGCTGCACCCAACGATACGGACTGCCTGTACGCAGACGAAGCCTTCAGTGATGCCGCCCAGCTGCGGCAACAACGGCACGTTCAAACGCTCACCTCGACAGATCTTGTTACCCGCCTTACCAACGGCACCATCTCGCTCTCGGCTGCTTGGGCAGATACGCCGTTGCGTACGTGCGGGGTGTTTGTAGAACAGGCAGCCCTGTTGTCCCCCACAGTCGCGTACGACTGGCTCGGCGCAGAGCGTTGCAGTGAGGTTGTTGCGGAAGTTGGTCTCAACAACTATACTGCCACCGCCGCAATGAAAGCAGAGGCGCCGCAGCTGCCCGGTGCGGTGCGTTGGACATCCTTCGAAGGTCGCAGGGTGATGGATGCGTTTGTGGCTGCTGCTGCCGCTGCGCCTTGCGACGCTGTCGAAGGTTGTCGTCTGCCTCCACTGTGGCCGCGCGTACAACCACAAAGCAGTGCGACGGAAACCAGTCGTCGAGCGGCTTTCCGCGAGCTCATCCGTAGCGAACTCGGACTCCGCCAGCTGCCGCGCACCGAATTGAACGCCCTGCCGGCGGGGACGACGGATGGGGTGTTTGTATGCGAGGACGACGTTGTTGTGGGGTGGGAAGCGCCGAAGGAGGCGGAGGCAGCAAGGCTGCGGATCGGCACGGAGTGGTACGTGAACGTGGCGGCAGCCGCGCAGGCTCACACACCTTGGGCACTGCCATTGTGTACTCCGACTTCTTCAACGGCAGCAACAGCGGCAACTGCAAAGGTCAGGCGAGACGAAACATTGCTGCCGATCAGAAAGCTGGTTTGGGTACTGTCTATTACAGACTCCCTTCTCCGCAGCGGCGTGTCGCATGCAACGTGGGACGCGACTGCCGACGAGCTTCTGTGCTTCACACACGCGCCGCGGGAACCGCCGCTGCGCTTTTCGACGCTGTCGACAACGGACGGTTTAGCGTCGCTGTTCCGCTTCTGTGCAAAGTCCGCCGTCCACTCGCGCACGTTCTATCTTACAACGCAACCTGCAGAACGGGTGGTGCCTCGTCTTCTTGGACACATGATGACGTGCCGCGCTGAGGCAGAAACAACTGACACTCGCAGCGGCCGCAGTCGCAGTGTCGCGCCACAGTTGAGCTCGGCCCGCGATGACGATGACGGTCGCGTCATTGCCGTCCTGCCTCTTCCTTTTCACGCGGGCACGACACGGCTGCTAGCGTCGTCGAAGCTGACTCGCGCCACCGAACTGCGTCGATTAATAACGTATATACAGCACTTCAGCAGGAGCTCCTCGGCATTCACGTCATTGTTGGCCGCCGCACCTCCCGTCAACTGGAACTTCTTTCACGGGTGGGCCGTAACGGAACCCTGGCTGCAGCCCCGCGGTCCGCTGCGCGCTGAGCTTTTGGCCGATGCTACGGCAGACGAAGAGCTGCGCAGGCGAAGGGCATTGGATGGACGTGAGAGGAGTCCGGCGGGAAGGAGCACGTCCGCGTGCCGTGACGATGCGGAGTCGCGTTCATTCACCCTCTGCGTGGACGCTGCTCCATCCGCGGAAGGCAGCAACGAGGAAAAGACGAGCGACGTGGCTGCCGTCGCGCTCCACGGCGACGAAAAGCTGCCTTCGTTGCCGGCGCAAACGCGCGTTCGCCTTCCTGTCTCCGGCGGGGCGTGGATCAGTGCGGCGTACGCTGCAATTCGTGCGGCTGCCCTTTCCCTGCCTCCGACTGCAGCTCCGTCTCCGACCGAAGACGGTGACAAATTGTTGCGCCTTCTGCAATGCGCTACGTTTGCCCAGCTGGCGGAGGTGGCTCTGTGCACCCTGCTCAACGACGGCATGGGTCGCCGCCGCATGAGCTACGCTCACCTGCTCTTTGCCCTTTTTGGCAACCACGCAGTCTTCGTGAAAGAGGGCGGTGAGGTCAAGCTGCACCTTCAAGTAACCCCCGAGGCTTCCGTGTGCCTTTCGCGCTCCAGCGAAGAGTCCCCTGTAGCAAAGACACGACATCAGTCGATGCAGTGGCGCGTGTTGCTCATTGTCGCGTTCTTCGCAGACGCTGCGCCCGAGCTGCTGAAGTCGCTCGAGGCAGCAAAAAGTTTGAATTCGGTTTTCTCCGATTTGAGTAGTCAGAGTCAGAGCCATATTGGCAGCATTGCAATCCGCATTCGCTGGCTGGTGAAATCGGCAATAACGCGGACAGCACGCGATGCCGATGGGGCGTCGAGACTTCTCTTCATCGCGGAGGTGTGGAGAGCAGCGCAGCCGTCGGCTTCCGCTGCCTCTTCCCCTGCTGAGGCGATGAACGAAGGGAAGCTGGTGTACACGGCCTCCGATTTCTCCTTGGCAGCCGTACTACAGAGCGTGCTGAACGACTTCTTGAGGCCGCTACAGATGGTGTATCGCCCAGCCGGTTCCGACGAGGTCGCGCGGTGCGTGACGAAACGGCACTGCACATACTATTCCCTCGACTTCATGCAACGCGAAATTGCCTGGCAGCGCCAATTGCAAGAGGTGACAACACAATACGACGTGGTAGCCGGCAGCCTGCGCATACTGGGACGGAAGCAGCGATGCAAGGATGGCAAAGTTGCAGACGACGACTCGCCGGTGGTTCTTGCGGAGGAAACTGTCTCCACCTGGGGTCGCGTGCCCCAAGTCATCTACCGGCTGCACCGGCAATTATTACCGAACGCTGAGCAGCATCGACCAGAGGTGACAGTTGACAAGCTTTGCTCATTGAGCTGGAAACACGTGCGTGATTGCCTCTGCGAGGTGCTGGGCTGCACCGAAGAACACTTAACCGGTACGTCTGTGTTACACAATCGAATGTGGTACTGCGAGATGATCCTCCCTTCCCACCTGTTCTCGCTTGCGCAAGTTTCCACGGTGTCGCCGCCGCCCTCTCATTTCTACCTCTCCAGCTGCAACACGGGAAAGCAGAGCGGGCAAAGCCTTCTCCTCGCGTGCTTGTTTCATTGGATTCAATTCTCGCAGACAGCGGAGGTGGACTACGAAAAACTTTATGGCGTACAGTGCAGCACGACGCGCGTGGTCTGCCCCCAAGCGATGAAGAAAGCACATGAGGACCGATCGTTTCTGCGTGAAATGCGGCCCGACAACGACGGCGGCGGTCCTCACAGTCGTGGTGTTGTTGCCCCGAAACTTCTCTCCCCTGCCACTTCATCGACGCCGTCCCCGGCGACACCGTTTGAAAAAGCTGGTCCTCTCGCTAGGCGTCCCAGGGCATCGACGGTGTTGGGTGGCGCCGGCCTCATGAAGATTTCGTTGGTGGATCGGACCCACTCCAAGGTGAAGGCGCTGCTGAGCGAAGTACTGGACGACTCACGCGGGCACGTAGCGTTGAAGCTCAGCCAAACGTTTGGGCTCGAGCTCATGTACGACGTCGTGGCGGTGAAGGACGATCCCGACGAAAAGCACGACTGGATAAGTGCCGGCTCGGTGCAGCTTCTCCGCGAGTCGTGGGCACCTGGCACGTGGGCACCCGCACAGATTCTGCGCGCCGAAGCGGTGGTCCTGGCGCGGCTGCTGTGCCGTGACCCTGACATGCCCGAAAAGGATCGAGCTGAACTGTTGCACGTCGCAATGCGGGAGCTGATGCACCAGCAGCCCTTGTTGAGTCTGAGCTGTGGCGCGGACATCTCTCGCAAAGACTTTTGTGTGTCGTTCCTGCGCCGCTACTTCGGCTGGCGGGTGTGCGAGCAGGCGGACGTCGCCGATTTGCCGATCAGCGCCACACAAAGCAACATCGTCGTGTACACGAGCATCGCCAATGCAGCCTCCTCGTCGGCGCCGAGGCGCGGACGAAGCCACAGAAAACACGCACCACTGCTGACGCAGACACGCGCCTCACTACATCTAGGTCAGATTGTTTCCCAGGGTGACGCGCGTGTGCGTCTGGCGCAGGTGCTTGTGGAGGCTGCGGACGCTGACGTCGATGCGGCGGGGGAGCTGCTGTGGGACGCGTGTGCGCGCCGGGTGAAGGAAGTCTTTGGGGTGTCGCGGCTCATGACAACGTCCGAGGTGGACACCGGCATGCTTCGCTTTATGGAACGAGGGGGATCGCGACGGGGTTGATATGAATATGCGCAGTCGCTGTCCTCGACATCAATCAGAACGGCGTCGTCATCACAGATGAACACACTCTTGTGCGAACGAAGGGAGAATGAAAACATGCATAACTGTCTGCAGAGGAACGACAATCTACAGTTTGAGATAGAGACGGAATGTGTTTCCTGACTTCGCTGTTACGCACTGTATCATAGTTACTGTGTGTCAGCGTCGTGGCTGGCGTGTGCATTTTGTTTCCTTGCCGCCGTTGCCGTGCTCCTCGGCAAGCGACGTACTTCCTCCCACTGTTTGTCCTTCCGGTCAACTGCTATTCGCGCGCTGAACTCGCTCTTTCTTCTTCCGCGCTCACACACACACACGTTTATTAGTGCTTCTTTTTTAGTAGTACGTGTTTGAGGGGCCCCACAGTGGTTTCTTTTTTTTTTTTGATTCGTCTCGCGAGTCGATCTTTTACACACAAACACACACACACACACGCGTATTTTTTTCATTATTCGAAAGGTATTCGAAGCGTTAACCATCCCTTCCTTCATGCGAGATGGACCTCAAGCAAAGCGACCTCGACGACCTCGCCAGCATCACCGTCGACGACGACTTTCTGCGGTGCAACGTCGACACCGATTTTGACGAGGACACGTCGCAGGCGACGCTGCAGGATGTCTGCACCGCGTTTGTGCAGTCTTTTTTGGTGGACAAGGGCGAGTGGATCTCCTCCCTGCACCTCTCGCTGAAGGAGTGCGTGACGGTGCTGGAGGAGATGGAGACGGTGTTGGCGAAGTTCATTCAACAGCTGGAACGCATTCAGCAGGACATCGGCGACGTCCGCGAGACCCTGGCGAAGACGTCGATTGAACTTAACAACGCGAAGACGACGGAGAGGGTACTGTGGATGGCCATCTCGCACCTCGTCGTGCCGCCGGAAATCGTCCAGATAGTGACGCAGACGAACGATGGGGAGCTGGGGATGCTGTTTCAACTCACCCTGAAGGAGCTGCTCAAGTACTTAGACTACCGAAAGGGTGTGTGGCAGCAGCCGGGCATTGTGCCAGGGGGTCAGGAGGCCCCGCTATCGCATAGGTGGTCATCGTCGCGGCAGCGCAGCGCGCGTGAGCTTCGCCTACCGCTGACGGAGTTTAAGATCTATTACGAGCTGCTCACTGTGCTCGACAGCCTCACCGTGTTTGCGTGCGTTAAGGTGCGCGATTTCCTCTCGCGCAAGCTGCCGATGCTCACCGTACCCAACACAAACGTGTGTATTCTCCAGGAAAACAGTCTAAAGCAGCTCTCCTTCTACGTGCATTTCCTTCGGTCTGCGCCGCCCCTCCTGCGACACGCGCACGCCCGCGGCGTACAAGGCGGCCATCAGCCCACCCTCATCCCGTACCGCATCACACGTGCCATTTACAGTGAGTTTAAGCAGCACTACTGTCTTATCATGTCGTCCTTGTACCTCCGCAAGTTTCAGGATTACGTGCTCACACTGAATGCAATGGAATACAGCACCACTGCTTCTGCGTCCTTTGGGTCCGTCAGCAGCACCCTGCTGAGCGGCTTTACGCGGGTGCAGCCGGCTGCACCGAACACTGTTTACACGTTGCCGCCGGTGACCGATACGCACAGCAAGTTCACCGGCTCTGCGAACGTCTTTGAGCTGGGCACGAGGGGCGAGATCTTCTCCCGCGTCTTTTCTCCCCCTCTCATCCCGACACTGGAAAAGGCAGCGGGCCGTCGTCACTCCTACGAAGAAACCCTGCGCTCCCTCCTGCACCTCCTCATCGACACCGTCACCCACGAGTACCTCTTCACCTTTGAGTTTTTCTCCGGTGACATGTCCGTCTACGTGGATGTCTTTCAACCCACTTTGCAGTTCATCGTTGACTACCTCTCCGAGGTGGTGCTGACCCAGTCGACCGGCGGCGTGCGGCAGCTGCTGAATCAGCACCCCTGCTCCAGCGTGAATGTGAAGGCGAAGGACGACACCTACGGCCTGCTGACTCTCATTCGGCTGTGTCACGAGTATCGGTTTTACATGAAGACGGTGCGCCGGCTTTCTTGCCTCGACTCCTTTTTCGACTCACTGCTGGTGCTGCTGTGGCCCGCCTTCAAGCGCACCCTCGATGCGCAGTTGGTCGCGCTTCGCTGTGCGCAAGTGTCATCGTTGGCGGCTGTCACGGCCCACTTGCGGACCACCGAAGAGCGTGTGGCGACGGTGCACCCTCTCGTGCGCAACTACTCGGCGCTGTCGTGTTCGCTGCTTAGCATCGCACTTGGCGCCGCGCTGGCGGAGGAACGGATGGTGACCGGCGAGATTGATGCGAAGCCGACGAAGGCGCGCAACGCATCGTCGGAGGCCTCTTCATCGCGGTCCTCGTCCGCGCTCGCACGTTCGTCTTCGTCTTCTTCCTCTTCGTCGTCGTTGTCGTCATCACCGTCTCCTTCCGGCTCGTCCCCGTACGCCAACGCTGGTGCTGGTGTCGCCTCCGCACCGCCGATCGCAATAGACGCGGCTTTGCGAGAGAGCAGTCGCCAGCCGGCACTGAGTTCTCTTAACGCGTCCGCGTCGCTCGTGCGAACGGAGGCGCAGCAGACGTACGCCGTTGTGAGACGGCGTGCGATGGAGATGATGGAGCAGGAGGATGCAGCCGACGCCGCGGAGAGCCACGACCGCTTTGTCGCTCTCATCGGCAACGTGGACTTTGTGCGGGTGCAGGTGATCCACTACGCAGAGGAGGTGGTGAAGCACGTTCTGCTGCAGGGCGACGCGCGGCAGCCGGCAGGGGTCACGTTCACCGGCAAGGCCGCAGTTATGCGTGACGCTTACGTCGTGAACCAGCTTCACTACATGTGGGCCGCTGCGCAGACCTGCGTGCTTCCTGGTGAGGCGCGGCACAGCGTCACGCTGACGGAGCGCTTCGACTTCTCGCAGCTGCGCGAGATGTACGACACTTATCGCGCCCGACTGCAGGAAGAGACACTCAACCTGTACTTCTCTGAGTTCGTCAACGTCGCGCGCAGTGAGGAAAGCGTGCCGCCGCCAGTGCTGATTCAGGTGGCGGATCAGTTTCTTTTGACGTGGAAGTTTGCGCTAGATGCGCTGCGCACCGAGGTGACGTCACTCATCTACGAGAGCCAGCTGGCCAACGAGATTGTAGCGCAGGTGTGCATGGAGTGCCTTGTGTGCAACACGTGTTTTCTCAAGATCATCTCTGCCGCCGTCGAGTCCCACCCCGCCGTCTTCGCGCAGCGTCCGATTCGCACGTTAATTGTGTCGAATCAGAACATCCTGCAGCACATGCGCAACTACTCGGTGCCCCTCGACACGTCTGATCTCTCATGACGTGCTGGAAGAGGCGACCGGAGGGGGGGGGGGGGTCGGGAAACGGAGTTGAGATGGAAATGAAACTTCTGCGCTTTTCTCGCGATGTGGCTCCGCTCATCACTCAGCACACGTGGGGACAGATCAGTGTCGCTCTCTTTCAAATTATTTTGGATTCGTATGGATTGCTTGCTTGCTGCTGCTGCTGCTGCTGCCTATCGTTGCATCTGTTTACAACCGCCACAACAGCAAAAAAGAAAACAGCAGCGGTATAACCTTTCGTTAGCCTCTTCAGCGCCTCTTACAACAGCGGAGAAGAAGAAAAAGGCGCCGTCGAGAACGGGGGCTTCTTCTGTGTTGCATCGGTGAAGGAGAAGGTGCCTTCCTCTCTTCCCCTTTCCATTAACAGAAGCCAACGTGCTGTCTTGTGCAACTCAACGCCCCCCTCCTGGGGCAGCTTTCCGTGCGGAAGCGCGTATTTGAAGAATTCTCCATCGCGGTGTTGGTCCTTCGTTTCTTCTGATGGCAGAAGCGTTTTGTATTTCTCCCGCATTTGTATTGCCGCACGTCGCTCTTCTCACCATCACTTACCGGTGTATTAAAACATTTCCTCTCCGTTGGCGCCGATTGTTTGTTGCCACCCGGTCACGCAGAGCGCACCTCCTAACGTTTCGCCGTCCTCAGCGTGTCGTTTATACAGCCGCGTGATTTCGTCGCCACACACACACACACACACACGTCATAAAGCAGCAATCGCGTTAGCCGCAACAGCCACTTCTTTTTTTTTTCTTGCCTTTTTACGTTATTTCTCATGGAGCAGGTAAAGGAGTACTACGCAAAGTGGACAGAGGTGCCGCAGCCACGCAAGATTAAAACGGCGAAGCTTATCGCCTTCGTCTCGTACTTCCTCTTTCTGCTGCTCCTCGTGGTGTACGCGTTTGGGCGCACCGGGAAAAAGACGGTGACCGTTGTCCCCACCATCCTCTTCACCGATGGCACACCCTACAACCTGGAAGTCGTGCGCTACTTGGCGCAGCGCCGCGATGTCGTGATCGGCATGATCGTGGTCGCCACGAACGCCCTGGCTGACGCACAACTGAAGGCGAATGCCACCAGCGTGACCACACTGGTCAGCGCGCTTCAATCGGAAGGTTTAAAGACCCGTGTGCCGGACGTGTACAGCTCCTACGACGCCGCCACAGATAGCTTTCTCGGACCACTCGATGCGAAGTTGGCGTCCACGACGGTGAACTTCCTCATCGTGGGTCCCTGTACCGATGCCGCGTACTTCTTGCAGCAGTACGCTGGCCGTCGCGGCAACGTAAACAAAATCTACGTCGCCGGCGGAGCCTTCAACACGGCGGGCAACGCGAAGTTCTTGAACACCTCCATCACCGGTGCGGAGCGCAACTTTTACCTGGACCCGGCCGCGGCGGATTACGTGGTGGCCATGAAGCACGCCCGGCCGGTGGTGATGCTGCCGCTGGACGCCGCCCTCACGTGGACCTCGTCGGCGTACAGCGCCATCGTCTCCAACTCGGGCACCACCTCTGCGAGCGCAACGGCGGTGGCGGAGGGGCTCCGGTGGTACTACGACGCCGTGGACAAGACGAAACGCGTGACGGTGGGCATGGCCGCCGCAGCGTACGCCGTGGACACGGAGGTGCAGACGGGCGTGAAAGTGACGACGATCCCTGTGCGCGTGTACACGTCGGCGGCAGATGCGCGCTATGGGCAGTCCTTCCGCCCCCCTGCGAGCGCAGAGGCGAAGTTGGTCACGGTGGTGCTGTCGCTGAACGAGGGTACGTTCTTCAGTCATTTAACCAACGTGGACACGTTGGCCCTGGCGTAGAGAAGACCGAAGCGAACGAAAACTCTTTTTTTTATTGGTTCTGTCTGACTTCCACCGTTTTGATAACTGCCGCCTCTTCATTCTGTTGTGTTGTATGTACGACGTGTGTGTGCGTCTATTTTTGCGTACAGCCTTTTAGCGGTATCGTTGCGTTTGCTTATATTCTTCTTCTTGTGTGTGTTGCGCACAAATTGAAGCACAAAGAGACCGGAAGGAAAGGAAGGATTCTCCTCGAGGTGCTGTGTGAGAAACGGAGGGGGTTTTCTCTGCGTGGCTGGGCGGGGTGTCCGAGCGAGTTGCCCAAGGAGGCTGTGCGGTGTATCGGTGCCGCGAGGCTCTCGTAGACACGATTGCGTGTTCGTCTCTGTGAAGGCCACACTAACAACGTGCTGCACACGTTGGTGGAAGGAGGTAAAGGAAGGAGGAGCGTACTTTGCGCTTTGTCTCACGGTTTGTGTTGGCTGCCGCGAATGAATTGGTTGCACGTGCGTGCTCGCTGGTCTGGCGCGTTAGAATAGCGAGGTCCGACGCTCTCCCTTACTTTCCACTCTTCGCTTCCTCGCACTTTGCAGATGCAACGGTCTTTTCGTGTGGGGGAACACTGAAAGTACGAAGACAAGAGAAGAAAAACTCGCTGACCGGGTTGTGCCTCCGGTACCTAGAAGGTGAAGGAAACTCATACATATCTACATCTATCTTTAGATATATGTAAATATTAAGGTATTTTCTACGGAGCGTCTCTCTCTTCTCAGCTTGATTTCGCTGCTCCTTTTCGTTTACTTGCGTCGCATGCGTTGTGGCGCTCAGCCTCAACATACTTTTTTTTCCTTCTTTGAGACTGCCACGCTCATCCTGTCTGACACATGTCCGCGGCCAGCGCATTCGAGTGCTCCAGCGGCGGCGGCGGCAAGAACACCCAGCCCACGCGACAGGTGCTGGGCACCCTCTCGTTAAATCAGGAGTTGCCCACGCAGTCGATCACGCTGGACTGCTCGAAGGCTGTGCTGCGCCTGCCCGCCTACGTCGCAGCAAAGTTGGAAGCGGAGAAGAACGGGAAGAAGGCGCTGGCACCGCTGACCTTCGCGATGATTCAGCAGCGCATTCGGGACTACTTTGTGCGCGACTTGGATGACGCGACGGAACTGGCGGCGGCAGCGGATGATGCGCCGCAGCAGCAGCAGCGCTACGTGTTGACCTCCGCCACCGTCGAGAAGTATCTTTTCCCGCTATTTCAGCGCGCCGACGCGAAGGCGGTGCGCATCCTCGGCGAAGTCTGGGGACGCTCTCGTGACCCGTCGCGTCGGCTGAGTGACCAAATCGTGGCGGTGCTCACACGCCGTCAACACGCACTGCTGCAGGGGACAGAGCTTACTCTGCAGGAGCTGAAGGAGAGGGTGTTGCTGACGGCGCGACTGCAGGAGTCGCTGACGGCGAGAGAGCTGCGCCAGCTGGCGATACAGCTGGGGCCGAACAACCGCAAGTGGGTGGAGGACTGGCTGGCAACGCGTCCATTAGAGGATGTAGTGGACTCCATGCAGCTCTACCTGGCCCTCCGCGGTGTCGTGCAACAGCGCTTTGGCGCCTTCACGTTTGCCGGCGCCTACTACCCGACCGTGTTGGACGACTTAATCGAGATGGACGAACAGGCGCATTGCACGGCCGTGTACACGCCGAAGCACGGCGTACAGTCCCAAGCGGTGCGCGCCCGCGCTTGCGAGGAGCTGTTCATCTTCACCATCTTCTGCGGTATTCCCATCTCGTTAGACGCGTACTTCCTCGCGGTGGCTCTGTTGGACCGCTTCCTCGCCGTGTACCCCGTGGAGAAGGAGGAGCTGCGGCTGTACAGCATGGCAGCACTGCTGCTTGCCTCCAAGTGCGACCACTCGTGGCCGGTGCTGGACCCCAGCTTTGTGTCCACGAAGATCAAACTGGCGCAGGACGACGTCATGACGGCGGAGGAGACGTTGATTCGCGTTCTCTGCTTCGACACCACCGCGGCGACCCTCCATCACTTCTGCGAGGGACTCCTCCTGCATCAGGACCCGCCCGCGTCGCCGGAGCAGCGACGGCAGCTCGAGTACTTGATTGCCGCGCTGTCGCTCCACACCTACTTCGGTCAGTACCGGCAGTCCTACCTCGCCGCGGCGGCGCTGCACAGCAGCCGACACGCTGCCGGACTCCCGACTGGCGAGCCGAGTGACTCGGTGCGGGTTCTGCTGCCGGTGGTGCACGCGGCCCTGCAGAAGAACAACGTGGAGCGAAGTCCGGGGTACTTGCTGAAGCAGATCTACGCGCGTCCGGAGTACCACTCGGTCAGTTTGACGCCTCCCGCGGCGCTGTTTCCTAGTCTGTCGTGCCGTAGTTCGCTGAACGCGAGTCAATGAGCGGAGAGATGGGCGATTTTAACGCGTGCGAAGCTCCGCGCGCCGCCATGGAGGCCACAGCTGCGTCTTTTTCTGGTTTTCTTTTTTGGTTCTCTAACGTACGCATGGAGGTCATGCGGTGCACTTTGCTCCACCCATACAAGCAAGTGATTTCCCTTTGATTCTTTACAGATGCACCCTTTCTTCTTCTTTTCTCGTTCTCGGTGTCATTCATTGTCTTGTTGTTCTCCGATCGATCCACCTCTGTGCGTGTCGACTTGGTAGCCGACGGACCCGCACATACACACACCTTCATAGATACAAAGCATTCTTTCCCAACGATCATTCTTCATTTTTGTGTCCTCAGTGAGTGTGATATCAAGAGTGTTCAAATCAACAAACAAACCGCCTCCTTTTCTGCACACACACACACACACACACACACACATCTGATGATTCATGCAACAAGAAAACGGCGTTTTCGGCTGCAGACTGAAGATGAAATTCCTGCTCTCTTCCGCCTTTTCCATTCGTTAGAGGCTGCGCCACCAAAACCTTTTCAGCCGCGTGGTGCTGAGCAGCGGTGGGCTGCGACACGGGTTTGATTCGCACGGCTGTGCATCGTTCGTGCTTGCATGCTTTCTTTTTTTGCTATTATGCCTGTCTCTTCTCCTCGTCTTTTTCTTGGTCGCGTTACCCGCGCTCAGTGTTTCCTGCGTGTTGGTTTCTTTTTTATTCGGCGACCTCAACGCTTCCCCCCCCCCTCCTCCTCTCTGCGAAGCACCATCTCTTTTCACAACATCAAAAAAGGCAAATCAAGACAATGCCCGCACAAATCATCGACGGTAAGGCCATCGCGGAAGCGATCCGCAACGAACTGAAGGCGGAGGTAGCTGCCCTAAAAGAGACGCGCAGTGGCAAGGTGCCTGGTCTGGCCGCCGTCATCGTGGGCCAACGGAAAGACTCACAGAAGTACGTGCAACTGAAGCACAAGGCCGCTGCAGAGGTAGGCATGGCGAGCTTCAACGTCGAGTTACCGGAGGACGTGTCACAGGCGGTGCTGGAGGCCAGCGTGGAGGAGTTGAACCAGAATCCCAACTGCCACGGCATCATCATCCAGCTCCCTTTACCGAAGCACCTGGACGAAAACAAGGCAATCGAGAAGATTCACCCCGACAAGGACGCAGACGCGCTGTTGCCCGTCAACGTTGGCCTGCTCCACTGCAAAGGTCGTGAGCCCCTCTTCACGCCCTGCACGGCCAAGGGCGTCGTTGTACTGCTGCAGCGGTGCGGTATTGCGATGAAGGGCAAGCGAGCGGTGGTGCTGGGGCGCAGCAACATCGTCGGCGCCCCGGTTGCGGCGCTGCTCATGAAGGAGAACGCGACGGTGACCGTTGTGCACTCCGGCACCGCGCAGGCGGACATGGTCGATTACCTCAGCAAGGCCGACATCGTCATCGCGGCGATGGGACAGCCCGGGTACGTGCAGGGGGAGTGGATCAAGGAGGGAGCTGCGGTTGTCGACGTGGGCACCACACCTGTCAACGACCCGACCAAGAAGGCCGGCTATCGTCTTGTCGGTGATGTGTGTTTTGAGGAGGCAGCCGCCCGTGCGGCGTGGATTTCGCCGGTGCCTGGCGGGGTGGGACCCATGACAATCGCGATGCTGCTGCACAACACGCTTTCCGGGTTTAAGCTGTCTGTCGGGGAGCTGTAAGCTGGGCATGGAAGTGAAGGATATTTTTTGTTTTTCTCCTTTTCTATCGACAAAACGAGATGCAGCGCTCTTCGCTTTCTTTCTGTGTCTTCTTTTCTGTTGTTGGTCCGCCGTACGGTTGCCGCTGTCGACGTACGCGTGCGCGTACACGGACAAGCAGCCACGCTTTCTTTTCTCTTTTCTGTTTCCGTTCTTCCCGTTTTTTCCGTTCTTTATTTTTCTTTTAGTTCACTCGTCTCGTCTTTCAAACGTTCGTGTTATCGCAGCGGTGTTCTCCGTTTCGCTTACCTCGGTACACCAGAACCGAATGTATTTGTTTACGCGCTAATGAATGACCTGGGCTTTTTAATTTTGTTTCCGCTGTCCTGCTTGTGAGTTTCCCTAACACAACTTCGCCTCAAGCAGCGACGCTACCGTGAAGCGGCAGAGTGACCCGCACAGGTATGCCTACCCCATCTCGGTACCGTACAGCGGCTCCACCGTCTCTTCTTTTCCCATACTCGCGTGCATGCATTTTGCAAACATAATGCTGTTCTTGCGATCGCCAGCCTCATCGCCTTCTTCACTTCCCTGCTTTTGTTATCTTCTTCACACACGAAGCACAACGCATTTCAGCTGTGTTCACTTCCGTAGATTTAAGCTGCTGCGGTCGAAGGGAGAACGCATCAAGGTTTTCTCCCTTCGCTCCTTTTTTTTTAAACATCACCTTTCTTTTCATTGTTGTTTTGAACTCCCTTTTCGATTCTGTATCGTCGACACACATCACGAGCAATCTCACGAAACAAACAAAAAAACAACAGCAAATATCATTCTTCTTCTGGAAGAGAGTGTGTCATGTCCGAAACGTCCCCAATTTCGGCGAGCGCGAGTGCGAGTCTCGCCGTGTCGCCGCAGATGCACGCGTCAGCGCCCGACGCGTCGATCAGGCGACGGCAAAAACCGATCTCTTTCCAGCGCATGGCGATGATCCAGGAAGAGATTGCCCGCATCGACAAGCACCTCGCGGCGCTCGAGGAGAGCGAGAGCAAAGGGATGGGACCCGAGTCGGTGGCGCAGAGCAACCTCACCACCGAAGACGTGATTGACCCCGTGGTGCTGCACATGTTGACGGTGGAGCTCTGCCAGCTAGCCGCCTCGGGCGACGCCGTCGGTGCCCGCATTCTTCTCAACGGCGGCGCAGACCCGAACAGCCGCGATTACGACGGCAGCACGCTGCTGCACATCGCGTGCATGAACGGGCGCCTCTCCGTGATGAACGTGCTGTTGGAGTTCGGCGCGGATGCCTCGCTGGTCGACCGCGACGGGCGCACCCCGCTCGAGGTAGCCGAGGAGAACGGCTTCGCGGATGTTGTGCAAACGCTCTCGGGGTACTTCCACACCGATCAGACCGTCATGCCGGACTCCTTCGAGGGTCACGTGTCGTCTACGGCATCGTCGCCAGCGTCGATGCACGCTCCGGATTTCTCCGCGGTGCCGCAGCCGATGCTCGGCTCCCTTATTGTGGTCATGGTCGGCCTGCCCGGTCGCGGCAAGACGATGGTCGCGCAGCAGATCCGGCGGTACTTCCAGTGGAATGGGCTGACGTGCTCCATCTTCTCGCATCAGCTCTATCGGCGACGCGTTGAAAAGGCCATGACAGAACGGAGCGACGGCGGCGGTGGGAGCAGCAACGTTGATGTGAACTCCCCGGCCGGAATTGCAGAGCTGGAGTTCCGCGTGTCGAAGGAGCTCGCGCAGGACCTCACGAAATACGTGTGGAAGACGAGCGGCGTCGCTATCCTGGACGGCACGCAGACGACGCACGCCCGCCGGCAGTCGCTGCTCCGCGCTATTCGCGACACCAAACGCATCAACACGACCCGCGTGGTGTTTGTGGAGTTGGTGCTGAACTCGCCGGAGTTCATCATGGCGAACATCTTGAGAGCGAAAGAGACCTTTACAGACCCGCCGCCGGACTTCGTGGAGCGGTACTACCAGGTGATGGCCCAGCACGAGGCGGTTTACAAGACACTGAACCCCATCACGGACTGCGACATGTCCTACATCCGCATCGAGGACGCGAAGACGTACTCGCTGAACATGATCTCCGGCTGGATGCCGAGTCGACTGGCATTCATGCTGCATAACTTAAGCCACACCCCGGTGAACCTGTACCTGACGCGCGCAGGGGAGTACGTGGATATGCTGAGCGGCCGTATCGGCGGCAACTCGCGACTCACGAAGCGTGGCCGTGCGTACAGTCGTGCCCTGTTCAATTACTTCAAGTCTGAAATCCCATCGACGACGGCGCTGACGGTGATGACGAGCTGTGCAAAGCGGTGCACGCAGACGGTCCATTACTTCGCGGAGGAGTCCATCAAGTTGCAAGGGCCCCCGAATGCACCTGCGGCTGCCACTGTTGCTGAGCACCAGCCGCCCCAACAGCAGGAAAACGCTGCTGAGCTGCACTGTCGAGTCTCCTACTTCCCCACCTTAGACGACATCAATCACGGTGACTGTGAAGGGCAGCTCCTGTCCGACGTACTGCGTACAATGCCGAACACGCTGCAATCCATGAAGGCGGACCCCTACTACGCTGGCTGGCCGAACGGGGAGTGCATTCATCAGGTCTTCAACTCCCGCCTCGAGCCGCACATCCACGACATCCAAGCCAGCACCACCCCCGTGCTGGTCTGCTCACACCTGAATCTGCTCCAGGGCCTCTACTCGTACTTTGTGACGGAGGGCGACAGCGTCGTCGCGCCGCAGAACGCGCTGCAGATTGACATCTCCTCCGAGTACGTTATTAAAATCCGTATGGTCGGCGTCAACCGCGTGGCGGAGCGTATTTGCCTCTCGGCCGCAGTGGAGGCCATCCTGCACGCCGACGAGCTCTCTCCAACGTCGCAATAGCGAGGAGGAGCGTCGGTGCACATGTGGCTTTACCTATCAATCAATCTAGCTATCTATTCTCCTGCTGTATAGTTCTTTTCCTTTTTCCCTTTCTCTGTCTGTCCTGTTCGCGATGAAGCACGACGACTCTACATCTTTTTTTGCGTTGTCTTTGTTTTCTCGGCCTTGTCTCTACTACCTTGGTCGATACATATTCAACAGCAAGGACGGCGGTATGGATAACAGCAAAAAACGGCGGCACCGGAAGCGTTGTTGGCACGATGTTACGCACCTCCACATCCCCCGCCAAAAGAGCATTTTATTCGGTTTAAAAATCAAAGAGCTAACGCTTCTGCTTTCTTGTACTTTGTGGTGAACAGCGCATGAATCGTCTTCCTTTGCTGCACCGCCGGTGCACACGAGCACTCTGCGATACCTCTGTTTTTCTCTTACCCACGTTCCTTTCTCAGCTCCTCTTCTCTGTGCGTCTTCATTCTTGTCTTACCTCTTTCAATAAAACCACAAACACCTGCCGTCACAACGGAAGCGGATACGCAAAACGCACGATGTCGTTGAAGGCGAAGCTTGACGTGTATCCGCTGGAAAACTACACGCAGACCTACGTCGACGTCGCCGGCGGACGCGGCGGGGTGGCGGGAAATGAGATCCACATCGGCACCAGCGGCAGCTCCGCCGCGTCTCGGCCCAAGTCAGCGATGGAAAAGCTATTGTCGCTGAAGGCGCGCTGCGAGGACGAGCAGTGCGTGCACTCTGTGGAGGGCGTGCTCCTCGTGCACCTGCACCGCCATCCGCATGTCGTCTTGATGAAGCAGACGAGTCAGCGGGCGCGCGATGCGGACGGGCTGCGTGCGGTACCGCCGTCCAACACCAACGTGGAGGTGACGTATCGCCTGCCCGGTGGGCGCTGCCGCCGCGGCGAGGCCGAGGAGAGCTGTCTGCTGCGCAAGCTGGGACGGCACTTGTTGAACGAGGCGAAGATGCCGACGGGGGCGGCCGAAGCAGCCAACGCAGCGGCCTCCGACACCGTCGTGGATGTCACGATGACGCACAACACGTCGAAGGCGGGCAGCTTCTTTCGAGTTGGGGAGGTGATGGCGACGTGGTACCGTCCCCACTTTACGCCGCACATGTACCCCTACGTGCCGCCGCACATCACCTCCGGCAGCGTGCGTGAGGTTCGAACGCTCTTTCTCGTACACTTGGAGCCGACGGTGTTCTTCAGCATGATGCAGGAGGGCGTGGAGCTGGTGGCGGCGCCGTTGTTTGACCTTTACGAAAACACAGGGAAGTACGGCCCGATGGTAGCCAGTCTGCCGGTGCTGTTATCGCGTGTGCTGATTAACTACTGCAGCACTGAGTATTAGGGAGAGAGCGCCTCGCAGCCGATGATGACGGATTCGATATATATATATATATATATATATTAAAGTGCGTTGCTTTCCTGCTGTTTGTGGTGGTTGTCGTCGAGGTCTCACTCTGTCGGAGCGACGAGCTTGCGGGGAGGGGGGGGGGGCATTTGCTGTTGGTAACGTACGCGTGGCTTCACATAGAAAGAGAAGCAGTTCAAACCGAAAGAAGCGAGTGCCAACAATCGATCACTGTAAATGTCATTTTTGTTCTGTTTTGCTCTTCCGTTTTACACACCACGCTGCGAAAACGATGGATGTATGTGCGGTGTTTCTCGCAGTGTACGTAGCAACTTCATGAGGACACCAAGTGCGGTCTGTGGATTGGCACTTGTTGGTTTCCCCTAACACTTCAGTCGCCTCAAAAGAAACGCTTCCTTTTGGTTTCACCTCTCTTTTTTTGTAAATCCTTTGGCTTCTCCTACTCGCTCCCCGTAGAAGCTTCTTCACCAACCCATTGATCACGTCATATATCACCAACACTCTTTTTTTCTATCTATCTATAAAAATAAATATTTATAAGCATCGGTGCGTTCCTTATAATCGTCTTACGTCTTCTTAGTTTACCGCCAATCGCTCTTCTTTTTCTCCAGAAGAAACGGAATTGTTTTTGCTGTGCCACTCTACTATCTCGTCCGCAACTTTATTGCCTTCACCCGTACCCGAGCTGTTTTCTACCTATTTGTTTTCTTTTTATTCCTGTTGCGTTAAGCTTTCATCGGTGAGTGTGTGTGTGTGCGCGCATACTTCTATACGGACGAACACGTACCAATCTACCGGAGATCGAATCGTGCAACATGGGCCAATCGCAGTCGTTTGAAGAAAAACTCCACGAGTGTGTGTGCAACAATAACCTCGAGCAGATGAAGAGTCTCATTCAACAGCCGGAGTTCAAGAGCGAGAACGTGAACGACCACATGTTCGTTGATCTCGTCGAGCGTCGCTGGGATCCAGCCACTATTATGGCTTTCGCGGAGCTCGCCAACGATCACCAGCTCGCCATTTTGGTGAGCACCACCATCCTACACAGCGGCGTGCTGCCTCTCACGCCAGTGTTCAAGCTGATGAAAGACAGCGCGGCAACGATCCGGCAGGAGCACCTGGATGAGCTTTTCATGACGGCCTGCGATCACGTGGACACGGAAGTCGTAACGGCGATGATCGCGGCAAAGTGCTTCGACGCGGCAGATGGGCGGGCCATCGTCACGGTGGTGCGGCGAGAGCTGAACAAGGCGGCGCCGGACGAGGAGCTGGTCCAGGTTGTGCTGGATGCGTTGCCAGGCCAGCAGGAGTCGGCGAGGTATCTCCTTGAGACCCACATCCCGAAGGGCAAGAACGAGGCAACGAAGGCGATACTGCAGGAGAAGCTGCAGCGCTACTTGAAGTGAGGGACGAGTGGCCAAAGGGCGGCTGCACCATCACACGAGAGAACGCGTGCGGGAGAACGAGGTTTTCTGTGTGGAAAAAGGTGGGTGAGGTGGAGGCATCCATGCAGACCGGCGGTGGTCGTACACACACACACACACACACACACACGTGTGTATGTGCTTGAAAAGGGTGTTTCTCCAATGCCGCCTTTTCTCTCTGCGTTTGGATCTTTTGCGCATGAGTGGCGCGCATCAGCGGTGCTGTCGCGTACGCTCCTCCTTCGCTCTCTGTTGTTTTCTATCATCTTATTGTAACGCCTTCAACTTTCATCGATCAAAAAAATAATATATGCTTAAGTGTTTAACTTCTCATCGAGGCCCTCAAGGATCTATTAGAAGTTATTAAAGAAGTGAAAGGGAGCCGGCGACAAGATGACACGAGCGTGTTGCTGTACACGGTTGAAAGAGCGGTGTCGGTTTGCTTGATGTTTCCCTGCGCCGGCACTGCTCAACTCTGAAGAAGAGGAAGGAAAAATTCAGCTTGCCGACCGTCAAATTTACTGTCCTGCTGACGTTTTCTGTTGTTGACGTATTCTGCCACTGTGTCGCTTCCTGCCGTACATTTGGTCGACATGTTTGCTGTAGAACAATAGTTTATTTCCGTTGTTCCGTCTACGAAAGCAAGCCTTCCTCTTCTCTCTTTTACCGACCGTTTCGATTGCACAGCTATTCCTTCTGCAACTAGCACCGCTTCTCGCGCTCTTTCGTCGTCTCCGTGGGATTCACCTGTCAAGCTCGCCTTATTAAAAGTATTCCGCTGTTGATTGCTCTCGTTCGACGACACACACACCAGCCGCACTGGCCGAGAAAAAGAAACGCGACAAGAAGTGATTAGTATTATTAATGCGTGCGATCCGGCTGACGGCGCTCGCGGCTCCGTCGCGCGGTGCGTGTCTTCACCGTTTTTCTCGTTCCACCCTGACGCCTTCCGTTGCGGTGTTGACCACGTCAACGCGGTGTGCCGCGTCATCTCCACCCGACGCGGCGAGCACCACCGCGTCCGTCGACTTCTCTAACCCATTGCCGCGGAGACGGCAGATCAACCACAACCTGCACTTTGACTGGCACGAGGAGGTGAAGCGGTCGGGTAGCAGGCTCAACGACATCTCGTCCGCCATGGAGGACGCCGCGCGCACCGACGAGCAGCGCCGACGTGTGGCGGGGTGGGTGCCCGTCGTCAAGACCCTCGGCGACCAGAAGCTGCGCGTCGCCCTTGTTGGCCGCATGAACAGCGGCAAGTCGTCCGTCTTCAACCTTCTCTGCCAAGACCCGTCAATGCCGGCGCGCAGAAATGTTGTGAAGGACTTTAACGGTATCACGCGTGATTGCGTCGAGGCCCACGCCGTCCTGGATGACTTGCACTTCACCATCATTGACACACCGGGCCTTGTGGGCGGCAAAATCGTGGAGGAGGCTTTTCGCACCATCGAAACGGCCGACGCGGCCATCTTTGTGGCGGCCGTCGACGAGGACATCTCCGCCGAGGAGCACGACTTAATCCAATACCTCGCTGCGAAGAAGATGCCGACGTGTCTGCTGGTGAATAAGATGGACCTCGTGCCGGAGGAGCAGGAAGAGCTCGTGCTGGAGGAGTACAACCTCCTCGGTCTCGGCAACGCTATTCCCTTCTCTGCGCGTAAGCGGGAGGGGCTGGAGATGCTGTCCGCAGTTGTGGAGCCACTCTTCCACCTGCACGCCGTCCGCAAGGTGGAGAATGACTGGGACATGGAAGATTTGGCGATGAGCGGCGATGAAGCGGCCATGGAAGAAATCCGCACCCGCAACTGCACCGACAAGTTCATGCGTGTCGCCATTGTTGGCCGCACCAACAGCGGAAAGACGAGTCTCATCAACCGCCTCGTCGGCTACGAGCGCAACCGCGCTGCGGATGAAACCAACACGACGCGTGACCCAATCGAGATCCCGTGCCTCTACAAGGGAAAGAAGTTGAAGCTGATCGACACGGCTGGCCTGGCCCGCCAGCGCTACCGCACCGATCGTGCCTTCCTCGAGCGAATTCACAACCTGACGCTGAGTGAAATTCGCTACGCCCACGTGGTGGTCGTGGTGTTCGACGCCACGGAGGGGCACCCGAACAAGTACGACATGTCGCTGCTGCACAAGATAGCGCAGGAGGGGCGGCCGTTCGTGCTCTGCGCAAATAAATGGGACGCGGTGCTGGACCAGAGCGCCACCGCCGAGGCCATTGACTTCAAGATCAAGCGTCAGGTGCAGGAGGTGAAGTACAGCAACGCCGTCGTCGTCTCGGCGCACACCGGCATGAACCTGACGCTGTTGATGGACCAGGTGCTGGAGCTGTACGACACGTGGAACAAGCGCGTGCGCCGCTCCGAGCTGACAAAGTTTTGGCGCAAGTTGGAGAAGTCCGTCGTGATTCCCTACCACGTGGCGCGCGTGGGGCGCGTGACGCAAATCAACACGCGGCCGCCGACTTTTCTGCTGCAGCTGCAGACCAAAAAAGAGGAGAATGAACTGCCCAAGGCGCTGCAGGAGATGATGAAGAACGCCATCGTGGAGGAGTTCGGCTTCCGTGGTGTTCCTGTGCGTCTTGTGCAGGAGGTGAAGGATTCCAACCCCGATTACATCTAACCGTGGGAGGGGGAGAGAGAGAGTATATATTTTTCTGTTGTTCTATGAGGCTGAACGGCGCCCCTTTGTGTCTGAAATGCTGTCAGTATTTGCCCGCTTTTTAAAAGGTTGGATGCGCTGTTTGTGTCTCTTGTAAGTCGTTTCCCGTCGACTTTTTTTTGTAGTCTTCTTCACATAATAATGTCAGCTATTATTTATTCCTCTCCGGTGAAGGATGTTGTTCAGGTGATGTTTACGACCGACAGCTTGTGCTACCAGGAGGTATCTGGAGCGACACCAGTAACCAAAAAATGGTCTATTGACCCCAGCACCTACAGAGACCCGCACACACACGTGCAACAAGGCGTCCCAGTTGCACCGCTCATCACACCGAAAGAAAGCAGAAGCCAGCTGCAATGCTTTCTCTCACCTCTTCTTCTCTGCATCTCCGTCACTTTTCGCTTCTCCGACGCGTTGATCGAGGGAGCAGAGAACGCATCAGCGCGCAGGAGACAGACGGCTACGTTGTTTCTCTACCGATCAAATTCGAAGGGCAGTGTAGACCCCTACTGCCTCAAGAGCCCACGCATGCACGCACAGAGACAAGCACCTACCGACAACATCAACCCACCCTTATCTACGAAAGAAAAAAGAGAGGCGCTTTCTTGTCTTGCAAAGCTCGTCGACAGGCACAGGTAATGTCTTGCAGGCGTAATCGTTCTATCGATGTGGCGTCGCCAGACCAGGCAGATGCCCCGTCATTACCGGCCCATGCTCCAAACCCTTCACCTTCTCGTTCTGAAGAATCTGACAGCGCCGCCAACTTCGGCAGCTTTCTGTGGAACGACGTCAGCATCCTCCTGTTCTACCGCCTCATGCATGAAATCCACAGCACCTGCTTGTCTGTGGTGAAGGCGCCTGCCCAGTCGAGGCTAGACCTCCTCGCAACACTCAAGTCCTCCATGGAAGTTATTTGGGCAGTGGCGCAGCGCCACTTAACTTCAGAAGAGTGCGCCGCTGCGCAGACGAAGTACAACGCCTACGCCTCCAGTTTTTGTGCTGCCCTTCACTCTTGCGTGCTGGAGGTGGAGGTGCGCGATACGGCAGGGCTGTGCCGGGCGCTGCTTCGCTTTTTGGAAGATCAAGGCTTTCCCGATGCGGAGTTCGGACCTTTGTCGGCCTTCTTGGCCGACGTGGTGATGGAAGAGGACGTGCAAGGCTACTCGTACAGCGTGCGAACGTCGCTTGCGATGCCGGTCCCGCTGCGTTACGACGGCGACAAGCGCTCTGAGGAGGCGCACTCCCGCAAACGTGCCGGCTACGAAGTTGTGCTGCCCGCGCAGCACCACCGTGCGGAGATCAACACGCAGGTGCAGCTGTGCGAGCCGAAGAGGCGCAAGCCGGTGCTGGACGAGTACCGCATCTTCTCGCTTCCCAAGAAGGCCGCCTCCTTCGCAGCGGACGACTTCGCGGTGGATGACGAGTTGTTGCACCGCGCCTACGTGGTGCTACAAACCCACTTGGATGCCTACGGCTCGCTGAAGAACCTCTCCCCCTATGCCCGCCTTCTTCTCTGGAACTTACTGGACCGCAACGATGCCCTCTTCAGCACGCTGTACGATCAGCATGTCACCTCCGAGGCGATGCGACAGCAGCTAGTGAAGTTGAAGGAGCTCGTGGCGGTGCACAAGCTGGCCTTTGAGGCGACCCGCCCGGCTGCACGGCGTGCCGCGGCGGTGATTAGCTGGTACGCAGCAAGTGCCCAATGGCGCGACCAGGCACTGAGCAAGTTAGAGGAGCTGGATGAGGTAGATTGGTACCTGCTCGGGGACGTATACCGGAGTGGTGGCAAGGCCGTCTTCCCGAACTACGCGCAAAGCATGCCTGTGGCGCACCTCGCGCTGGGGGTGCTGCGCAAGCTGGACAAATTGCACCGCAACGACTTGGACGGGGCGCCGGCAACGCACACCGTTGTGGAGCAGCTTCTACTGCCGCTGCTGCAGGGCGAAGCGCCGGAGCGGTCCGACTTTTGTTTCTTGCACAACGCCTTTCAGGTGGACAGCCCGCACTGGCAACGCCGACGCCGCAAGCTGCGCGCCATCATGGAAGACACCATCCACAAGACCGCAGGCTTCTCGAGTCAGTCATCAGAGACCGCTACTGCATCGTCTCCAGCCGCGTCGAGGAGAAGCTCGACTGTCCACGTCTTTCTTTGTGCGTCGCTTATCTTTCCGTTGCAGTGCGTCGGTGAGCTGCTGGAGTTGTGCTCCCTCGTAATGTTCTCCTCCGTGGGCTTCGAGGCTTTTACACGCAGCTTCCTCGCGACGAACTGGGAGGAGGAGGACACCATCCTGTCCTACCTGCTGCGCCGTGAGCCAACCAATCACTCCCTTGTGCCGCTTGTCGGGCTGCCGCGTCTGTACAAGGACCTCGTCACCTCCATCCAGCTGCTCGTGGCGGACAAGATGCTGCCGTATGTCGTGGAGAGTCGTCGTTTCGCCGGTGAGAACGCACGACGTGCGCTGAGCGAGAGGAGCTATCATTATTGGAAGTCGCTCACCTCGCTCTTTATCGAGGAGGACCGCTTTGACGACTTGTGTGAGTTGCGCGTCGACACGCGCGAGAACACGGTGTGCCTGTACACCACTGCGGAATTCGAGCGGTCGCCGAAGGTGTGGCCGGAGGACCTTCGCGAGTTGCAAGCCGAGGAGGAGAACTACCACCGGGGCGGAGACGTTGCCGGACAAGGCGCAGACAATGCAGCTCCGACGAGCATCTGACGTGCATGTACTGCGTTTCCTACTGCTTTTAGAGTGGCGAAGAGTGAGGAAGAAGAAGCCGACAGAATATAGAAACTGAGCTGCGACGCTTTCGTGCGTGCCATGACACCTTCACCTCTGATGCGCGCCTGACGCGTCTTGTGGCCTTCTGCATCGCTCGGTGTCGCCTCTGTGAATGCATGTAGGCAAACAAGACTGGAAGCCGCTTCGCATGTTACCCCTCTTTGTGGAAGAGGCATTTCTTCCTGCGCGGATGGTGTAGAATGAGTTGTCCCCGCACCTCCTCTTTTCCTCTCCTTCCCGTCTTGAACCTTTTCTCTCTTCTTACCGCCCGCTAATGCCATCACACAGAGAGAGAGAGAGAGTCACACAAAGGCAAGCGATTATAGGCGGCAACTGTGGACTCTTTGCCCGGCTCCCGCACTACTCTCGGTGGCGCGTTGAACTGGGTGTACAAGATTGCGCTGCTTTCATTGAGGCAGCCAGAGGAGGAGGCTAACCGTAAAATTAACTGGCGGAATGAGCCAAGACGGCAACGCGGTGGCCGGCGAGGCGCTTTCCGTGGTGCACCTTAACCGGTGGCACGAACGTGTGCTGCAACTCCGCGAGCATCTGCGGGTCGCTCTGCTCGCCGACGGCCCTCAGCTGGAGATGGTCGTCTTCCACTCCCTCTTCGATTTGTATGAGAACTTTTATTTCGACCTGCTGTGCGCACGCGCCGCTACTGCCGCTCTGCGGCGGCGGACAGCGCGTCGAGCGGTACCAATGCTCTTCCAATTTCCGCAGAAACGCACTTTGTGACGTCCTCGTACACCCAAGACGTGCTCGCTGCATGTGTGTACCTGATGGAGCTAAGCGTGCTGCCGGATGTGTACGACATTCCACGACGGCCACCGCCACCCGCGTTGGCTCACAACGATGAGAACGCGTCGAAGGTGTACGTGAGCAAAGCGCAGCGACACTTTTGTTTTCTCATTTTCATGTACGTGTGCTGGTCTCCTGCATCTCTTCCGTTGAAGGATGTCCTGCATGCGCTCTATCCTCTCCTCGATCCGGGTGGTCCAAGCACCGCTACACTGACCGGTGACTCCGCTGCTGTTGCCCCAAACGGCGCAGGTACGTTTGCTGAAAACAACATCGCTGCCGATCTCTTTGCGCAGCCGCGCTTCGCCAACCGGAAGCGGTGGATCAGTGGGATGCTGAGCGGGTTGGTGCTATCTCGTGCGAACGGTCTGCGGGCGCTTCTGCGTGTTCTTTTGCTGGATGACCGCGTAGAGGCGGATATAACGATGGAGGCGGCGCAGCTGGTGGTGCGACTGCTGACGACGCCTCCGCCAGTTGTGTGGGTGCTCGCAGATTCTCCGTCGCCTCTCCTCTTGTCGCCCACCAACGGCGAAGTACTTCGTCAAGGTTCAGTAGAAAAAGGTCTACGTGTCGTGCGCGATGCGTCGACTTCTATCGAGAGCGAAATCAAACAACTTGCACCTCAACTGCTGTCTTTGCTGAAGGAGCAGGCGGATGAGGTGGAGGAGGGAGAGAGGTGCAACCGCGCGAGCGCAGCAGCAAAAGCACGCGAAGGCAACCAGCCTCGCTTTCTCGCACGTCTGGAAGCGGTGCATCAGCGCCTGCCCGCGGAAACGCTTGAGCAGCGCCTGCACATGTTTGTCACCTTACTCCTCAACGCACTGGTGCGACTGCCCCCACGGCAGAGCGCTGCCTTTGCGCGCAGCTACCGACAGTTCTTTTACGCGAATAAGTATATCCTCTCCCCCGGCTTCGGCTGCCTGTCTTTGCGCAGTGAGGGTCCGTACAGGGAGGACGACGTCGTGGCGGCGCTGCGGCGACTCACGTCACTCGTGAGGGGTGTGGCACTCGGCGCAGGCACGGGTGTTCTCGCACACGTGCTGCCGGCTACTGCGGCCGGGGTGCTCAACATATGCGCTCTGCAGCAGGCAACAACGGCCAGCGACGCTGCAGAACTCATTAGTAGACGCCAACAACTCGATCACACAATGCAGAGGTTTTTGATACCACTGCTGTCCAATTCGTCTCTACACGAGTTGACGGCTCACGCTCTTGTGCAGGCTTGCACAACTGAGCACTCTCACGTCTTCTCTGACGGCAACGCGGTGGAGGTGGAGCTCACCTACGTGTCCATGACATGCACGGCGAGAACACTCACAAACGGCTTGGAGTGGCTGCTGTCCGCCATGCCGGTTCCTGCGCCAGATTTTGTTCACGCGTGTGTGGAGGCGATGGTGGATGCGTGTCAGCTGCATTTATACGCGTCGGGGGTAGAATCTCTTGCTACTCCCAACGTCGTCTCATCGTCCACCGACAACACCATGCATGTGGACAGCACTGCGCAGGCGTCGGTGTCGTCAACACCGCCTCTGGTGTTGCTGCTGGAGCGACTGTGCCTGGAGGCGCCGTCGGAGGCGATCTTCGGCGCACGCGAGCGGCTCTCCCTCATTTCCACCTTAGCGCTCCTGGGCCGACTACTGGGTCTGTCGGTTGTCCTGTACCGCTGGGCTGTCGGCATGTTGAACGCTCTACTGAGGTCGGACAGCGTGCGGGTCGCCCTTCACGGAGGCGCGACTTCATCAGCCAGCGTAGCGGGAGTCGCCGCAGCTGAGTCAACATCCACCTGTGATGCTGGCCAGCCACTGGAGGAGCATCTTCGCTTTCTATCACGCTTGGTGCGAACATGTCAGGGCATCCTCTCGACGCTTCAGGCGCTGCTTGACCACTCGCATTCGCAGAACAGTACCAGCGACGGTGTGATGGAGATGGCGCCGCTCATCATCACCATCGAGGATGACCCAGAATTGTCGACGCTCACCTCTGAGACGTGCGCGGCACTGAGGAGCTGTGTGACTGATACGATGCGACAGCTGAACGGGTGCAACACGACGTGTGAGGTGTCTTCCACGGATATGGAGAGTGGGTGTCACGCCGAGCGCGTCCTCCAGCACCGCGACAGTGAAATCGCGGTGAGTACGACGGCGCAGTGGCAGCGGCTGTTGACACAACTTCAGTCAGCACTGGACGGGCGCTCCTCTGTCGACGTCGCGATGACTCTCGCGAGTCTGTCTCGCAGCGTCGATGAGGTGGTGCACGACGTGGCGAGCCCCGAACCCTTCCAATCCGTCGTGCAGCCCCTCCTGCTGACGTTGATTCGTGTGCTGTACGAGTGCGACGAGGTCGGGTGTGCGGTGCGGGCGGTGCACTGTGTGACGTGGCTCTGCATGTACCGCTTTGACTCCCCTGACTCTTCGTTCATTGCAGATCTTGTTTGGGCGGTGCTGGGCGAAGATCAGCTCCCTGCGTGGTTGGCTGCGCACGTCGGGCACCCTGCTGGAAGGGCGCCGGCGTTGGTGGCGCGGTTTTGTCGGTTGCGGGTGCGTCTCCTCGACGTGTTGCTGGCGTGGACGGACTACGACGAGGATGGGCGGACGCTGCGCAACGTTGACGACGTCCTGCGCCGCACCCGCCACATCGCCCTCTACGATGCACTGGCGCGTCTGTGTCATAACTCGTCGGATGTGTTTGTGCAGGTGGCCGCGCTGCACCTCGTGGGGGCCTACGCCCTCGCCGCACACCCGCGTGTGCCGCTGGCCGCGCTGTGCGATCTCTGCCGCGATGTCTTTCACTTGTCGCCGCATGAAATGGCCAAGGCAGCAGGCGCCGCGGCATTGGGCAAAGTGGTCGCGTCGCTGTGTCAGTCCTCCGAAGCCACCGCGTTTCTGCTCACGGAAGTTGACGTAGACGCGTGTCAGAGCCTGGCGGCTGCAATGGCGTCCTATCGTGGCCGACCGCCGGATGCAGCTGTGAGGGGCACGGGCACCTCACGTGCAACGTTGACGGAGGCGGCTGCAGTGGACTTGCACGACGCAGTGATTCAGCAACACGGACGGGATATGCTGCAGCTCCTTCGACGTGCCTCGCATGCGTACGGAGCGGCGACCTTACCAACAACGCCATCGGTGCTGAAGGTAAAGATGCCGAAAGGTACTTTCGACTGATGGTCTGCGTCGTGGTCAGAACAGACTCATGACTTGCGTTCATCTGTGCGTTGGTGACAAGTCGCGCATCAGTCACCTCTCCCTGCCGCCCCACACACACACGCAAATACGATACAGAGGAGGAATCGTGCGAGCCAAATTCGAAGAGAAAAGGAAAAGCATCTCTGCAGCTTGTTTTTGCGGTTCGGCTTTTCGTCCTGCAGTTGAGACCATCGTCTCTGAATTTGTGCGTGCGTTGACACGATGTGCCGCAGCCCACGCAGACGTTTGATGGCGTATCTCTTAGTCCTACGAGGCGGCGCTTCCGTTGAACGCATTTGCTGCTTTGTCGCTCCTCTTCACTTGCATGTCTCTTATCTTTTCTAACTATTTTTTTTTTCCTCGTTCTTACATTTATTCAACGTCGTTTCCCTCTTTGCCTTTCTCTATGCGGTACCCAAGAGAGTTCTCTCCAACACACGTCAGCACTCCCCTTTGCTTTATTCCTTTCGCAGTTCGCTCTGCCTTTTCTTCCCTTTAGCATCCCCCCCCCCCTCCTTTTCATGTCAGATAGTGGTAGCCAAGACGACAGCAGTGCACCGAAGCTGCACCTCTTGAAGGACAAGTGGTGTGTCTTCTACATCCCCGCCTCCAAAGGTGAGGACTACGAGCACCAGACGAAGGAGCTGGGCTACGTGACGAGCATCGAGGAGGTGTACAGCACCATCAACACCTTTCCGCCCATCACCCTCATGCCAAACGACGACAACCTCGTCTTCGCCCGCAACAAGATCGAGCCGCAGTTTGAAAGCTTCCCGGGAGGGCGCCGCTTTTCAATTTTCTGCAAGACGAAGACGCAGTGCCGCGAGGTCCTCACCTACGTGCTGGCGGTCGTGCTCGGCGAGGCTATTAGCAAGGAGGCGTGCGGCGGCGAGTGCCCGTGCGACGTTGTGCGGGTGGGCCACAAAGGCAGCGTGATGTACAAAGACTCCGTCCGTATTGAGGTGTGGGCCCACGAGAACAAACACAACGCGGCGATGGAGAAGTATCTGAGCTCCACGCTGTCGCTCATCCCCGGCGTGCAGGTGAGCTCGCGGCCTTTCCAAGGGTTTGGCTTCTGATGTTTGTTTTCTCTGTTTTTGCTGCAGTGTTCATCACCACGTCCTACGGTGACTTCATGGTTGATATCCCCGTTGTGTCTCTCCCGCCCTCGTTGTGTTCTGTGTCTCTCTGCGTGTGCGTGTCATTTATGTGCATTCCCCTCGATGAATCCTCTTTGCGAGTTTGTCGTCACGGCTATCACAGGAGCTGCGAGAGCGTTGACAGGAGCGTGGTGGCGACATGTGGACCCGGTGATTACTTTTGGGTTTTTTTTTTTCGAGTGTGTGTTTGACGCTTGACGTGAGAAGCGCACGTATGCTTTTGTCTGTTGTAGTGGTGGCCAAACCCGTGTTGGACTCTGTGTGTATGTCGTTGTACACACAACAAGCTGAATTGGATAGAAAATTGTAAAGATGTGGGGAAGTTAGTTCTCACCGTGCGGGGTGAACTGTGAGCGACGGTGATGTGCACTCCGCGGATCTTCTCTGTCTTCCCTTTTTTTTTCGTGCCTTTTCGGTGCTTTTTGCGGTGCCTCGAAGCTCCTGCGCAGGGGCAGTTTTCGCAGAGGGGTCAACTGCTGCGTTAACGTGACCGCTCTGCTGTCCTGTTTCCTCATCCATTTGAACGTCAAGGCGAAGATTGTATGTACTTTCTTCTGTGGATGGCCCTGCCGCGTACTTCCTAAGGCGTTTGCGGCTCCTCTGATCATCATCCCTCCCTCCTTCTCTTGTCATTCCTTTACTCCTCGCTGTTTTTCGGTGTCTTCTTTCTTGACGGCGCGTGGGTACATCGCAGAGGCCCCCCCCCCCCTCCCGACCATAATTCGCTGCTCCTTTCAAAACGTCGCCTAACCTGATCCTGTGTTCCTCAAGAGGGAATAATAATAATAAGAACGAAATGTCGGACCTTCTTCCCCTCTGCGAGAGCTCCTTCCGCGCGTTAGAAGACGCCTACGAAAAGCAATGGCGGCAAGCGCGGCTCCTTCACCAACTGCCGCCAAACTCTGACTCTTCCGAGTCTGTGGAGCGCGTTTTGCACTCCGCCGGCGTGGCGGCTACAGAAATGCAGCGACTGTGCGCCGAGACACGGCGGCTGCATCAGCGATTCCACCAAATAGAAGCCAACGCGGCGCCGCCGTTCAGCGAGGACGAGCGCGCTCGTCTGTCACGGCTTGGCTTCGATGTGTCACAACTCGTAACCGCACCGGTCTCGTGCCACGACGCCTCTGCTGCGGTGGCGCAGCGTATCCACACGCCGACGAACGCGCCTTTTCAGGTGAAGGACGACGCCGAGGTGGCTGAGCTGCGATGGGAGAACGCGCAGCTGCTCACCTCTCTGGCGTGGTACAGGTTTCGCGACGAGGCCGCCGCGGCGCCGCGTGCTGTCGACGGTGGAGTAGCACCGCACACCCGCGATCACGACAAGTCTTTCTCCTCTGCCTCTTCCGCTGAGCTGCTCCGGCTCTTCAACGCTATGAAGGCGCGCTGTGCGTTGTTGTGCAGTTCGCAACGCGAACGTGCTCCACCGCCACCTTCACGAGAGACCCAACGCGCTGTGGACGTGGCCGTTGAGGAGCTGCTGCGACTGCATAACTTTCCTTCGCAGGTGTGCGTGCGGCGAATCGCGTCTACACCGCTTTACATGTTGGACCGTCCTGTCTGCATCGCCTTCGCCTCGCCGCATAGCAGCATACTGGTGGTGCAGGATCCTGAGGGGGTGGAAGAGGACAGCGACCTGCGAGCCTACCTCATGAACCTGTATAAACCATTGCTTCGTGCGTTGAACTGGCGGCCTCCGTCAACGACGGATACCACCGTTACCGCCACAGGACTGGCGGTATCGTCTGAAAATTGTAGATCTCCACTCCCTTCTTTAGATACTTCGCAAACGATATGTCCTGCGCTCAATATCGGAACGGCCGTGGGAGACGTAAACCGTGGGCTGTTCGCTCTTTGCCCCTCTCAAGAAGAATTCCCTCGTTCAGTCGCGCTGGCCTTACCGCAACGACTAGAAGCGCCAGCGACGGTGAAGGCGTCGGATGCCGCTCTTCATGAAGCGCCGCGCAGGTCTTCGTCTGCGCTCTCGCTGATGACGTACGAGGAGCTCGTGGCTCTGAAGCGTGCGGCACTGCAGCGACTTGACCGCATCCGCGACACCGTTGCCATGTAGCACGTAAAGCTGATTGGGTAGACACACTCAGGTGACTGCGGTTTCCCGTCAAACACGTCTGGATGATGGTGATACGAGAACGTTATATAACTATTTTTAGTTGCGTATTATTTTTTGCGTTACGTTGAGATGTGGTACAGCGAAAAGGAAAACAAGAAATAAATGGCTCGCTCTCGTTAACGCCGCTTCCCACCTGCCGCAGCAAGAGCACGAAGATGCAAACGGAACAAGGCAAGCAAACAGTGCGGACTGCGCAGCGGCCTCCTTCGTGTGTGTGTCAGCAGCGAAGGCGTCTGCGTCCAATTGTGACAACTCCCCGATGTATTTCTCCTTTGGTCTATTGTCTGTATTTCCTCTTTCGATGGGCTGGTTTCGTCTTGTTTGTTATTTGTTGTTCTCTCCTCTCGATCATCGATGCGCACACGCGTTCGCGCAGTAAATCATTTGTTCCAGGCGCAGAGGAGGAAGGAGGCCGTGTTTTTATTTTTTGTTTTTTGAGAAAACGGCTCTTCTGCTGCCAACTTATTACCCTTAAGTGTTTCTTTTTTTTGGCGTGGATCTCTCGTGTGTGTGTGTGGCGAAAGACACGGGGCACTTTCACCCAGGAAAGTCTTTGTGTGTACGTGTGTTTCCCCGTTCGTTCCTTGTGGGAGACTCAAGAGGGTGGAGAGGGACTCGCAAAAAACGTTTTTGCGGTCTCTTCTGATATATATATATGTATATAATCCGATGTCGTTTCCCAACTCGATTGTTGCATGGCGGTCCCCCGCGGCTGGCGGGGCTGTGGTGGACGTTCTTCAGAGCTCGCCGACTCTCCTACAGTACCTTACCAACGATGCAAGCGCCAACGATGGCCGCCGTCCGCCTAGCTCGCACCGCAGGCTCTTCATTATGTTTCCTGGCAATCCGGGCATCGTGCAGATCTATCAGGACTTCTGCAATTCGCTGGAAACGCATAGATTCGACGTCCTGGTGATGGGCTTTGCGGGCCACAGCCTGACGGACCTGAACGCCGGCCGCGTCTTTGGTTTGTCAGACCAGGTGGACGTCGCGGACAGCTTCGTCGCCGCGCTGCTGAACCGCAACTCGCAGCAGAAGTATAATGGCAACGTTTTCGTCGGTGGACACAGCATTGGCGCGTTCGTCGCCCTCCAGATGGTGGCGCGCTATCCGAGCGTGAAGAAATACTTCGGCCTGTGCCCCGTCATTTCTCGCATCAAGGACTCCCCGAACGGGCTGAAGATGCCTTTCGTAGTCAGCCGTATGGCCCAGCTGTGTCTCGCGGTGGTGGCCGCGCTGCTAGCGCTTCTTCCGTACCGATTGCGGTTTCTGCTCATCACGCGGCACGAGCCGAATCTGACCACCTCCTTCAGCGACTCCCTCGCTCGTCACTTCCACCGGAAGTGTTTGGTAAACATGTTTTACATGTCAATGACAGAGTTCTGCATGCTGCTGCAGCCCGATGCGCCGCTGCTGAAGTTTGTGCAGGAGCGACTGGTGATGTACTACGTAAAGAAGGATGACTGGGCACCGCCCGCGTACGCGGAAGAAATCAATGCTCTCTGTCCTCGTCTTAGTGCCTTCGTCATGGAGGAAGACGACGCGGTGCCGCACGCGTGGTGCCTGCGCAACAGCGAGACGGTGATTAAGAATGCCATTCTCCGGTTCTGTTGAGGTGCGCTCTCACACGCCAGGATGCGGTACAGATCTTTGAACAAGCAATCAGAAAGGCTCAACGGACTCCTCTCAGTTTTGTTTCCTTGCGTTGACAGCGAAAAGGATGTGGTAGCGCATTTTCACTCGGGTACACCGTGCAGTGCGGCAGTGGAGCTTGGATTGTCTTTCCCTTCTCTTTCAGGCCCCTTCTTCGCCTCGTGCGTACGTATATAAAGATCTGCATCGGGCTTACATTTCTCGTTTTTTATTTTTCTCTTCTTCCGCAAGTTGAGTTGAAGAGGACACTGTCGAGGCGGCGCTGACCGGCGGTGCACCGCGCAGCAACGCTCCCTTTCAGCGTCATTAAATTTGTTTTTTTTTTGTTTTCGTTTCCCTTTAGGCCGTAAAGCACTGGCAGCTACCGGAGTAGCACTCAAAAGCGAAACAATACTGCGCGTTACAAAAGGCTTTGCATTGGAGACCGCGCGTTTTACGGTGCTAGCAACATGAAAGGAGGGGACTGCGCGGTGCTTCAGTCCTTCGCACAATGCGTCTCACTTGCTTTTCTCCTTTCTCATATGGATGATGACGTGGCACTTTCACACTGGGCGCCATTGCACCCTTTGCCTTCCCACTCGACACGATGTGGAACTCCGATGCCGCTGCACATTCCTTGCGACGTCACCTCCTCCCTCTTGGTTCGCTGCTTTCACCGCCCCCCTCCCTTATCTCCACCATCGACAGTGGAAGTGCCCATCTGCTCTGCCGTGGCAAGCTTGAAGTCAACGTGCCGCGTCCCGGCACTTTGGTACGAGGAATCACCCTCACAGGAGTGCACACACTTACAGACACACTTTTCTTTCTTTCTCATGAAGTTGGCGCATACGGAGCCGCCCTCGGCCGTCCCGGCAGCGGCGCACATCCTCGGCGAGCCGACCATCGAGGGGCTGGCCCGCTACATTCTCCAAAGCGACGTCCGCCGCATCCTCGTGCTCGTCGGGGCGGGGGCCAGTGTGGCGGCCGGCATCCCGGACTTCCGCTCGCCCGACACCGGCATCTACGCCAACCTCGGCAAGTACAACCTAGACGACCCGAGCGACGCCTTCTCCCTCACGCTGCTCCGCGAACGGCCCGATATCTTTTACAGCATCGCGACGGAGATGAATTTGTGGCCCGGCCACTTCCGACCGACAGCTGTGCACTTCTTTATTCGGCTGCTGCAGGAGCAGGGGCGGCTGCTGCGGTGCTGCACGCAGAACATCGACGGCCTGGAGGAGGCCGCGGGCATTTCGCCGCGGCTGCTCGTGGAGGCGCACGGCTCCTTCGCGACGGCATCCTGCATTGACTGCCATGCCCCTTTCGACATTGAACAGAACAAAAAGGAGGCGATGGAGGGGGTCGTGTCGCACTGCCTACTCTGCGGTGGCATCGTGAAGCCGAACGTGGTGTTTTTCGGAGAGAGCCTGCCCGATGCCTTCTTCCACGCACTGCAGCACGACGCCCCTACGGCGGATCTCGTCATCATCGTCGGCACCTCCCTCCAGGTGCACCCCTTTGCGTCGCTGCCCTTCTTTGTGCCGACGACAATCCCGCGCGTGGTGATCAACCGCGAGCGAGTGGGTGGGTCATTTTTCCGCTTCCCGGATGACGACGACGTGCCGGACTCGGCGGAGGGTCTCGCCGCGACATCATCCGCGGCGTCATCGTCATCGTCGCGGCCGCTGCTGGCGGGCGATGGGGTGGGGGCGGACAGCGGCGACGGCCACCGCAGCGCAGCTGCTTCGACTGCGCCGGAAAGCATCGCAGCAACGCGGGAGAGTAATGAAGAGGGGAGGGAGGAGGACGCGGCGAGTTCCAGCTCCAGCTCCAGCGACGGCTACGCGCAGTACGGCGACTACGACGTGCACCCCCCGCTGTGCCGCGACGTGCTCTTTCGCGGCGACTGCCAAGACAACGTCAAGAAACTGGCGGAGTGCCTCGGCTGGGGGGCGGCGCTGTCTGATTTCCTAGGGACCTCAACGGCTTCATCAGAGGATGAGCATTGAGTACTGAGAAGAGCACCGGTTGCTTCTGCCTTGTTGAATTTTCCGCTGAACGCCGTCTCCCTTGCACCATGACCGTTTGATGCGCGATGCAGCGAGGACGGAGCTGCGTTTTGTCTTTGCTCTTTTCTTCGTTTCTGTGTTAGTTGCCGTACGCGAAAGAAGCAGGAGGAGGTCGTTTCCACCCGCACAACACGCGTATCTGTAGTTAAGTGGCTAAGGAGACACCCAGCGTTCCGCATTTAATGATGCTTTCGACGCAGGACGTGATCTGCACCCGCATTAATTCAGCTTTCTAAATAAGGAGAATCTCTCACACCCAAGAAGAAAACAAAGCGGCTCTTATTGTTGTACAGCACCGTACAAATCATTTTTTTTTAGGTGACCTACACCTTCACAATGCCCTCCTTTTGTATTTACTCGAAAAGAGGACTACAGAGGACGTAAAGCCGTTTGCCCGTTGCTTTGTTTTGTTTCTTGAAGAAATGCGCTGCTGAGGTGTCTATGCCACCCTCTCATCAAAAACGGCTCTGGGATTTTGAACCTTCTGTGATGTGTCGCAGAAAGCGACCTTCTCCGTTGACCAGTGCGTGAAGGTATTCTCATTGTGCCTCCCAACGTCGCCCCTCTCCGTACCTTCCTTCTTGGTGGCGTCTGCATTCTGCTGAGCGACGTGCATTCACCTCATCGTAAGGTGTCGTCGTGTGAAGAGGTGCATACATCGTTGCGCTTGTGCATAATCGGGCTAGGGAGGAGGTGACTTCGTGTGCGATCGTGCTTTGTCCGTTTTTCATTTAACCTCTCTTGCAATACATGTGAGAGAAGAATCATTTGTTCTAGCCTCCGCCCCCCTTAGCGACTCGACACGCCGAGGCACGAGAAAGAAAGAAAGAAAGAGATGCGGCTGCTACGCAAAGTCCAACACCCCGACGGCTCCATCGAAGTGGGCGTCTCTGTGGCCACCTCGGAAGACCTATGGCACCTCTATAACTTCATCCTCGTCGGCGATCGGGTCCTGACACGGACGCGTCGTAAGGTGCCGCGTGAAAACGCGCTCGGCACCATCGCGGCCGAGATGAAGATGCTGAATCTCGAGGTGGAGGTGCTGCAGATTGACTTCACGCCGGATGAGCTGCGCATCCAGGGGGTGAACAAGAAGGAGAACAACTTCGTGAAGCTGGGGGTGCACCACACGCTGACAGTGCACGCCAACCCCCCGCAGGAGGTGCGCATTACGAAGGCGGAGTGGGACCCCATCTGCGAGGAGCGCCTGAAAGACGCGTGCGATGAGACCGCGAAGGCGGACACGGCTGCCGTGCTGATGAGCTTCGGCGAGGCGCAGGTCATCTTGGTGACGCCCTCCTTTATGCACGTGAAGGCGAAGATCGATGTGAACATTTCAAAGAAGCACAAGAGCGACGGTAAAGCTCGCGATAAGAGCATCGAAAAGTTCTTTAAGCAGGTCCTCGACGCGCTGGTCACACACGTCGACTTCAAGAAGACAAAGTTGGTGCTCCTGTGCTCACCGGGGCACGTGCGGGAAGAGTTCCATGCGTACGTGAAGGAAGTGACGCAGCGCGCCGATAATGGGCCGCTTCGCGAGATGTTTCTGAACCTCTCGAAGTTCCTTCTCGTGAAGGTGAACTCGACGACAATCAGTGGTTTGAAGGAGGCCTTAGCCGAACCCGGCGTGGCGCAGCGCATGGAGTCGACCAAGTGCGTCGACGACATCCGCGTGTGGGAGAAGTTTCAGAACACGATGAACAAAGACCCCGACCTCTGCGTCTACACCCCGCAGTTTGTCTATCACGCCGCAACGACCGGTGCGGTGGAGACGCTCATGATTAGCGACGACGTCTTCCGCTCCGACGAACCAACCGTGCGCCGCTTTTTTCTTAGTCTAGTCAACTTCGTGCGGCAGAGCGGCGGTGCGACCGTGAACGTCTTCTCGAGCAAGCACATCACCGGCGAGAAGCTGACGCAGCTGGGCAGCGTTGCCGCCATCCTGCTCTACCCCTGCCCTGAGCTGGAGGAGATGGAGGTGTTGCCTGAATTCGTGTACACGAAGACCGTAGAAGACTTTATTCGCGAGAACGCCAACTCGCGCGTCCCCGTTTGAGACGCGTCGTTTGTCTTTTTGCTTGTTTGGTTCTTCTGTTGTGAGTTAGGCAGGGAAACGTGGTGCTTCTCGCGTACGTGGCTCGGTTCACGTGCTTGCTGTGGGCAACGTTTTATTCTGTTGTTTGTCGTGTTGTGCTTGTGCGTGCGTGCTCGTGGGCACGACTAATCGCCCATTAATCTTTCGAATCGCCGTAGGAGGCGTTCTTAAAAAGAGAAAAAGTGGAACAGAAGCACAGTACGCGACGGTCCCATTCCCACTTTCAAGTCGTGCTGTGCTCGTAAACGTCGCTGCTTTGGGTATAAAACGCTGCTACAAATAGTGGGCCGCCTTCCTCAACGACAGCCAAAAACTTCGTTTCGTGCGCTTTCCTGTGATCGCATTCTGGGGCGTGCGTGCTTCTGCCTTACGGAACGCACCGCCTTAATTATATTTGATTCTACTCCACTCCATCGTTCGTCGTGATCCAGTCATGTGACCCGCGGAGTGCCTTCCTCACTTCAAGCCATCCTTTTCTGTTCTTTTGTTTTTCGCCTTTTATTTGGCCACCACCGCACGCGCGCTTTGTTGCTGTGAAATCTGCGTGTAAAGCCGCAGTGCCGCCATCTTCCTTGAGTTCGACACGTGCTACATTCCCCGTCACGAGATCGTACGTATCTTTATTCCTTTTCTATTTCGCCGTGTTTGCCGACGTGTCAAAGGTGCACGTGCCCACACACCCGCCCAATTGTGTGCGTCTATTCGGTCTTCTGCTCTCCCTATTATTATTATTGTTGTTGTCGTTGCTTTTTTTTTCTAACGGCCCTTTCCTATACTCTTGCGAGCCCTTTTTTTTTTCTGCTGTTGTTTGAATACATCGCCTTCCCAACGTCTTTAATAATCTTTCTGTACATTTAGCTTAATTTTTGCAGCGATGTGGAAGCGCACCGGTCGTTGCCTGGCCGCCGCCTTGGCTTCGCGGCCGCTTCGAGCGCCGTCGTCCGCACTCCGCACTGTTGCGCCGCTCTTCACCGGCATCTCCGGCAGCTTTCGTCGCTCGCTGAGCAACTCCGTGGCCATGATGAGCACCGCGGCGGCGTCGCCACTCTCTTCCCACGTTGCGAGCGGCGTCGCCACGGCCCGTCGCACCATTGTGGTGGAAACCAGCGAGACGCCCAACCCCGACTGCCTGCGCTTCTTCTCCATGGACCTCTCCTTTTTAAAGCCGGAGTTCTCGGTCGACATCCCGTCTCCCGCACAGGCCTACAAGTCGCCGCTCGCGGAGGCCCTCTTCGGGGTGGCCGGGGTGCAGGCGATCTTCATCGCCGACGAGTACGTGACGGTGCGCCGACACCCGCAGGCGGACTGGGCGGTGCTGATCCCGACGATCAAGGAGGTCATTATTGAGTTTGCGGAGAGCAAAGAAAGCGTCCTCTCCGAGGCGGGCGAGGCGGAGTTGGCCGGCTACAACGACGACACCGAACCGGAGGACGACGATGACGAGGTCGTGCTGGCGGTGAAGGAATTACTCGCGACGCGCATTCGACCAATGTTGCGGGCCGACGGCGGCAACGTGCGTTTTATCGACATGGACGACGGCACGGTGTTTCTGCTGTTGCAGGGGGCGTGCAAGGCGTGCCCGTCGTCGCACATTACGCTGAAGAGCGGCATTGAGCGGATGCTGATGCATTGGATTCCAGAGGTGGTCGAGGCGCAGGAGGTCAGCGACGAGGTGGCGGCCGATATCATGGCGGAGAAGCGACTGCGCAAGTCAATGAAAGAAAAAGGTGAAGTGGTTACTGCGAAGTGAGGAGAGGGGAGAAGAAAAGGCAGAGGATGTGCCGTCCACACATATTTATCTCTTTGCATGTACATGCTTGTGAGCGTGCGTTTCCTTGAGATCGTTTATTTGCTTGAAACGTATAAAATAAAAGCTTTATTAATCATTTCGTGTTCGGCCTGCCTCTCATTTTTTTCTTCTTCGATTCCTGAAGGGAAGGTCGAACCCACAGACCAATATCAACTCGCTCTTTATTCACTCACAGACGGAAAGACTGGAAGAAGGAGGAATATTTGTTTTCAAACGCAGTCGAAAGGGGGGGGGGGAAGGGGAGGCGTGTGTGCTAGGGAGTCGAAATCTACTCGCCCCCACTTTTTCAGGTGCCAGATCAACGTGGGGGATGTGTGTCCCATCCTACTTCATAAGAGAGAGAGTGTGTGTGTGTGTGACAGTACTGGACGAAGGAGCTGCAATAATCTCGCGAATCACAACGTGGTGGGTTACGTTGAAGCCCAAGTGTCCTTTTTCATGGAACCTCCAACCCACCCTTTTTCTTCAATCATGTGCTGCGAATACTTCCCCTACGCTTTTCTTCTTTCCCACCCCACTCCCGCAGTCCCCTTCACGCAACTCCGCACTCACAAGCGGCGTGCGTGCAATTCAGCGCATTTTGATAGGAGAAAAGGAAGAAAAAAACGATAATAAAGCTGGGGAGTGGAAGCGACGTTCATGACGGGAGGGAAGAACAACTCTGTCTTCGCTATGCACCGCTATCACCACCGCGCCTCCCAGGCACTGCGGGAGCGTCTGCTCATTCCGCTGCGTCAGCTGACGGGCATAGAAATTTTTGTAGCGGTGGCCATCGGCGTTGTCGGTGGCCTTTTTCCAGTCCCACTTCTTACCTCTTTGGTCACGCTACTTGCGGGGTGGTACGTTCACTGCAACGCGGCTCAGCTCGTGTTTGGCTCCACGGTGAATCTCTTCTGCACCCCTCTTCAGCTTGCGCTGCTCCCCTCATTCGCACGGCTGATGGGGGCCATTACACAAGGCGAAACATCGACATTCACCGCCTACGCACTGAAGGAGGCGCTGGCGAAGGGCTACGCGTCGTTTCTCAGCTCCTGCGGTTGGATGATCGCCTACGCCGTAGTGGGTTGGTTTTTGGTGTTTATTCCAGTTGTTCTGGTGTTGCGCGCACTCCAACGCTGCACCACGCACCGCGAGCCGCACAAGGAAAGCGTTCGACTGACCGAAATGGAAGAGGTGCGTATCGGCGAAGGACATTGACAGCAGCGTTGTGTTGCGGCAGCGGCAGCGGCAGTAGCGTCCCGCTTGCGCAAGAGCCTTTGAGCGTTGAGATGACTTCGTTTTCTTTACGTCTGCGCCACAGTGCGAGGGGGGGGGGGGGCATCATCATCTGCTGAAACATGTTTTGGCCGCTGTTTTACGCCCAACCCATGTGTACACCTATTTATACACACGGCAGAAACGAGAGAGGGTCGCACTGCTGTAAACCAGTACGGCGAAAAACAAAAGGTTCCGCCTTCAGCGCGTACATCGACGCTCAGTGGTCGCGTGAATCCTGCGTGGGTGTTCTCATTTTTCCCCCGTTTTTCTTCTTCTTCTTTTATTGCTTTCATGTCACGTACGTCCTCTGCTATTTTTGGGAAATCTCGTCCTTGACGCCCCCTCCGACGTGTCTATTCTTGCTCCTATGTGACACTCGTGCCCTCGCGTTCCAAAGAAGCTGCTATTTCTTTTCTTTTTTTTTACGTGCTTTTCGATTTTTTTTCGACAAGAGTTCACCCTCAACACGAGAGCCACAACGAGTACTGCAATTCTACGGCGTCGCGAGGTCTTTCTGCTGCTGATCATGAATACCTGGCCGTGAAATACGTTTCCGTACAATTATCGGCAACGTAATCGGAGCGATTTTTAAAGCTTTTGTCAATCGTGCGCGTTGAAGCCACTCAAACGCTTTCATCTAATGATGCGTCCACTTCGCAGCAATTCCTCGCTCCCTTTCTTTTCCTCACCTTCCTTTCGCTCTGCTGCCGTCGGTGTTGCGTCATCCATCCGCTCCATTACTTCATTTTACAGTTTACGGCACTTTGCTACAATGCCCGCTGTCCCCGCCCCTGAGTCCGCGATCAAGCGCGCTGCCTTCAAGCAGCAGCAGACGGAGAGCTTCAAGAAGGCTGTCGCGGCCAACAAGACCGCGAAGGCCGCCCTGAAGAAGATCGCCTACACCCGCGGCCGCAAGTACTCCCGCGAGTACCACGGCGCGGAGAAGAAGCTGGTGACGCTGCGCCGTCAGGCCGCCACGCACGGCAACTTCTACCTGGAGGCGCGGCCGAAGGTGGCCGTGGTGACCCGCATCCGCGGTATCGCCAAGGTGAACCCGAAGCAGCGCAAGATCCTGCAGCTGCTGCGCCTGCGCCAGATCTTCAACACGGTGTTCGTGAAGATGAACAAGCCGATTGAGAACATGCTGCGCGCCGTGGAGCCCTACATCGCGTACGGCTACCCGAGCCTGGCCACCGTCCGCGCGATGGTGTACAAGCGTGGCTTCCTGAAGGTGAACGGGCAGCGTGTGAAGATCAACGACAACCAGATGATCAAGGACAAGTACAACAACCCTGACGTCGTGTGCGCTGAGGACGTGGTGAACCAGATCTACACCTGCGGCAAGCACTTCCGCACCGTGACCCACGGTCTGTGGCCCTTCAAGCTGGCTCCTCCGGCCGGTGGCATGCGCCAGAAGCGCCGCCACTTCGTGGAGGGCGGTGACTTCGGTAACCGCGACACCCTGATCAACCGCTTCCTCGCCCGCATGATCTAAGAAGGGCGGAGTCGTAGATCCTCTAGATATCCTGTAATCGTATGTGAGGATAGAAAGGCAGAAAAGAGAGAGATGGGCGGAGGAGCGGAAAGAGAGAATAGTGTCGCAAGAGCGAAATCCCATGCAAAAATGAATTACGGGTTACCGGAGCGACACCGAGAGGCGATGCGTAGATCGGGGCAACAGGCTACACAAACACTAGCGTAAAGAAATGGTCCAAGGAAGGGTATGGCCATTACATACAGTGCACTACAGCACAGCAAAGATGTACAAAGGCAACATCTCGTGAAGAGGTCTTTGGCCGCTTGAGCGAGGAAGCCTCCGTTTCCCCCTCACGCCTCACAGACTCAAGGACGTGCACACACAAATCTCTGTGCGCGTATGGCAAAGGATCGCCACGAGGGACCAACGGCTCGATTGCACGGCCGGAGAGGCACGTATTTCCTGGATTTTATTGGGAGTAAAGTAGAAAAAAAAATGAATATTGGAAAACGGAGTGTTCACGGACAACGACGAGTGACCCGGCGCAAGCATCGTGCCCCTCAACAAGCCGTCGCTTCTTCAAGAGAAGGTACTTCGGCGGTTGGAGAGAAGCCCCTGCCCCACAGCCACTCGTTTCACAGACCACCTGTGCCCGCTGTCCCCGCCCCTGAGTCCGCGATCAAGCGCGCTGCCTTCAAGCAGCAGCAGACGGAGAGCTTCAAGAAGGCTGTCGCGGCCAACAAGACCGCGAAGGCCGCCCTGAAGAAGATCGCCTACACCCGCGGCCGCAAGTACTCCCGCGAGTACCACGGCGCGGAGAAGAAGCTGGTGACGCTGCGCCGTCAGGCCGCCACGCACGGCAACTTCTACCTGGAGGCGCGGCCGAAGGTGGCCGTGGTGACCCGCATCCGCGGTATCGCCAAGGTGAACCCGAAGCAGCGCAAGATCCTGCAGCTGCTGCGCCTGCGCCAGATCTTCAACACGGTGTTCGTGAAGATGAACAAGCCGATTGAGAACATGCTGCGCGCCGTGGAGCCCTACATCGCGTACGGCTACCCGAGCCTGGCCACCGTCCGCGCGATGGTGTACAAGCGTGGCTTCCTGAAGGTGAACGGGCAGCGTGTGAAGATCAACGACAACCAGATGATCAAGGACAAGTACAACAACCCTGACGTCGTGTGCGCTGAGGACGTGGTGAACCAGATCTACACCTGCGGCAAGCACTTCCGCACCGTGACCCACGGTCTGTGGCCCTTCAAGCTGGCTCCTCCGGCCGGTGGCATGCGCCAGAAGCGCCGCCACTTCGTGGAGGGCGGTGACTTCGGTAACCGCGACACCCTGATCAACCGCTTCCTCGCCCGCATGATCTAAGAAGGGCGGAGAAGGTTTGGTACGTCTACAACGCACAATGTCCCGCGTTAACTTCTACGTTATCCATTGTTTTCATTTTCTTTTCCTAACAGTGTGATGGTTTCAGCAAAAAAAGAGTGTAGAAAGAAAACTGTGAAATGAATGACACTGGCGGCCCTCTTTGTTGCGCTGGCGACGTCGAAGGTCAAAATGTTTTGTTTGTCTTTAGCCGGCCAGTGTGAATGTAAGTGGTCGTCGCCGTCGTTATTCTACGGTGTTGCTTCTCAGAGGCATTCGGTCGGGGGTGGGGGGGGGGGGGGGGGGGTCTGGGTATCAAGGCGTGCAGTTCGAAGCATCTCTTCCGAGCTCGCAAGTGGCTGGTGCGGCTCCTTCAGCGCTCAAAGCAGAACGTCCAAATTAATGCTTCTCTTTTTTCACCTTCTTCTTCCGTTTTTCTAAATATGTAAACTTCGTTTCTGCTTCCCATTAACGCACTTCTAACCCCTCATCGGATTGCTTTCGACTCACCGTCGTTCAATCAATCATCTTTGACTCCTCTGCATTTTTCACGGTTGCACCTCATTGGAAAAAAGTTAAGGTGTCGTTGGTTGCGTTTCGCTCTCCGTGTGTCATCGCCTCGGCGTCACCCAATTCATAAGGCAAAAGAGAATCTACCACACGCGGCAGGTGTCTGAGACTGTGCTGCGAAGGTGGCTTCAGCTCCTTGTCTCTTGTGTCGTTGATTCTGCTCTTTTACCCGCCTTCCCGGAGGTATTGACGTGCTTTCCATCGAACCCTTCTGCCGCCTTTGTAAGCACTACTGCTTCCACTGACCCCTTTTCACCGTGTGCATCGTAATCCGTTTCTTTTTCTCCCGTTATATAATACACTTTTTTTCTTTTTCTTTTTGAAGTGCTTCCAAACTGTTTTGTTTGCTAACTCTGAGTGCCTGTGACGTTTCTTTCCGTGCGCAGCGACAGCACGATTGTGATAAGTGAGAAGCCCTCCCCTACGTTGTCTATTCGCAGGTTGTGGTCGTCGCACTGATACCCACAGACTTTCCGGCAGAAAGGGAAGCAGCACGTTGAAGAAGTGAATCAGAGCAGCAAGCTTTTTTTTTTCTTTCTGTGGTTGTTGTTTTTGTTTACTATTCCATTTGATCAGCGTTTCCAGGGTCATAATCTCTCGGCCTCGTGTTGTTGACCCTCCGGTAGGAAGTCCGCCGCCTCTGCCTCTTTTCCGCTCTTCACTCACGAAATATACGTCGGGCCCCTGCCCCAGCAAAGGAAGTGCGTTTTTTTTTCTTTTAATAAGCTCAGAATTTGTGCCGCAACGCAGATCGCTTTTCCACACTATTATTATTATTACTTTTTTCCCAACTTTATACAAACAGTGTTTTCCTCTTTCTTTTGCTCTTTCTCCCTTCGTTTCACATCTTTGTGTTTTGTTTTGTTCTTTCTCTTTGCGTGCTCTCCCTCTATATTTATCGAGACGTTGCGCTCGTGTGTCGCGGCCGTTGTCCGTCTCTTACGTGTTCCCTGTGCCCTTTTCTTCCTCGTGCGCTCCGTCCCTTTCTTTTTTCCTTCTTGACAGAAACGCTCCATCTCTGCTTTGGAAACGAAAAGCAAGGAAAGAAAACCAACAGGTGACGTGACTAAAAAGCTGTAGCGTGTTTGAGCACTTAACGCTATTTCTTTCCCTTTTAGCTCTCTTGTGTGCCGCGCACAACGGCAGACGATTGCTACTCGCTCTTCCGCGGCTCTGGTGTGATGCCTGCTCGCCGCACATTTCACTCTCAGCCGTAAAGATCGACTTCTCTTTTTTACTTTTTTTAAAACTCGTTTCGTTCTTCCAGCGCGTGTTGAATAGCTCGTTGTGAGGGTTTTTTGTATGTGTTGTTGTTCGTTTGGCGGTGTGTTTGTACGCATACATATAGGTGTACGCACATATATATCTTCTATTTCTTGTTTTCCTTTTCTTTTTTCGTGTTTATCTCGTTTTTTTTTTCTCTTATCCTCTCAAGCTCGAAGGTTCTTCACCCCTCGTTTGTTTTGTTCTTGTTTTGTTTTGATTGGAGGTGGTTACACCTTTCGTAGGACACCGCTCAAAGCGCGCGCTGTCTATCGCACAGTCCAATACTCGCTCCTACTTGTACAACCTGGTTTGTTTCTTATTTTTCAAAGAGGCATCCGCATTGGCACAGCGGCTTCTATTCAGCAGTACGCCGACGAGCACACCGACGCTCGCGCACACTCCACCTTCCTCGCCTTCTGCGCATCTATACACATCGACAGCAGCGAAGGTGTTGGACGAAATACGAAGCGGTGTGTAGTCTAAACGAAGGACAAACAACAGTTGCACCCCTCTTATTGTCCCGATTGCTAATAATTCCTTAATATATATATATATATATCTTTTTTTCCAACTTACGCGTACAGGAGTGGAGTTCTTCTCTGATTCATCCTGCTCGGCTGGTAATCATTCTTTGTTTTTCCATTACTTTCAACATGTTAGTGCTTTTTTTTGTTGGCTTCGCGTTGTTCTCAAATACATATCTGCTGTTGTTTCCTTTTATTTCTCCTGGTGGAGTAATCATCAAACATACACGGTAACTTTAATTGTCCAGTCCAAGAAGCAAAACGTTTGCCTTTTTCTAACTTTATTTTTCTGATGCTATCGAAGGGAACGGCTTCTCTTGGCCCTTTGAACTTCTCCTCTTTTTCTTTCCGCCGTTCTTAACGCTCGCCTCTGTTTCCGTTTTCTTTGATTGAGCTCGAGTCATTGTTTCGCTTCTGTATATATATATTGTTTTGCTGAAGAGTTGTGACACACGCGGAAATCATTGGAACTGTCAACTTTGCGGGTGGTGCTTTGAGTTTTTTTTTTTCTTCTCCTGTTGTAGTGGCGGCGTCGATTTTTGTGGTGCAGCACTGTGGCGCTTTTGTGGGTTCGCCGGTGCGCCGTTTCACGGCAGGAGTCTCCCTTCTTCCCACTGCACGGAACCCTTCTCTCACACGCCTTCCAATTATTATTATTATTATTTGTTGCTTCTGCCAGCTATGTCCTCCACTCGCCGGCCCACCACGCAGGAGGCGATCGATTTCTTCAAGCGGTATCGCGAAAAGTTTCAGTCGGAGGTGAGCAGCAAGAACTCACCAAGTCACAACAGCGTCAACATCTCGGCGCCTAACATCGTTACACAGGTGCAGCAGGGCGGGCAGGCGGATGTGACGGCGTACAGCATCGTGCCGATGGACCCCCGCAACGGGACAACGCTGACGCGGCTGGACTTGCTGCGGAATTCGTCCACAAACCGTTCGCCGTGCCTCGAGATGGACGCCGAGGTGAAGGCGATGCTGCCACCGCTGAAGAGCGTGCGAGTGCCGAAGGTGACCCTCGTGCTGGACGTCGACGAGACGTTGGTGCACTCCACCTTCCAGCCGAACCCCGACGTCGTCTACGACAAGGTGCTCCAGGTGCCGTCCGATGGCAAGATATACACCGTGAGTGTGAAGTACCGCCCCTACCTAAAGGACTTCCTTCAATTTGTGTGTCAACGGTTCGAGGTTGTAATCTTCACGGCGAGCATGCGGGCGTACTGCGACAATTTAATGGATGAGATCGATCCGAACGGCGACTTGGGAAACTTGCGGCTCTTCCGGGAGCACTGCACGCTGTGCGAGAGCTCCTACGTGAAGGACCTCCACCTGCTGGGCCGCGACCTGCGTCGTGTGGCGATTATAGACAACAGCCCCGCCGCCTACGCGTTCCAGCAGCGCAACGCCATCCCGATTCGTACGTGGATCGACGACCCCGACGATCGGGAACTTTTTAATTTGCTGCCGCTGCTCGATCGGCTTGCCCGCTGTGAGCACGTGTACTCCGTCTTAGATGAATTTAACGCCAAGGGCTGCAGCTTCCAGTAGCGCCGCCACGTAAGAAGAAAAATACGACGCCAACATCACCGAACCACAGAACAGAACGTGCACGATTTAAATGTGTGCTTGCGGTTTTCTGTTTTCCCTCTCGGACACGTTTTGCACTGATATCTTCGTCCTTCACCTTTTCCTTTTGAATGCTCCGTTGCAAATTGAAAACCGTTCCTCCTTTCTTCTTCCTTCTATACGTGGATTCTTTTTTCTTCTTCTTCTCTGCGCCGTATCCTTTTGTCTGTTGAATACCGTGATATACACGCTCGTTTTAATGCGCAGCTTTGTTTCGCTGAAGCCGCTCACGTGTGTGTGGTATGCGTTTTCATCGATTCCGCTCTCTCAGTCTTCTTTCTTTTCGTGCACGTGTACGTGCCTGAGCGGCACAAACAATCTAGTGCGTCATTGGTTGTTGGTTGGCGTCTTCACTACTGTGTACGGCACATGCACCGACGCGTACAGCGAGTTGCCTTCTGCGTATGGACGCTATCGATGATGCTCTTTATTAATTGTTTTGTTTTTCCCTCTCCCTGCTTTAACGAAGGACGCGTTGCACGTGCAAGTATCTGTGTTTTTTTTTTTCGCTCGCGGATCTAAGAACTGGAGAGGAGCAAAACTCCCCGCATCTGGGAAGTCTCTTCATACTTTTTCCCTCTCTATTATACAGCCTCACGTGTGTGTATTCGCCGTTCCCCCCTCGGTTTTTCTATCCTCCGTTGTAGCGACGATCCTCTTCCTTTGGAAGCTTTTCTTCTTCCCCTTGGTCGCTGATCGCGGTATTTGACTGCCTTTTCTTTGTATTTTTGTCTTCGCGTTCTTCTTTTCTTTCCTCTTCCTCCTCACACCTTCTATGAACACTGTTGTGTGTATACACGACATATGTAGTCGTGCTGCCTCGGCTTCTGAATAAATAAACACTTGAACTCTGTAAAGTCAAGGCCCCCACTGTTCTGTGTTGATACACAGCGGCCACCTTTTCCCCTTCCTTTGTGTACGTTAGCTGCCAACGTCTTGTGGTTTCCTCGCTTCCCCTGCTTTACTTTCTCGAGCTTTTTTTCCTTGTGCGGTGGACAGCAGCGTTCAACACACGTTTTGATACCGACATGTAAGAGGGAACCGAGACAATGAAAATCTATAAAAAAAACGAACATAGTACAAACGGGCGAAAAAAGACAATGCCACACTGCGGCAGACGGCTGATGCGGGCGAGTCTCATGGAATTGGCAGCGATCTTGAGATACACACAAAATGGTCTGCTGCGTGTTTGAAGCACTCTTCTTCCTCAAGGTTGCCATCGTTTTCTCTTTCTTTGGCTTTGTGAAAGAGCGCCGCATGGCCTTGCAAGCAAAGAACTTTGTGTCCGCTTTGAGCACGTTGTCTTCCGGAGCTCCTGGTGCGAGAGACACACACACACGTGAAGCTGGGCAATTACTGCTGACCTGCCACTAGAAATTTCCTCTCTCACCCTCTGTCCTTCCTTCTTCAACCGTTTCATTCGCTGTTGTTGCTTCCGTCGCTCTGATATCGCTGCAACGTAAGAGTCATCTTTTTCCTCCTTCACGCTTTTCTTCGTTCAACCACACGCAACCGATGACGACGCGGGGGGAAATCGAGAAGCTCATTCGCACGCACAGCGCCGAGACCGGCTCGCTCGCGGCTGCGCTGCAGCGGCTGCCGGACCTCCTTCTTGCTCCGGCTCAATCCCGACGGGCCGTCGACGTCTTTCCTTCCTGTCATCTCGCAGGGGCGGTGGAGCAGCTTTGCAGGTGCCGCGGCATGATTCAAGAGGTCCAACCGGAGGTGCATCTCTTCTGTGCTTCCCGGCAGCACCTCCTCTCTCCCGCCGCTGCTGCTGCTCCGACGCCCGCCCATTCCGCAGAAGACGACCCGCTGGAGTTCATGGATGCCGTGTCGCTCTATGTCATTCCTGTTCCCGGCAACGATCACTTCTACACGGTGGACGACGCCACCGCGCCGAGCACGGAAGCCGCACGCGCCACGTCGTCCAGCGAGGCGCACGCAGAGCGAAAGCGCCGTGATCGAGGGTGTGGACCGACGCCGGCTGTTCCTGCGAACACGGCGGAGCACAGCGCTCCCCTCTGTGAGGAGGAGGAAGGCGATCGCAGTCGCAAACTGGCCAAGATAGCCGTAGGCAACGTAATGGCCGATGTCGCCTCCCCCGACGCTGCGCTGGTCGGTGGTCTCTCCCTCAACCTTCCGCACCCGTCAAGACACCCGCAGCTGCAGACGGCTTGCGTTGTGACGGTGCTGCTGCCGTCGATGCCGCCCAACGGCGACGCGGACCGGCGCCGCAGCCCGTTTCGAGTGAATGACGTGATTGATTTTTACGGCTTTCAGCACTTCCCAGATGATCAGCTGGCGGTGAACGAGGACGACGACTTTCTGCGCTTCAGTGCGTGGAATGCGACGGAGCTGTCGAAGGGGCTGGTGAGTCGTTTGCTCTGCCTCGCCTACAGTCCGGTGTCGTCGGTGCACTTGCCCTACGCTGTGTCCACCGCAGCTCTGCAGGCGGCAGACGTGGCGGAGCATCGCACCCACGCTCTGCGGTATCTCTCCGAGCACCTCACGGAGGGCGACGAGTTGGCGGCGGCGTACGTGCTGCTGCATCTGTGCGCGAAGGTGTGCACGCACAGCGACGCCCTGCCCGTGGGCGACCTACCGCTCCTCGTCACGTCTCCCCGCCTGTGCGCGGAGGAGTGGTCGCTTCAGCTGCGCCGCATCACGCCGGTGGCGGAGGTGTTCTTGCGAAGTGAGGCACTGCGCGCCGCCGCACCTACACGACTCACGCCGCGGTACAACAACGAGCTGAATTATCTTCAGTCCGGTCTGCTGCAGGTGGCGAACGGCTCGCACGTCACTATTGACTGCACGGCACTCGGCACGCACGATGGCGCATGGTACGAGGGGATGTTTGCGCTGGTGCACAAGCAGCTGCTCCTCTTGGAGTACCCCTATCAAACGCTGGAGCTGCCGGTGGACGTCACGGTGCTCGCGCTGCACGCCGCGCCAGACTTGGCAGCCCTACACCCGCTATTTCAGTTTGCGGTGTGTGTGTGCTGGGAGCCGTCGTCGCGGTCACCCGAGAAGGACGCGGCGCAGAGCTCGTTGCCCGCCAGCGATGTCGTGCGTCGATACCTGGCTACAGTGCGACAGCTCCCCGCCAAACTGGAGGAGTTGGACGAGTCCGTTTCGGCCCAGGCCTCCGCGGCGCTGCTGGAGATGTCGCACGACATTCCCGGCTGGAACAATCGCGACCCGCTGCTGCACAACAACTCCTTCTCCGTCGCAACGGCCCTCATGCGGGCTCATGCGGCAAGTTGGGGGCGGAGTAACTTCACGGCGGACGACATCGCGATGGTGCGGCAGCTGGAGCGTGCCCGCGTCGCCCGGCTAAGGGACGCATCCGCCTGAGTGTGAGAAGAGGTGAGCTGCTGCGGGAGTCTGCGTTGTTGGGTCTGCGAACGGAAGAGGCGATTCCGTAGTAAAAGTGCCAAAGAGGTCGTCGACACCGGATTTTTTCTTTTCGTTTATAAATGTAGCGGCGGCTCACCGGCGTTTTCAGGGAGCTTATTACGCCGGCGATAGATTGTATAGAAGCATCTGTCTCTCGTTCTTTTTGTTTGCTTTGCGACGTGCTCGGCCAGCGTAGAGAGCTTCATAGAGCTTTAAATAAAAAACTGGAAAGGAAAAATAATGCAATGACAACTGGTTACTTTTAACGGTCGTTTTTTTGTTCCTTCTGTTCTCGCTGCTGTTGCTTCAGCGTCACAGATCGACAGAATTTGGCCATTCAATGGACGCCGTAATTCCTCGACACGTTCTCCCATGGATCATCCGCACGAAGGTGCTGGTCTGCCGTGCTTCACTTCTTCTTTATTCCATTTCTTTATGAGTATCTTCCGTTTCGATTTCGGCGTCTTCTGTCTCGCTTTACGGTTTGCAACTCTTCTGGTGCTTTCCTGCCCCAACACAACATCATCTACATACGCACATCCGTAGTCTTCGTTACGCTGCGCCTCCTCGCCTCTTCATCTTCCTGGTCTATTAACCGATATATACGTCTTGCTCTATACACATGTCCCTCCATGAGGTCGCCCCTCACTCCTACGAGCTCGATGACGCCCATCCACTGGTGAAGCTGCTGAAGAAGAACTACCGCTGGTACTCTCCCAAGTTCTCGCCGCGTGATGTGCCGGTGTTCGCTGATGTGAGCAGCGTGACCGAGTCGCCGGAGACGATGAAGGCGATCCGCGATTATCTCGTGGCGCGCTACAAGGCGATGACCCCACAGCCGACCCACATTCTCGGTTTTGATGCGCGCGGGTTTTTGTTCGGGCCGATGGTGGCCGTTGAGCTCGGCATCCCGTTCGTTCTCATGCGCAAAGCGGAGAAGAACGCTGGCCTGCTCATCAAGAGCGAACCGTACGACAAGGAGTACAAGGAGGCGGCGCCGGAGGTGTTGACTATTCGCTGCGGCAGCATTCGCAAAGGCTCTCGCGTGGTGCTGATCGACGACGTACTCGCGACCGGCGGCACGGCGCTCTCCGGCCTGCAGCTGGTCGACGCGAGCGGGGCGGAGGTGGTGGAGATGGTGTGTGTCTTGGCGATCCCCTTCCTCAAGGGAGTGGAGAAGGTGCACTCCACCGCCAACGGCCGCTACAAGGACGTCCGCTTCATCGCGTTTCTCTCCGACGAGAAGCTGACGGAGGAGAACTGCGGCGACGTGAAGGATTACAGTGGCCCGCGTGTGATGAGCTACGGTGATGCTGTGAACGCGCACTTATCTTGAGTGCCGTGCGGGAAGAGGAGAAGTAATTATTTGCAATCGTTTGCGCTGTTTCTCCCTTCTTCTCTGCCCCTTTTTTTTTTGGCAGTTGCTTGTCGTGGAGTTGCTCCTCACCTGTCGCTGCCTCACAGTGCCAAGAGGAGTTGAAAAAGTTTTATTTGTTGATGGATGCTTATCTTCTTCACACGATCGATGGGCGTGCGCACTCGAGCGTGCAGACAAATAAAGGCGTAGCCGTCCGCAGGCTTTGCTACATGTACGGCAGAAGCGCAGTGCCCAATCGAGTCAACCGCATACGATCGCTCTACGTCACGGCGAGTAGGTAGTGCTGGCTTTGATGCCATCAGTAAGAGTCGATTGGTTTTTCGTTTCTGTGTATGGTGAAAAAATCCCCGTGCCTCGTCGCCTGCGCGTGCACGAGTGCAATTTGGGAAGCGCGGCCTCCACCACTGTTGACCCGGTGGACCAGCGCGCTGTATTCTCTACGCCCCACCGACGGGGGTCACGCCGACCTCGAACGCCTCTTTATCCGGCTTTTCCCTTCAGCGACAACTATGTCCATGCTGACGTGTCCACGCACGCATGTCACCTCTCTTTCTTATTTTGTTTACTCCACGAACCTGGAAAGGAAAAAAAAAACGGACGTAGCGGACTTTAACGTAACTTAAGAGGCGTCTTTTTCTCTCTTTTTAGCCTAACCAGCACCCCATCCCGGTCCAGCAAAGAGAATCGAAGAAGAGAAACGTGGCGGACGTGAAGGGGGAAAAGGGAAAAGTTACTGAACCCATGAACGAATCTCAGCGGTTCCTTCAACTGTCAGTTTGCCTTCACCCTACAGCTTACAGAAGATTAGCGAATGCGCAGGGTGCCGTACAGGTGGGCGGCACCAGCGCACTTCAAACTGCGGTTCGAGGAGGCGTGAATTGCGCCGCTCCACAATTGTGGGCTGCTGGCAGGTGTGTTGAAGCAGCACTTTTTCTGTTTCCATTAAACTGCAGGATGTGCTGCTGTTGTGTTTGGCCAGCGACCATCTAATCTTTTGGTGATCTGTTTTCCTGTTTTCCTCTTCTCCACTCCACCGTTCTCTTTTCCTTGCGTTCACACATGTGTTTGACTACGAACCCCTCTGGCACCAAAGGAGTAGTCTGACACAGGCGATTGAGTCAACTCCGCCATTTCTGTGTTTTTTATTCTTCTTTCTTAGCTCTTTTTCCCTCTCCTAGTTAGCCTTCGCTTTCAGTAACGGACAACATACATCGACTCTCTTTCACTATATATATAAACATCTTCAAAAATTGTCTTCTATTCCCTATCAGGTATCTTTCTCTCTTTTAGGTTTTTTTCCTCCGTGCTCTCACCTCAAAAAATAACATCAACGTTGAGGAAAGCCAAGCGTAAACACAGGCGGGTTTTCATTGCTGTCAGAGTCTCTTTTTGATCGTCTTCGACAGGGTTACACAGCACCTACTTCTCTGAAGAATCGAACGCAGTGGCGACATCATTGTTAACAGCTGTTCCTGCTTGCTGGTGTGAAGTTGCTTTCCTTCTCTTGTTGCTAGTGATATAGATAAATATTACTATCATTTACCTTCGCTACAATGTCGTATCGCGATCTCATTGAGATGGGTCCGCACCATTACATGCTGAGCCCCCGCCACCCGCTCTCGAAGGGACTGACCAACGCGGCTCAGTTCACCTGCCTGACGGCGGCGCAGCCGAAGCAAATACCGCGGCTGTACGACGTGAGCAGCATTACCATGAACCCGAAGCTCTTTCACACGCTTATGCACTTCCTCGCCAACCGCTACCTCTCCATGGGCAAGAAAGGGCCGACGCACGTTCTCGGGATCGAGACGCGTGGCTGCTTCATCGCGGCGCCGCTCGCCTTCCTGCTCGACCTGCCCTTCGTGCCGATGCGGCGGGAGGACATCTCGGAGATCGAATTCGTCTCCGACGGCGAGGACAAGCCGCCGTCGCGGCCGATTGGCGTCAAAGAAGGCAGCATTGACAAGAACTCGCGCGTGCTGATAGTGGACGACTACATTTCGACCGGCAATACGATGGACTCCGCTATGGATTGCGCGGTGATTGCCGGTGCGACGATTGTGGAGGTGGTGGCGATGTGCGACACGTCCGCTGGCGGCGGTGTGGAGTTGATCCACAAGGAGAAGACCTTCACAAACATTAACGTTGTCACGCTGTTCCGCTTGCGCAACGCGCTGGATGTCCTCGAGTACAAACGTCTTCTAAAGTCTAACTATTGAGGATTGAAAAAGAATAGACGATCATCTAGCGGAGATTTTTCTTTTTTAATTGTTTTCTGCCTCTGCGCATCTGCCTCAAAAAGCATGTGCTCTTTGGCCACTTCATCGGATGCGGCGTTGGCTCGTCCACGCCATATAAAGCATCCGTGTCGTTCAGCGCGGTGGTGTAGTCGGACAGATTTTATTCGCTGTACTGGTGTGTCATCTTGTCTGTATCGTTTAGCGTGTGTGAAGCAGGTGGGTGTATACGCCGTGACAGCACTCACGCATCTGCCTTTGAAATCGGCGCTGCATGCGAAGTGGGAAAAAAATGACAGAAAAAGGTCTGCTACGTTGTGGTTGTGTTGTGTGCATAGTATTGTTGATAGGTGGCGGCGTGTCTGCAGTGCTTCTTGCTGGTTCAACGGGGGCACTGTGTGAATTGCACCACTTGCTGTGCTTGTCTTTGCTTACCAAAATTGCAGCTTCAAAAAGAATCCGTTTGCACATAGCGGCTTTGTTCTCGTTTTCAACTTCTTTTTTTTTTCTATTTGCTTGTCCACGCGGCCAACGCACCCCATCGCGTTGTGATGGGATTTAAGAGCATGCACGAAGACACAAAACAAAAATTCTTCTTTTTTCTTGACGAACGACCAGCCTTTGCTTTTTTGCTGTTCCACCCTCTTTCTATATGCATCTACCTATATAGGCGTACGACGTAGTTGATCTGTCATTCACATCCACGACGAAGCCAGCAAACACGGGGCTCCTTTACTCCTCTTTAAGCGATACACAAACCGTAATATACGTCCAAAATAAATACAAAAGAAATGAAATGAAAGGCCTCAACACGTTTGTAACTTTACAAACAGCAAAAGCAACAAAAGGTGCTTCACCACCTGCGGCTCCACGTAGTAAGTTCCCGAAAGCAGTCACCCGCATCCACATGAGCAACGTATGCAACTCGGCGTTGTGAAATACAGCGCACATATGAGAACGGCAAAAGGTGATCATCTAGTCCCACGTGGACTGTGGATGTAACAGTCTATCGGATGCGCGAGCGGTATTTTAATGTGAGTGCTATCCTCTGCTTGTTTTATCTGCCGAAGTTGAATGCCTATTTTTTTTGTTCCACAGCTCTTCTGAACTCTCCATTTCCCCCCTCGCTGTTCCCCTGAGTTGATGTTCTTGTCTTTTTTCTAACTAGTGAATTAGTGCCGAGAACCTTTTTACTGTGGTGCGCTCCTCTCGTAGTAGGTGTCATTCAACGCCCTCCATTCCTCCGATTTTTATTTCCGCTGTTCTGTGGGCCGAAGAAGCTGTCGTGCGTCTTCACTCTCGGGTTTGTTTGTCTGCTTGGCCGCACTGCAGAGAGTACGTCGGCAGTGCTCCCCACTCCCACACACCCCACCGTTGGTAGCCTTCGGTATTGTTAAAGCCGGTGCTTTTCCCAAAGCGGCCGCGCAGCTGAGCCATTTTCCACGCGGCTCCCTTCACGCGAATACACACGTTTCAATAAAGACAGAAAATCGTTAACGTTTGCGATTCATTTCACGCTGCCTTTTATTTGATTTCTTTTCTTCTCGTCCTCTCGCTCAGCGTCATGCCGTCGTATGTTGAGATCACTGGGTCCGTCATGGCGATGGCGCTCATGTCGGACCAGACCCTCTTTACCCTCTACCACTCGAACAGCTACGCGGCAAACCCTGTCATGCTGCGCAGCCCGAAGCCGATGGTGATGCGCGATGTCTTTCTCACTAAGTGCACCTCCTTCTTCCCCAATCCGCTCTCCTGCCTGTACGTGGCAAACCTGACAGACTGTGTTACGAATTGCGCCATGGCGTGGACGGTGGCGAAGCCGATCACGGAGGTGCTGGGCTGGCGGCACGCCGTGGGCCTCTATATCGGCGCCGGCTTCTTCTCCAGCTTCGCCTACATCTTTGCGATGCAGGTCAACAAAGCTAAGGCGAATTCGAAGTTTGACTGCACCGCCACGAGCAACGGCTCCTACGCTGCCTACGCGACGCTGGCGCTCATGATGCCGAGGTGCTACATTCCGTATCTGAAGCGGGCACCCATTATGTGGCTCGCCGTGCCCTACCTGCTGAAGTGCACCTATGATGAATACATCTCGCCGAGGTTTGTGGAGCGGCGACGGCCCGGTGACATTGAACTGCGCAACTGGGGCTTCGTCGGTGGCGTCTTCTTTACTCTGATCTACAGTAGCTTGTTCTTCCGCACACGTAGCGACTTCACACTAGCAAGGATGTTTTTCAAGAATATTCAAAAGAGCGCCACGAAGGCGGCTGCATAGCACAGCGTAGCAGCAACAATACTACAGGGAAAACGTAGAACATCGCTTTAGTGGTGCAGCATGGAAAGAAAGAATCAAACTTTGGACTGCTTCGGTGGACCGAGTGCGAGCAGGAGATGCGCTAGAAGGAGGGGGAGGAAAGAGGGATGAGGGATGAAATGATAGCCGTCGTGGGACTGCTCGACGTATCCCCATTATTTTCCGTAAAATGAGGAGTCGGTTGTATATTTCGTTTCATGCCCTTTTTGTTTTATGCATTTCGTTTTATTTTGTAGCACTCACTCGTTCACCCATATTTCGGTCATCACACATACTACCAATCTTTTTTTTTTCTAAAGAAAGGAATGTGAGCATCGTTCTATCGGCCGCCGTTCGTCGCCTCTTCCGTCGGCATCGTCCAGTGTGCGTGGCCAAGTTCGAGCGCAGCAAGCAAACAAAAAAGAAAAGATATTGGTAAGTGAAACGAATTTGTGCGTCGTCATCGGCTATGTCGTCTGTGTACGAAACAACGCCCTGCGTGAGTTTTATGGCAGCCTCTGCGAATCGTGTTATTTTTTTTTTTGTGGTATCCTCCGTCATCTCTGCGTAGCGAAGGCGCCGTCGCATTTCTTCGTGGCATTCGCGTTGTCGATGACTTTTGCCTTTGCCGCCCACTCGTCTCCCGTTTGTCTCTGCGTCCCTGTTACCATACGCGCCCTTTGCTACGACCGACACACCACCCGTTAAACACACACACACACACACAACGTCTTGTGTTCCTTTTCTTTTTTTTTTCCACCAAGAGGGAGTTGCGCAGCGGCTGAACTGCCTGTGTTCGGCACTCCGTCGTCCTTTTAAGCCTTCTACGTCGCTAAGATTGACCGCTGTCCCGTCATTGTTGCCCTCTCTTTCGGCGTTCCGTGTGTGCGTGCGTGTGTGTGCTTGCGTGGGCCAGGGAGCGGAAATAAAGCGTCTGATAGCATCAAAAAAGAAAGTGGAGCGACTTCGTCACCCTTCTCCATCCGCGAGAGGTACTAGAAGGCGTGAGTGCGTCGGTGGGTGGATTTGTTGGTGTCCCTCTGCACATGAATTGGCAATCGAATATATATTAATATATATTTATATATTTGTTTATGTATCGTAACGTAACGAGCTCCATTGTCTTGTCTTGTCTTGTCTTGTCTTGTCTTGTCTTGTCTTGTCTTGTCTTCTTTTTGATAATAACCTCTTCACAAACTTCTCTTCCTCTTTCTATTCGTCACACCTGATTTTCTTCTCTATGAAGGGAATTATGCAGTACGCGCCGTGTTGCGATGCAGTGAGTGCACTGTCCGATAGTGAAGTTCGGTCCAGCAAGCCGCGGCTGTTCAGCGCCGCCTTCTCGCACCTCGACACAGCGCAACTGCCAAAGGTGCTGCAACTGCGCCCATCTTCTTCCCTTACTGGAAACGCGCCGTTGTGTTGCGGAAGCGAGTCGGGGCCGACCTTGCCGACGCTGCTTCCACATCGTGAGAGCCGGCGCTTTCTCGCGCTTATCGACCTCTTCGTGAACAACGAGAAAATTCAGCTGAACCTGGAGTCGTGCCGCCTGCCCTGCGCCTACGAAGTTCAAATCCTGCCTGACCTGATCGACCGGCAGGCCCGCCGCTACAACGACCAAACGGAACTGCGTTTTTCGCTGCACGTGCGGCACTGCAGCATCAAGGCACGCAACCTGTACCTCTCGCTGCGCTTTCCGTGGGGGACGACACACTACCTGGGACCCCTTGCGCAGCAAACGGTTGTCTCCTCGGCCCGCTTTGTCAGCGACCTGCCGACGTCCGTCACGTTGGTGCTGGACGTGGATCACTGCATCCCGGAGGAGCTGGACGCCCCGCTGCCGTGCGAGATGTTGCTGAAGGAGCACGTGAAGACGATCCTCGAAAACGACGACTTCTGCGGCTCCATCGCCGCCGCCCACGTGCAAAACCTCGTCCGTGATTTCCCCTTCTACGCGGCGGCCATGCGGCGCTTCCGCAATTGGTCCGAGTACGTCATCCTCTTCGCCGATTTCTACGGATGCTGGGGGACGGTTCAGTACGAGGAAGAAGAGCACGCCACGCTGGGGCTGAGCAGCCTGACGCCGCCCGGCGAGCTGCGGCTCGTGGCGAACAGCTTTGCCTCCCGCTACGCCCGCTCCGACGTACACCGCGACAAGATTAAATGGCGCGCCTTGTGCGACTTCCGCGATCAGGTGTTGGAGGGGAGCGCGGATGTTTGCAAAGCTGTCTGTACAAGTCGCAAAGGTGAAACGACGCTCCGCCTTTCTCGCAATTTTATGCGTGCGCTGAGTAATGAAGGGAGCTTTCGCACGCTGAACAGCGTGAATTACCTGCACGTGTTGGAAAGTCTGATGGAGTCGCGTTTTGTCTTATTCAATGAGCTGCATCCTATTCAGGTGGACTCGTGTATGCTGCCAAACACGTCCGAAGAGTTGCTGCTGACGGTAGGGTCGAGATAAGAGACCCGTCTTCATCTGTCAGCAATGTTATTTTAGGTTTCTTATTTTCCCCTCTGTGTTGTTTTTTGGTTTTCATACAGATGACGGTTTTCTGCTCCAGAATTAATTTCCTTCTCCTTTTTTTCAATTTTTTTTATGTCGCATGCGAAGGGAGGTCGCATTCGTGTGCGCTCCTCCCAACTTGTGAATACTGTGCGCCACAACGCTCAGTTTTCCGCCTCCTCCTTTTCGTTTCCCTTACCGCTATTCCAGTTGACTTTATTAAATTCTTTCTGTGTTGTTTTCGTTGTGTTTCGTCCGGTGCGTGGGTGAGGAAGAGGCGTGACGAAGGCGGAAGAAAGCACCTGTTGCCGTTGCGGGCCCACATTCTCTCCTTTGGTTGCCTGCGGTGCTGTGCCCGATCTCCGTGCCGCCTGCCTCGGGTGTCGTGTATTTCCTGCGGTGCTATCTTTCTTTTTGTTTTTTTTGTATTCGGCGAGGTGCGATGAGCGAGGGATACCGGCGGCATTTGCGGCCCCCAAAGTGGGCCGATGTATCCGTGTGGGAAACGCAGGTTCCCGGACTTCGTCACCGCCTCAACAGTGTCCCGATTTAGTTTGCTGTTCAATTTCATTCTTCGTTTCTTAAGAAAAAAAAGAAACAATAATAATATCAAAAGAGACAGTTGTGGAGGTGGCATGGGTCCAAAACTAACGAACGTCGACGTGCGTGCTAGCGTGTCGACAGGTGCTGCGCGTCACACGGCGAAGAGCTTTTTTTTTCATTTAATTTTTGCTTTGTGGAGTTCTCACTTAGGAGTCTTTCAACGACGTTCAATCGTTTCCTCAGAGTACTCCCTCTTTTTTTTTTCTTGGATGCGTTGAAGCCGGTTTCCCACAATGAACATACGAAGGAGAAAGAGAAGCGCATAGCTCGAAGTGCATTTGGAGGTGTGGAGTCGTATGCGGTTCGGCTGTGCCTCCAACGAGCGCCACTGTGAATGCACGAGCGAACTTTTGTGCAGCACCGCCATCAAACACGAATTTAAAGTCCCGAGTAGCGTCGTGAAGGCTTTTGCGGAGGATCTTTGGAACCTTTTCCCACCGCCGCCTCCTTTTGGCGCTACGCTCTAGTGTGTGTGAGTGAATGGACGCTTTGCAGATGCTCCTCTCCTGCTCCCCTCTTCGATGTCTTCTTCCAGAAAAAAAAAACATCACTTCACTGCTGACTTTCGCTAAAAAGGCAGTCACCTTTTCGCCAAGCGCTCTCATACACATTCAAGTATATATTGATATAAGGTAGGTTATTCAATTGGAAGAACTTCACAATGCCGGGTCGCCACGGAAAGCAGCGCGTGAAGCGCAAGAAGTCGAAACGGCTCCCCGTGACGGAGATGGAAAAGACGCTGAAAGATAGCATTCACGGTCGCAAGCGAAAGGAGAAGAGCATTCTCAAGAACCTCATTCCTCCTCAAATCACGCCGAAGATGAACAAGGTGGCTGTGTCGACGTCACTACCGATGTTTCAACCCCCGAAACCGAAGAAGAAAGCGTGAAAAGCAACAACAAAGAGCTATACCAACTTGTTTTTATTTGAGTCGTGCTCAACCACGGTGAACCTGTCGCTAATGCTGTAATGTCGGTTAATGCGTGTTAGTTAACTACGAAAGCTGAGAAAAAGGAGGTGGTCTGGTGCGTGAGTGCATCAATGCAAGGTGCGCATCAACGAAACGTGTCTCTTACGTTTCTAATGCCGCAGTTAAACATACAACTTTTGTCCATTTGGTTTTTTGTTTTCTGAGAGAAGGCCGTTGTGTGCTCTTTCCTTTGCAGCACCGTCCCCACGTTACGCTCTTTTGCGTTGCGGATGTCGAACCTTCCTCGCCGTAGAAAGCACCTTATGTTCGCACACCTGCTTGCAATACAGCTCCTTTGCGTTTACTCGCCGCTTCTTTCTCCCTCCTCCCTCTCTCTCTTCTCTCTTTCGTTGTTGGCTGTGGGTATCAAATCATACATCAACATTCGCGGGAGCTGAAAAAGTTTTTACTCTCTTTGCTGGTGCCGCCGTTTGCGTCTCCCGTTGTCCTTCAGCATGGATCAGAAATGCACGTATTGCTTTCTCGACATTGGGCCAGTGATGACCACCGTTACGACTTCCTCGGCGAATGAGGTGCACACGTGGGAGGTGGCGACACCTGCCAGTGTCGGGGCAGCTTCAGTGAATATGGAAGCTCTCCTCGTGAACGGATGCGGCGTTGCGGTCGTGGATGCGTTGCTGCGGCGAATAGCGAAATCGGCACATCTGGCGACGGTGGGTCACATCGTCCTCCTATCACGTCACGACACTGCACATGATGTGTTTTATCGCTATGTGCTGCGTTGGTTGCACGGTGCGTGCCCCTCCTCCACGCCGGTGAGTGTGATGCCCCTCCCCCTCTACGCAGCACGGCTGGCCGGCGTGGAGAGTGCGGTGGTGGTGGAGTGCCACGAAGGAGTTGTGATGTGCACACCCGTTCTGGAGGGCGTTGTGGCCTCCGACGCGGTAGCTCACTGGGGAGACGTGCGAGAAGCGACCGCATCCGATGCACTTCGCAGTCTACCCGAGTGCTGGCGGCACGTGTCTCGTGCTGTCATGACGGCCATGTCTGCAGCAGCGCGGTTGCTTGACGACAGCGAGCAGAACAGCAGAAGCGGCACACCCTTTCCCCATTCGAGTGACGACGTTCACAAGAACGAGGTTGACCGCAGGTTAATCGATGCAATTCCTTTTGTTTACGAGATGGAGCAGCACCTCCGGATTTGTCGACGGCGCGAGCTAGACGCGTGCTTATCCACAGTGGTTCTGTACGGTGACGTTGCGACGGTGGTGGAGGCGCGCTACTGCCTGGGGCTGCTTCTCTCGATGTTTCTTCCGGACAGCCTCGTCACATGGTGTTGAGCAAAGCAAAGAGGTTTTCTTCTGCTGTTGTTGTTGTTGTCGACCTTCTGCTCTTTATCGAATTGTTTCACTTCCGCTTCACACTGGCTGCTGAAAGCAGTGACGAAGAACTGTAAAGCTTTCTGCCTCCGCAATCGGCTCCAAAACAAACACTTCACAGACTAATTCTTTTTTGTTTTTTGAGGGAGGAAGGGGGGGGGGTATGCAACAATCTTGAATTACAAATGATTGTGTGTCCTCGTTACGAGTAGGCGTTGTATGGCGCCTGCTCCGGCGTATTAAAACTGCATCGTTTCTTTTCTTCTTTCTCTCTCTCTTTCGCTACTCCAGCACGCACAGAAAACATCAGCGAGTTTCGTTGGTTTTTCATTTTCGATTATTCAACTCCCAGCTGGCCACTATGAGCCTTCCATCTCCTTCCCCAGACCCGGCGTCGTCAGGACAGCTTCCGACGCAGCAGACGCTCGCAGACCGCATTCGGCAGAACCAAGAGGAGCAGCGGCGGTGTGTCGGTGCACGTCGCCACGTTGGCCTGACGGTGCCCACCGAGGCGGAGGTGGCCGCCATTCTGTCGGCACGCACCACCGCTGCCACGCGCGACCACCAAGACGAATTGGAGGACGATGTCGAGCGGACCGGCGTCACGGCGCTGCGCTGCTACGACGTCTCGCTCGATGAAGCCGCCGATGATGTCTTTCAGGCACCGCCTCACCTGAGCGACGTGCAGGTGCGTCAAGACTTGGCGCGCCCTCTGAACAAGCTGATGGCTATCTTTGCGCTGCGCCTGCGATTGGCGAGTGTGTTGGAGACGGTGATGTCAGCTCGGGACGGCAAGCAGGCACGGCTGGGCAACACCAAAAGTGACGAACTCCGAGAAGGAGAGGGGAGTCACTTCCCGCTCCCGTCAGCCTCCGCGCTTCCGCAACTCAGCACCCTCCTACGCGAGCTGCCACTGCCCGATATCGTGTCCCACACGCTTTGCAGCTACGATGCGGGGGAGCACGCCTCCGCCCAGCTGTTCGACGTGCCTCGTAGCCGTCCGCTCCACGAGCCCTTTGTGTTTCGCCTGCGTCACTTCACAACGGTAGGGATGCCGTCCTTTGCGCTGGACATCGCCGCACAGGCGGACAAGGAAACAAAAGGCGGCACGGTGGACTCGTTATCTTTGGGGGCGGCGCAGGTGCCCGCGATGGACGTGCCGCAGCCGTCGTCGTCGCCGTCTGCCGCGGCTCTGCTTGGGAGCGGTGTAGACGCTGTGAAGAGTGCCGGGGGCCTGACGTCGTCTCTGACGCGCGTTGCTTCGGAGGCACGCAGCGCGCGCCACCCGCGTGAGACACCAGCGGACAACACTGGTGGCGCGGACGCAGAAACATTTCCGGCTGTTCTGCCCAGCAACGCACGTGCCGGCTGCGCGACAGGCCTTATGCATCCGCAAGGTATGTGACGGTGTGGGCGTGCCTGTGTGTGTCTGTGTGTGTCTGTCTGTGAGTGAAAGAGGCAGACCGAGGGAACCTGTTTCGCCCTTTTCGACTTTTTTTCCCTCTTTGTGTTCGTGATGTATTCAATTCAATGCACCAGTTTTGGCGACTGTCTCTATGAACTGTAAATGAAAGCAGGCGTAGCATCCGCCGGATTGCATCGCCCCACTTTATCTCTTCCCTACATAATGGCAGAAAGAGAAGAAAATGCGCAGTGGGGAAACCGTTTGTCGTCGTGGGGAAGAGTATCGTGGGAGGCAAGTACAACCGCATACCTCCGCATCACTGCAACGCGGCGACTGTCTCAACTGGTCTTACATTGGTGGAGTGGCGATGATGGTGGTGCTCATCACTTTGTCGGTGATCATGGCCCTCAAATTCGTTCTCTTTCTCCTTGCTTACGTACTTTATCATGAATGTACCCTCTTGCACAATAGCGCGCTCTTTTCCTTTAGCAGCTGGGTTTTTTTTTTCTCTCATGTCGCTCAACGTATCTCTTGGCCCGTGGAAGGCCGACAGCGCGGTGGCCAACTGCGAGTCGTGTGGGGCCGCCTTCAATTTGTTTCACCGCCGCCACCACTGTCGCTGCTGCGGCGGCATCTTTTGCTCCACCTGCACCGCCCAGACTTTTGTGATCCCGACCTACCCCTCCCTCATCCCGCAGCGTGTGTGCCGGGAGTGCCACGCACTGCTGTCTTCGCGCGAGACCGGCCGCAGTCAGCAGCGCGACCGGGCCCTACTGCAGCAGTTCCAGGAGCACAACTCGCTCGATGGTGACCCGTTGGGGCGGTGCTCTCACGCTTCGCAGCGTCGCGAACAGCGCGACAGCGGCGGGCCGCTTGTCCACCGATCCCTGCGTGTGTCGTCGATAAACTCCGACGACATCGACGGCAGCTTTGTGGACTGTGTCGAGCGCACCGACACGGGGGATGACGACGCGGCTGACGCCGTGTCCTCTGCCGTGGCGGGCGTGCTCTCTTCGTGGAGCGAGCAGCAGCACAGGAGTAGCGTGTCGTTTCTCCCCGTACTGAAGGACAGCATCGTGCGTAGCGGGGAGCTGCCGCTGCTGAATGTGCTGCTCTTTCCCTCACCGCAGTGCTACACAGTGAGCGTGTTAATGCTGTCGAAGGAGGACACCATGCGAGATCTTATCCTGCGACTTGCGGAGCAGTACTTCAAGCTGGCCAACGGTCCGTTTAAGAAGATCACCGACTCTGCCAAGGAGGACTTGTGCTCGTCGCTTCAATTCTACTCCGAGATGCAGTCCATCTCACCCGACCTATCTGCCATTGAGGTAGCGGCGCACTGCACCCACGTGGTGCTCACGACGCTCTCTCCCAGCGGGTTTGAGAAGGAGCGTGACAACTCCACGCAGGAGTCCTCGCTGCTTCACTTCTTTGGTCAACACGATGCTGTTTCCGTGGGGAAGACGGAGTGACGCGTTGCGATGCAGCTGAAGACGGCATCATCAGCAGCTGTAGTAGTGTTGCTGGACAACGAGACTCTCACCTGCAGCCACGTCCAACTGTAGAACTCAACCGTTGGTCGACAGTTTTTATTCTCTCGTTTGTTCTGGAATGCCCATGAATGTGCTTTGGTGCTTGTTTCTTTTTGTGTTGCTATACGGAAAAAAACTGTGTTTTATATATTTTCATGGTTCTCATTTGATTACTTGCTCTTTTGTTGTGTGTGTGTGTGTGTGTGTGTGTGTGTGACGAGGTGCATCGACATTCCAAAGCGCTTCCATTCAGCGCTCTACGTTCGTGTGTCGGACTGGCCGCTCGCATCTCCTCAACGGTTTCTATGCCTTTGCCGATTCTGCCGCTTCAAATGTGGGAAGGATGCCGGCGAGAGTTGCGGCGTTGTAAATGAACTCTCCTTTTCGTGTGTGCTTTCTTTCACCGATTCTCAGCGCGTGTCTTTTTTCGGTGTTTTCTTTTTATTATCTTGCAGCACTTTTCTTCGTCGCTTCCACATCGATTCATTGTTTCCTTTTCTTTTTTCTTTCTTATTTCGTTCTCTCTGCTCTGATTATTTCTGTTTTTGTCTTTCTCCGTCCTTGGTGTGTCTATCGCTGCTTATATTGTTGATGAACCACGCAAGATTCGTGTGCAAGGAGCCTTTGAGCGAATGTGGGAGGACTACCTCCCTCGCACGCTGGCATGCAAGCCACTCATTTTGCAGATTCGCAGCCGCTCTTCTGCATTAGTCTTTGTGTTCAACGGCCCCCAAAAAAGAACTCATCCCCGTCTTTTCCAACGATGCTCACGTCCTGAGGTCCACTTTTTCTGGCGGACTTGTCGATGCGTATGTGTCCCATTAAATGGAAGTGCTAGGGCTCGTAAACTTCTCCTCTCCTCTCCTTCCCCCCCCCCTCCCCCATCTTCTCGCCGTCAGCACACTGCAAATACTTCATAACATCGTGTTCTTTTGCATGCGATTTGTTTCGCACCAGCACCGTAAGCCAACCACAAACATCGCTGTCCTGATGGACGTGTCTCAGTTTCTCAAGTCTTTCAAGAAGAACGTCGCCGCTAAGGGCAAACGCGTCTCTGCGGTGGGTCCAAGCGCCGGCGTTACGGATGCGACGGAAGCGGAAGAGCTGAGCGAACTCCTGCACTCCGACAGCGATCACGAGACAGAGGGGCCGTCGGCGGACTACGTGGTGGGCGGTCGTGCGGACCGCATCAACGGGAAGCGCTACGCCGCACACGAAAAGCACAATCAAGAGTTCGAAGCTCTCAAAGTCTTCAGCACCAACGTCAGTCGAGCCGACGAGCCGGGACGCCTGCAGCGGCAGCGCGCCGCCGTGGCTCAGCAGCTGAAAACCTCACAAAAGCGTCCCCGGGCAGAGTTGGTCGCGTCCGTGCGTGGGGAACTGTTGCGACAGCGCGAACAGCTGCAGCGAGCGCGCGCCTCTGCTTCCGCGGAAGTGGCGGGGGAAACTCCTGTCGCGCAGGTGGAGGCAACCATGGTGCAGGTGGAAGACCTGTTATTGTCGCAGTCCGCGGATAAGGCAGCAATCGGCCCGCCCACTGCAACGTTGCTGGACTTCCTTCCTCCTGCGCGTGCGCCTGCGGTTACCCTGGTGGCGGCCTCTTCTTCAGGTCCGCCGGAAACAACCGTAGGGCCATCTTTCCCTGTCGCTGAGTCTGCGATGGTTGCGGCCGCCAGCGGTGTTAGTGCAGCACCCTCTTCCCTGCCTCGATCAACAACGGGTGCTCAGGCGAAGGCGACGGAGACGCCTGCACCAGCGAAGAAGCGGTCAAAATTTGAACTGGCGATGGCGATGGCGAAAGCCGATGAGAACGAATGAAAGGAGTATGACGGCTGATGGATGACTCTCCTTGCATCACCTAGCAATAAACTCTCTTATGAAGACGTCTAGGGATGCATGCCACCTGCGGATATATTTAATCTCCACAAGAAAACGTTCACGGTCCCTGTGAAGTATAAAAGGGCAGTCGAGGCTTTCTGAGCATTGCAGGAAAACAGCGCTCTGATGATGCCGGCCACCTCAACGTGGTATCCGGGTCCAGTACCCACACAGTGGGGAAGCCATCGTAGGCGACGGCGTTTTTTTTTTTGTCCTGTCCACATCGCCCTCTCTTCTTTGTTCGATCTCCTCTCTGTTTTCTGCTCCACTTGCACTCCTTTTGCTCCACCAAATGTAAGTGTGGAACTGGCGACCACACACAGATACACTCAGACACGTATGGTTGGCGACATTGACTCCTACAGGTTTTTGCGCACGGAGCAATTGACATCGCCAGGGGGCGTCTGTGCGATGGAGAAATACGCGTTGGGGCCACTCATTGGGGAAGGTCAGTTCGGCAGTGTTCGCGCAGCTACGGTGAAGAGCACCGGGCAGGCCGTTGCTGTGAAGCTCCTGCACGTGCCCCGGGTCGCGGAGGGCATCCCGCACCCTGTGGCTCGAGAGCTGCTCGTGGCCTCACGGGTGTCCTCGCCCTTTCTTGTGAATACAATTGAAGTGCTGCCGTACGGCTCGCACATGGTCCTCGTGATGGAGCGCTGCAGCGGGGACCTCGCAGCGGTGCTGCGCCGGTGCACGCTGACCCGTCCCTTTCCCCTGCCCCTTGCCCAATCTTATCTGCAGATGCTGTTGAGTGCACTGCACACTCTGCACTCTGATGGCGTGCTGCACCGCGACGTCAAGCCCGCCAACTGCTGCATCGCGTGCGACGGCCGTCTGAAGCTGGGTGACTTCGGCCTCAGCCGTCCACGCAGCGACGACATGTCGCACGAGGTCGTCTCGCGGTGGTACCGCGCGCCCGAGCTGCTCTTTGGCCGGCGCCGTTACGGCGGGGAGGTCGATCTGTGGGCAGCAGGGTGCATCTTTGCAGAGCTGCTGCGCGGCTACGGCCAGCCGTTCTTCACCGGAGATGGCGACATCAGCCAGCTCGCTAGGATATTTGACGTGCTGGGCACACCCGTCGGTGCCACGGGCGACATCTACCGCAAGCTGCCGGACTGGGAAAAGGTGTGCTTCGAGGAGAAGCGAGGCAGCGGGCTGCGAGCGCTGCTCCCGCTGGCGCCGGCGGATGCGCTCGACCTGCTGACAGCGCTACTCGACCTCGATCCCGGTGCGCGGCCCACTGCGGCGGAGGCACTTCGTCATCCGTTTTTTGCGCTCCCACCAGAGTCACTGCGACGCTGCTAGTACTTGAAACAACATCAATAATAAAAAGAAATGCCCACCTGTCCTGCGCGGCGTGGATAAAAAGGGCCGTAATCTTTTTCGTAGTCAGTCGTGCCGCTCTCATCATTTCGTGTGTGTTGTGAGAAGCACAGATGCATTCGGCCGCGACGGTGATGGCTGCAAAAAGAAAAGGTCTTTAACCGTGTCCCACCCTAATAGTAGTAGCGGTGCTAAAATCGTGATTGCTGCACGTCTCTTCTCTCACTTGTTTTCGCCTTCTTCTCGTCTTACGTTTCTGTGTCTTCCGTCGCCCACACTCCGGTGCGAACCACTTGATGGACGCAACAATCAGGCCCGCCTCCTTCTGTCTTTGCCACTCGTATCGATTCTCTTTTTCTTTTCTCATTTAGCATTAGTTCATCGCCTCTGGCAAGATAATAAAGTGAAAGGTTGTGTCGATAGCGCGCGCCTTAGGGGCTTCACGCATCATTTATTACTTATCACCGTCGCAGCGGAACTCCGTCTCGCTGCTGTCGATTTTTTTCCAAAGTAATCAACCCAACAAAGCAACCAAAGCAAACATTTTACTAAACCGAAAAGGAAAAACTCACACATTCCTCTACACTCGCCGATGCTCCGCCGCTTCCTCTCTGTCCGTGCCGCGGCGCCGGCACTTCTGGTGCGGTACACGTCCACCGATGTGTTCCTCAACCGCCACATCGGCCCCACCCGCAAGGAGACTGCTGAGATGCTAAAGACGGTCGGAAAGGAGAGCCTCGCCGAGTTGATGACGTCAGCGCTGCCGAGTGATATCTTGCGCACCCCGCTGAACACATTCAAGTCCCTCAGCGAGACGGAGACGCTCTCCTTCCTCAAGAGCGTGGGAGGTCAAAACAAGGTTTTGAAGAATATGATTGGGCAGGGCTACTACGAGTGCATTGTGCCACCAGTGATCTTGCGCAACGTGCTGGAGAACCCGATGTGGTACACGCCGTACACGCCCTACCAGGCCGAGATCTCGCAGGGACGTCTGGAGTCGCTGCTGAACTTCCAGACCATGGTGGCGGACATCACCAAGATGGACATCTCGAACGCGTCACTGCTGGACGAGGCTACAGCGGCGGCGGAGTGCATGTACCTGTCTCTGAACCACCACCGCCACAAGCGCATGAAGTTCTTCGTCGCACAGGACGTATTTGCGGCCTCGATTGAGATGATCCGCACCCGCGCCCTTCCACAGGGCGTCGAGGTTCTCGTCGGTGACGTGGCCAACGCCGACCTCGCCGACCCGCAGCTGAGCGGCGTGTTTGTCCAGACATCCTGCGCCAACGGCGGCCTGCACGACTACACCGACTTCTTCGCACGTGCCAAGGCGAGCGGCGTCGTCTGCTGCGCCGCGGTCGACTTGCTGGCGAGCTGCATCGTCAAGCCGGCGGGGGAGATGGGCGCGGACGTTGTGGTGGGCAGTGCTCAGCGCTTCGGTACCCCGCTCGGCTACGGAGGCCCGCACGCCGCGTTCATGGCCATGACGGAGGACTTCAAGCGCCTGTCGCCTGGTCGCATCGTGGGTATTAGCAAAGACAGCGCCGGCGACCCGGCCATCCGCATGGCGCTGCAGACACGCGAGCAGCACATCAAGCGTGAGCGTGCCACGTCGAACATCTGCACCGCGCAGGCGTTGCTGGCGAACATGAACGCCTTCTTTGGTATCTACCACGGCCCGGAGGGGTTGAAGCAGCTGGCGAACGAGATCCACTGCAAGGCGAAGTTGTTCGCTGTGGGCATGGAGTCCCTCGGCTTCACGCCGCTGAACAACACTTACTTCGACACCGTTTCTTTTGCGTTCGAAGGAGGCGCCTTCACCGCTGAAGACTACGCGCAGCGCTGCATTGAGAAAGGCATCAACGTCTTCGTGAACCCCAAGACGAAGCACGTCTCCGTCTCCTTCGACGAGGCGACCACGGAGGACCACATCAGCACTCTGTTGCAGGCCGCGGGGATGACGACGCCGAACATCGAAGCACTCACCCGCGTTGCGGACACCATCGTTGTGGTGCCGGAGTCCCTGCAACGCACCTCGAAGTTCATGCAGGGCAACGTCTTCAACAGCCACAAGAGTGAGCTTGAGCTGATGCGGTACATCCAGCGGCTGCAGCGGAAGGACTACGGCCTGACACACGGCATGATTCCACTGGGCTCGTGCACCATGAAGCTGAACCCCGCCGCAGCGATGCGGGCGCTGAGCTGGCCGGAATTCAACGCCCTCCACCCCTACGCACCGGACGACCAGGCGCGCGGCTACAATGCGATGATTCTCGACCTGAAGCAGAAGCTGTGCGATATCACCGGCATGGCGGCATGCTCGATCCAGCCGAACAGCGGCGCACAGGGCGAGTACTGCGGCCTGCGCGTCATCCGCGCCTACCACGAGTCGCGCGGCGAGGGGCACCGCAACGTGTGTCTCATCCCCATGAGCGCGCACGGCACTAACCCGGCCTCTGCGGTGCTGGCCGGCCTGAAGGTGGTGACGGTGAAGTGCCTCGACAACGGCAGCGTAGACCTGGCGGACATGGAGGCGAAGTGCAAGAAGCACGAGAAGGAATTGGCGTGTCTCATGATCACCTACCCGAGCACCTACGGCTTGTACGACCGCGACATACGCAAGATCACGAGCATGGTGCACGAGCACGGTGGGCAGTGCTACATCGACGGTGCGAACCTCAACGCGCTGGTCGGCTACACCGGCCCCGGCTTCATCGGCGGCGACGTGTGCCACATGAATCTGCACAAGACCTTCAGCATTCCGCACGGCGGCGGCGGTCCGGGTGTGGGCCCGATCACGGTGCGCCAGCACCTCGCGCCCTTCCTGCCCAATTCCGTGTACGGCGCCTCCGTGGGCGGCTCTCAGCCCTTTGGACAGGTCTCGCAGGCGGCCTACGGCTCCGCGTCCATCACGACTATCTCCTACGCCCTCATCACGATGCTCGGCTCGCGCGGCCTCAAGACGTGCACCGAGTACGCCGTGCTGAACGCGAACTACCTCAAGAAGCGTCTGGAGGAGCACTACACCATCTGCTTCCTCGGCCACAGCGACTTCTGCGCGCACGAGTTCATCCTCGACGTGCGCCCCTTCAAGAGGACGGCGCACATCGAAGCCGAGGACGTCGCAAAGCGTCTGATGGACTACGGCTTCCACGCCCCCACACTGGCCTTCCCGGTCGTCGGCACTCTCATGATCGAGCCGACAGAGAGCGAGTCGAAGCGCGAGCTGGACCGCCTCGCTGACGCGCTCATTTCCATCCGCCGCGAGATTGCCGCCGTGGAGCGCGGCGACCAGCCGAAGGACAACAACGTGCTGACAAACGCCCCCCACACAGCGAAGTGTGTGACGGGTGACGAGTGGAACCGGCCGTACTCGCGTCAGCTGGCCGCCTACCCGACCCACCACCAGTACCGCGAGAAGTTCTGGCCCAGTGTGGGTCGGATTGACAGCACCTACGGCGATCGCAACCTCATGTGCTCTTGCCTCCCGCTCGAGTTCTACAATTAAATTCGAGGTGTGTTCGTGTGTGTGTGTCTGTGTACGTTGTCACCGGGGGACGTTGCAGAGGAAACGCATGGTTTCTGTTTTCTCCTGTAATTTTTCTTTCTCTCTTTTCTCGTTCTCTCTCCTTGTTTTACTTACATGTCGAACGAACCAACTGACAAATGCAGTAATGCCGTTCTCCTCGTTGTTGTTGACGCTGTGTCAACGCCATTGTTTGCTAGCATTTCCTTTTCCTTTCGACATCGGTTATTTATTCATTTTGTAGTTCTCTAAACAACTTTGAGCAGATAGCGTGTTGGCGGTAGAGATGACGGTATCGTCGACTCGGGCTCACCTCACGCTCGTTCACGTGCGCCTCTTCGTAAATCTAGCACAAATGTGTGTGCCATCGCCCCTTTTTCTTCTTCTCTGTGTGCAAGTTATAGTTGTCGCCAGGCGTATTTGCGACTCCAAAAAAAAAACTGAGTTTTTCCCGCTGAAAACTGCAAACACTTCCGTGATCAGTTGAAACATTTTTGTGAGAGGTGGCTCGTAAGAAGAAAAAAAAAACGTGTTTAACTTCTACGCTGCGACGTGCAGGTAAAGCGGCGACCGCAGCAATAGCAATAACATTAACAATAATAATACAGCTTAACTGGGTTGTCCTTTTGACGAGGCTGGGCGGTTTCCGTTTCCGTTTCACGCATGCATAATGTAAGGAAACCGCTAACCTCTTCCGTTGTCGACGGCCTGAGCCCCGCCTCGCTGTTACTTCAAGCAACTTCTGTTTGGCACTTCTCTTCGCTTTTCTCTTCTACCTCATTAACGCCACCTTGACAAAAAGGGATAACCACCGCTCTGTTTTTCTTCGATAGCTTTGTTTTTGTGCTCGCTTCGCCCCACCCGTGTTTTATTGCACCTTCATACGATACTTGCTCTTCCCACACCCAACAACACCAGCACCAACATCAAACAAGAAAAAAAATGTTCGTTCGCAACGTCGCCCGCTTAGCCCTGCCAGCAAATCTGGGTCGGCTAAACCACGTCGCCATCGCCGTCCCGCCCAGCCGCAACATCGTGGAGGCCGGTGCGATTTACAAGAACCTCTTCGGTGCGGAGGTGAGCGAGCCGGTGAAGCAAGAGGAACACGGCGTGATTACGGTGTTCGTGCAGCTGCCGAACTCAAAGATCGAGTTGCTGCACCCGCTGGGAGACAAGAGCCCTATTGCGGCCTTCTTGGAGAAGAACAAGGCCGGTGGCATGCACCACATTTGCCTCGAGGTGCCCGATATCGCTGCCGCGATGAAGAAGTGCAAGGAGGGCAACATTCGCTGCCTTGGCGAAAAGCCGAAGATCGGTGCTCACGGCAACCCCGTCATCTTCCTACACCCCAAGGACTGCGGCGGTGTGCTGACGGAGCTCGAGGAGGTGAAGCCGCAGTAACCCGCGGCTCACCGATATCGGTGGCTTTCTTCTCTATCTCTGTCTTTGCCTTTTCCACCGTTGTGCCCCGCTGCGTCGCGGACCGTCTGTACGTACGACTTTTTGAGGTGATTGGAAAAGAAGACGATCAAATCAAAAAAAAACTCTTTTCTATGCGCTAATACAAAACAGTCTCCCTTTTTATTGTTAAAACGCTTAGTTCCTTACGCGTGCTATCGCACGTTTTTTTTTTCCTTTTCTAAAACTATCTCTTGCTTCAACGATTCTTCTGTCCTCACGGCTAGAAGTTCTCAGTGAGTGGCCTGTGTGGTGCTCTTCGCCTGCGTTTTCGTTTCTTTTTAAAGATCGTCTTACTTGAGCCAGCGCTTCGTGTCAGTCATGTTCGTTACATTGAAGGTGACCTGCGTATATTTCTTTCTACAGTTGCCGGTTTTCTGTTCTCTCACGTAGCCTTTGTGTGTCGTTCTTACCCGACGCCTCAGAGTACGCACAAGACGGACACACCAAGGCAGCACCTTGTGCACGGGTGCTCCTGTGAGAACCACAAAAAATATATATAAACATCTCTATTTTGTTATTCTGTAGTTCTAGCAACGTCCTATCAACTCGCTAATGAAAATAGCAATCAATGGGCTGCAAGCTGCACCTCGCTAAGAAGCGCACACGTGAAGCGTTGCCGCGTGCTGTAAAGCGTGAGCGAATGCCAGAAAGAACCACACGAAGCGTGCAAACACGTGCAATGACGATCTTGTAGCGTACATGGAAAACGCAACAGTTGTTGGGCTTCAGCAAGGAAGCCACTCTGAGATGTTGACGAAACGACGTACTCTCTCTATCACCTGCGTCACATCAGCCATTCTTTCCTTCTCCCTCGCCTTTCCCCTTTCCTCTTCTGTGTGCGAAAACACCGCGACTGCTATTTGCCTTCCATGCGATGCTCCCGTTTCGAATAATAATAATAAAAAGAACTTATTTCCAGGACCTTCTTTTTCTAGTCATGTCAACAGTCGGAGGCTTTCAGCGGCGAACGGCGAAGAACGCCACCACGCGTCGCGCAGTGAAACAATACGAGCCGAAGGTGGTCGAGAACCCGAAGCGCGTGCTCTTTCTGAAAGGGGCGTCCTCGACGGATGCTGTGAACGATGCGATCATCGACCTCATGGCCATCACGAAGCCGTACTGCAAGAAACTCGCCAAGAAGAACGCGTTTTATCCTTTTGAGGGCCGCCAGCATCTCGAATTCCTCGGCTTCAAGAACGACTGCTCGCTTTTCTGCTTCGGGGCAAGCAACAAGAAACGCCCGAATAACCTCACGCTGGGGCGGCACTTCGATTTCCACGTGCTGGACATGATCGAGCTTGGCATCCTCGCGGCGGACCGGCTGGACATGTCGAAGACGTTGGGCATCGACGCCGGCTCCGTGGGCGGCAAGCCATTTTTCGTCTTTGAAGGCGGTGAGTTCGCCTCCGATCCGGCCTTTGTGCGCCTGAAGAATCTTCTCATTGACTTCTTCCGCGGTGGCCACGACGAGGCGATCAGCCTAGACGGCTGCGACCGCGTCCTCTTCTTCTCTCTGCGCTCGCAGAACGGCGAGGATGCGTGCGTTGCCCCGTCCACCGACTGCTACACGAACAAGCCGCCTTCCGAGAAGGGCAACACTGTTCTGTGCATGCGGCACTACGCGGTGCAGAAGCCGTCCGCCGCGTCCGGGGTTCCCAAAGCGATCAAGAACGTTCAGCTGTATGACATTGGGCCGAACTTCGACTTCGAGCTGCGCCGCACGTCCTTCGCTACACCGCAGGAGTTCAAGGTGGCCTGCCGGGTGCCGCGCGAGACGCTGGCGACGATGCGGTCGATGGCTGCGAACGTGAAATCGGACGCCCTCAACAACCTCCGCGGCCAGCTGCACGTCGGCAATCAGGACGTGAGCGAGCTGAATCTGCGTCGCTTCAAGGCACACCGCCGCGGTGGCGCTGCCGCTGACGCTGCGGAGGTTGCAGAGGGTGCGGAGGAGGGCCACAAGCCCCGCCGCCGCCGCGCACGTGCCGAGGAGCCGGGTGACGTGCGACCTGAGACTGACATTTGAGCACGGTAGAATCGACTTGAAAACGAAAAGAACCGAGCGATTCTTCGTCTCTAACTTATGAGTAAGCTGTCTTTTATTGTTAATGTGAAGGCGATGCTGTGCCTGTGGTTTTCGCCTTCACTTACCCCGGCTTGTTCGTGTTTTTCTTTTTCTTTTTTCGACTAACCACTGTAATAATGGATTACTAACCCTGCCGTGTGTAACAAGAAACTTCAAGAGGTAGACATATCTGCTCAGCGGTGATGAACAGAGAAGTAGAGAGAGACGAACAACACCCCTCCAAAACGGGTACACCAAAGAAGCGTGCATTGTTGCGGCTGTGAACAACGAAGTACGTCGTTTTTGTGACCTTTTTTTTACCCGCCCGCTCGCTTTTTCGTTTGCCGAATCTGACAATTGCACTGCACGTGCTCGCACTGGCGCCTTCGTGCGCTCTCTTCATCTTGGATGATCCGTCAATTTCCAATGCCTGTCCCGTTACGATAGTTTCTTCTTCTCCTGTATCTCTCTGAGGGGTTTTTCCGTCAAAAATATCGCGCTCAGCACAACGACCTCCTCACCATTTTATTCTTTTCCTTTGCTCGGACGCATCGGGAGCGATGTCCGCTGAAGCCGCGCACATTCTGAGAAAGAAAGAGAGCATTCTTTCTCTAGAGAAGTACCTCGACCGCAAAGTTATCGTGTCGCAGAACTGCCATGAAATTCACGGCGTTTTGAAAGGCTTTGATAATAACGTGAACCTGGTTCTGGCCGACGCTGAGATGTGGCATAAGGATACGCTCATTCGCACCCTGGGCGCTTCGGTCGTTCGCGGTGGCCCGACCACGCTTGTACTCTCAGGAGATATGGTGCTGATCGCCAATCCGTTTGCGTAACCTGGAATGCGCTCTACTCCTTGCTCGTAAGACCGTATAGTAAGCATACTCAAGCGAAAACGAAAAAGGAAACATAATAGATCCGCGACGACCGGCTCTTTGCCTGCGCAATTTCGGTACGTGACGGCACGCTGCTAGGATGAGCTGCCACAAATGTTTAATTCGAAGTGGCGCAACAGTGATACCACGGCGGTACATGAGGCGGTGTTACGGATCCACTGCTTTCAAAAACTCCCCTTCTTCCTCTCCCCTCTCCCCTCTCTTTCTTTTCTTTTCTTCCTCTGCTGCCGCAAGTTGCCGGTGTGACGCAGTGACTCGCAAGGAACGGCATGACCCACCGCTCTGGAGTCCGTTGCGCACCCCTCTAACACTTCCCCTCACCCCGAAGATGAGCGGCGCTCAATGACCGACGTTGTCATCACATAGAGGCTCATTATGCCAGACAACGTCATCCGTTGGGAAGAAGTGGTGAGACGGCAGCGCGTGGAGTAAGGGCCCTTCCGTTTTGGGAACAGGAGAGAGATCACAGCTTTTTTTTCCATGAATGTTTTTTCTTCAAAAAAAACACGGGTTCTATTTCCTAACCTGCTCGTGGTGCGTCAGTGGCTACATCCTAGTCCACAGTTTCGCCCCATCCTCTGCGGTGACTGTGGCCCTCGTCATCTTGAGGTATGCTTGGGAAAGAGGAACCTCTCATAATCAGAGTTGCGGTAGCGGCCACGGGTGACGCTCTTCTCGCCTTCGTTCCTGTGCTACGCGCGATGCTTGTAGCTGCGCACCTGCGTCGTGTCACAGCATTCAATTGCGAGAGAAGCGCATTTACAGGGCTGAAGAGCTGCCAAATGCTCGCAGAAATCGATGTGTCCGTGGTCTGGCTGGCGCACCACGCCTCAAGAAGCTTACTGCCAGCAAAGGCAGATTGCGTAACGTAAAAAGATTGGACCCGTTGTCTGCTGGTTACTGATGTTGCTGCTGTGTTCGTGATAAACTGTTGACGGACCTGAACACTCGTGTGAATTCCGCCACTCTGAGAGTGCTCAATGTGGCAGGCTGTAACGCGATTGGCACCCGCTTTTTTTGACCTCCTGTGCAGAGATCGAAGGATAGTAAGGTCACGCCTCGCACGACAACAGCAGTGAAGCATTCAACAACAGAGCGGATTGGCTGTTGTCTCTGCAGACAGGCGAACGGGGAATAGCATCATTAACGTTTCGAATTGACGCGTTTCGTGCTGGGGTGTCGGTGCTGAGTTGCATCTTGATGAAGGGATGGAGCTTCAGAGTGCGACGTGTCAGGGTAGATCAGCAGCGTTGCACGACCTGCCGATCTTTCGCGGTATTATGCTTTCTCTTTTTTTACCACTCATCCGACAGCACAACACAGCATGCCCCGACTTCTCCTGTTACCATCTGGACTGAGGTGTTCCGCTTACGGTCTACTTTGAGAATACCTGAAGCAGAACTCTTTTTATCATCTTTCTTTTCCTTCTAGTTGTTTGGCTCCGCCCGCAACGCTCATTTCTTTGCATGCTTCGTGCGCGAGAATCTTCTGCTGATTTTAATGTGAGTTTCCTTTGTGATGATGTATGTCCACTGGCAGCTGTAGTGTTTAACAGCTGCTACACAATGGACGTATCCATGCATTCAAACTGAAACACAAACGAAGGGATTCCTCAGCAGGCGCTACTGCACTGTAGCAGTGGTGAGACTTAACAAGCGAGGCAACGGAAGCGGCGACGGTCTCGGCCAACACGTGTAAAACAAAATGTGTAATCCCACTTTTAAACTTCCCATATTTCTATGCTGCAAATGTTTCCACATCGGGAAGCTGTTTCATTCGCTCTCTGATACTCGACAGGTAGAAGAGACAAGTCATCTCTCTTTGTTCTACGTCGACCTCTTCTCCTCCTCCCAGATCTACCAGCAGCGCATTACACATTTCTTCCAGTAAACGAGTTAAACTCGAAGACCAAGAAGCAAACATACGCGACTGCACGCACAGTTCCACATCCAGAAAAACAAAGCCTCTCTTCACGAAGATGTCGCTCAAGGGTCACATTGAGGACTTCAGTGCGTCGCTCTCTTCCGATTCGCTGGGTGATGCACGCAAAGCACTGTCGCGCCTGCGAATGGACGGCATTGCTCAGATAATGAGCTTCATGCCTCTAAAGTATTTCACGCGCAGTTTTCACACACTGAGTGCCGTGTGTCCGCAGATGAGACTTGACACGGAGACGCTGATACACTACCGTGACGTTGGAGTGAATCGTGGTAGCATAGTGGTAAGAGGCAACCACCTGATCTACCGGATCGCATCGGTGAAACGCGATGTAACTCCACAAAGGCTTGAACACTCGCTGTGGTGGGCGGATCGGTGCGGGCTGCCGCTGAGTGTCACCGTCAACAGCCACAACAGAGACGTACTGGCACTTCTCAAAGCTCGTGTAAGGGACCGAGTGGAGGAGCTGCGCATCGAAGACAACACAACAACTGCGTGCGCGCAAGACTCCGCATCAGAGTGCGACGGTTATTGCGGGAGCTTTCTCTGTGCGCTTTCGGGGTTCCCACACGTGACAAAACTGTCATTTGGCAGCAGGGGGAAGTCTTTTTTTATGTTATGTTTTGCTGACCTGGATCCTTCGCTACGTGCTGCAGCTCAGATGCCGATCAGCGAGATCAACGTTACAAGACTTGAGAAACTGATAGATCTCTCCGCGCTGGCTGGATCACAGCACCTTCGACACCTGAAAGCCACCCGTTGTGGAATACGGTCAGTGACAGATTTGGTGAGCTGTCCGATGCTCACTGACCTCGACGTCTCCAACAATCGACACCTGCAGACTGTATCGGCTCTCGCAGACGCACTGCGCCTCAAAACTCTAATCGCAAAGGATTGCGACATACAAGGCTTAGACGGCCTCGGCAACTTCCCCTCCCTCAGCACCCTTGACGTGTCAGGCAACAGATCCTTAGAGAGCCTTCGCGGACTTGATGGTGCGCCGAGCCTCGAGAAGCTTATTCTGCGCAATTGCAGTAGTCTGCGCAGCGTCGATGGGCTGAACACCTGCCGGCTACTCCGCGAGATCGATATCTCTTCCAGCAGTGCCTTGGTGGACCTGAGCGGCCTTGCTGGTGCGCCATCTCTTAGGATCATCAAAGCGGAGTGCTGTGGAGTGCGCACCCTCAATGGGCTGAACACCTGCCCGCTACTCCGCGAGATCGATCTCTCTAAAAACAAAACCTTGGTGGACGTGAGAGGTCTTGCTGGTGCGCCGAGCCTCGAGAAGCTTATTCTG